AGTGCCTGGCAGCCAGCCAGACTGCTTGAGTATAACTTCAGCTAGAATACGTATCTCTTGCAGATTTCGTGCGATCACGTCATTATAAGTTTTAGACTATTTTCCCATTTAAAGCCTCCATTTATATAGTGGATTGTCCATTAAAACTCTTCCATTTAGTTCGGGATTTTCCAGCATTCGCCACGCTTAATGAGTTACCCTTTTGGGCCAGGTGGACGCTTGCACGACTCGGGCAAGATCAAAAGTGCTTATCAGCTTGCGGATGGTGGCCATGAATACAAAACAGCTCAGTGGCATGGCTCACAATGGCTCCAGCTGCATCGTTATTGCTGGTTGAAATGGTCAATTGCCATAAGCCAAACGATATCCCCATTTGTCAAATATATGTTGGTTCAATGAGGCAATGTATAACGTAAATAACATTTACTTGTTGGTTGATGTTGGTTGTATATATTATATAGGTATTATGATATATCATATAATATTATATAATATTTTATATAACTGTATATTATAAATAATATAATATGTGTATATTGTCGGTCATATTATTTATTTCCAGTATATATAAATCCATTATTTTTCCCTTGGTTTCCCGTGATTTCCTACAGTTTCCCAGGATGGCTATGGTGATGACCCCGGAATTTCACACCCTTGGCAGCTCCTTGCCGCTGGGTCCACGAACAACACAACCCCCGGAAGTGGTGAACGAGCCTCGCTCCTACAAGGCCTTGGTGATGGTTTTCCTGGCCGGTGGCCAGAACCTCAGTTGGCTGATGCTCCAATGGAAACTATGTTTGTTACCCCAGATGGAAACGAGTTTTAGGACTGATACTTGGAGGGTCTTGGTATATTATGTATACTGTATAGTCTTGCATGTACAATGAGTCGGTGTTTCTGACCAGAGCTGGTACTTCAATCTCCACACCATGCCACAATATTCCATAGGAGCTGACACTTTCAACATGCTGGTGCCCATGAATTGCCCGCTTTATGACGAGTACACGCAAGTCCGTGGATCTGTCGCGATGCCTCCATCGGATTTGAATTCCATTTCAACCACAGGGCAAAGCTGTGGCGAGTTTGGCATCCATGCCCGTTTGCCGATTCTTGGATTCCCCGAGTCGATTTAAATGATGGCTTAGGCTTACTGACTCATCGAAATCAAGGGAAATCCACTGCAAAATCCATGAAGGGAATCTAACCGGCGGAAAACTTCCGGAGCTTCCTGGATCAGCAAGTGATCAGCTGGCCTCCAAGGATTCTCAAGGAGCTTTATGATAGCCAAGAAGCCGCCTTCCTCAGCAACATTGGCTCGCTGGCTGAACCCTTATCAAAAGACCAGTGGGAAATTGGCACAGGTCAGCGCTCCTCGGCCAAGAAAATCCGAACATGTTTGAAGTGAGTTTAGATATGTTTATGGAAAGTATATATAAATGGAATAATATTTCATCACAGTTTATCATATTTTATCAATTTCTATCATTTTTCTATTTTTTTTACATGGATGGGTATCAACTCCTCAGTTCCTATGTCACATTTGGCCCACGTCCTGGCCTCAGGTTGTACTGGGCTTTTTTCCCACTCGGATCAACAACAAGCCGCGCAGACTCTGACGTGTCAATATTCGGGTTCGGCTCAGAAGGGTGCTGGTGGACGCATTGCGGTGGCCTGGCTGTTCGTTTTTTGTTTTTTTCCGATTTTGCTTCCTTAGTGCCCAAAAGCTTTAAGATCTTTAAGTTTGAGGTGGGGGAAAACAATGGCTTTTCTTGCGGCTAACTAAATGTCTGAAAATGGTTGGAACAATTAAGGTTGATTTTGTGTCATTCTATGGTGGCGTTGACAAATTGACACTTGCAAGGATGCGCTTGCTGCAGGCAATGAGAAGTATCGACTCTCCGTTGCAAAGAGTAACTTCTCACACCCTCAGACAGACTGCTAAGCTGCTATCATGGTTCTCCATGGCTCGTTCCCAATGGGGAAACGCAGACATATTCGTTTAAATACAAAGAACAAATAGAAAAAGATATGGCTTGACCGCTTACAAATTCGGGATTGCTGTAGCATTTATCACACAGTTTTGGGGTTTGATGAGCCATGCCCTCAGGAACAACATCCTTCTCAGTGGCTGGAATGTCAACTTGGCCACAAGGAAGAACTACAGCACCGCAGATTATCGACCCACAGTCAGGTGGGATGTTCAGGGCATGGAGAGGATGCCCCCGTTGGGCCTCAAAAATGATGGGCTTCTTGGGGGGCGCTTAATATGAGGGGGGAAGGAATTACTGATAGTTGATAGGCTTTGAACAATGAACTACTGTGTTTGTTTCAATTTGAGAATAGATACCCACAATGATCCACAAAGTATAATAAAGTATACCTCTTTTGATGTTGAATGAGCTCGCCTTTAAAACTGCAAGAAGAAGCAGCATCGTAGCCTGTCGAGGATTAATGTGGCGTTAATTTCCAAACGATATTTGGGGATGGGTCAAACTTGGGGATGCCCCAATTTATGGCCATTTCAAAACGGAAAAGAGAAAGGAAAAAGAACAATTGAAAAATGATTGGATTCCAATTTTTTAGGTACCAAACCCCAACAAATGATGATATATATATATATATCAACTGACTCTCAGACCCATCTCAAATTTGAGAAAAAACTGTTCAAATGGGATTTAACAGGGATGTCACCAATCGTATAGGGATCTACAATAGGATTTTAATGACATTTTACGGGAAAATACCCTTTGGTTATTTAATGTAGCTATATAGAAAGTGACCATGTTCAATAGGTTTATCATCTTTAAATGGGCCATGTTCCATTGCAAAGTGTAAAGATGTGTGAGGTAACCAGAGGGTATGGCCATTTAAAAAGATCAAACATTGAGCGATTCTTGAAGGCACTGTCAGCTTCACCCACTATGAGCGGCTGAAGACAGTGATTGAGAACATCACCAGCGTGCGTCATGGCAACATCTACGCAGAGGCCATTGGCTGCGAAGGGCTAGGGCTGCTTCCTCATTTCTCCTATATGGAGGTTTCCTAAAATGGGGGATCCCCTAAATATCCCTAAATCATCTAAAATTACAGTAGACCATTTTAGCCCATTTTAAGAAACGCCCATTACAAACTGGGTGGTACCCTATTTTCAGACAGCCTAGCGACGAGCGTTTCTCACCGGGAATGATGCGATGAGACCATGATGAGAGAGCCGTTTTTGCCAGGAATTCTCCACGAAGTTTGCAAGCGCCATCAAATTTAACCAGGCCAGGTCGGTGAATTTCGCCACAATTTCTCCATCAGGAACTTTGCTACTTCCTATCGACTGAAAGGATTGAGATGTGAATCTTGGTATGTTTGCGAGGAGCTGGAAGAGCAACTGAAGACTTCAAAGCTCCAAACGCCGTGTCCGGACTGAAAGGCAAACTTGTTATGTTTGACTGTTTGACTCTCTGTTTGATTTGCTAGATCTGTCGCAGCCAATGAAAGAAGGATTCACTGGACCGGATACCTGCAATCACAATGTCTATTTAGCCGCTATAGCCAGTAGCTTTGCGCATTTGTGTCGGACTATGCTGGTTTCTTCCCGTGTGTTTATTGATGTTTATTGCATGAGTTCGTAAGATCTTGGCAAACCATATTTAAATATTATAGGCTGTGCATTCACAGCTTCCTTCAACTCTAGAGATCTGTCGAGTATAGGGCCTATAGGGGTGCCAACCTGGAGCGAGTCCGGCGAGTCCTGCTCGATTCTCAGGTTTCCAACAAATGAAATCGATTTGTCGAGGTCGGAGTTTGAGCTGTCGCATGTCCAGCAGGGCCATGGCATGTCCAGGGCCTGTGATGGCATCATGACTGTGTCAGGCAGCTCAAGCAGGTCGCCCGTTTGATTTCTGCGCGGGTGCACCGAAAGGCTGAGCGCGATGTCTTTTTTGTGGCTGGTCTGCAATTGTTTGAAAGGGAGTGATTCCGGGATTGTAGGCCCTACAATTGTAGGCCCTACTAATTAATTATTTTATGGTTTCCAGAGGTTGGCTAAAATCCCCCTTCACAATTGTAGGGAGAAAAGGAAAAGAATAAGATGAAACACGTCACGTCAGCGCCCCGAAGTCTGGACACTAGGAAGACTGAGGTCCAATAATTGGCATCTGAAAATAGGGTTGGTCATCATGTTCCTTTTCAAAACGACCATCTTTTGCAGGTACCCTCCGGTGTCATCGAACATGGCCTGATCCCCCATTTAATGAAAAAAAACCCCAGCTATGAACATCCATTTATAGGTGATTTTCCAGCCACGCTTGATACTGTTTGATGAAACCGGAGAGTACATCCGATTTTCAGACACCCATATGTTTCATGAGTCAGAAGTCAGAAGCCAGGTGGACATTGGTGGCTGGGACACGTTCCTCGGGCAAGCCGTTGTGAGACTGCTGTGCCATGGTGGGCTTCTCCAGAAATTGGAGATGTATATGTGTCTGTATACATATACGTACGTGTGTATATAATATATATATATACAGTATATAATACTAATAATATATATATATAATATAATACCAATAATATATATATAGAATATATAACAATAATATAAACCTAATATGTATATATATATATATGTTGTACTTGTACCCCAAACATGGTCCCGCTGTTTGGGGAAATGATGATAAACCGTCGGAGCGCGGTTCGAGGCATTCGAGCGTCAGCAGAGAGCTGAACGACCGCTTCCAGGATTTGAATTCCGCGTTGACGTCCTTTGTTACCGAACTCAAGGCGTGGGGAAGCTGAAAGCTGTTGGTATATGTAATTAACGTATGTATTTGTATATAGTATGATAATATGTATATATAGTTTATGATGGGTACTTGTAATGTATATTGATGTTTACATTTTTTACATTTAAAGAATCAGAAATGAGTGGTACCGGTCATTTTGTGGTGCTGTTGTCTCCTTACCAGGCCCAAAACATCTTTGACTCCACTACCATCGTGACGCATTCCGACTTTGCACGCACTCTCACGCCAAATAGCTCTGGCCTCGGATCGCCACAGATTGGTGAAGATCAACAGCAGCTGATAGTTATAGAGTTATGGATGGGTAAAACATGGTAAAACACAGCAGATCTTAACGGATCTTAATGGAATCTAATGGAATTTAATGGATAGAAAGAGTATTGGAGATTGTTTGAAGTGTGACCCATCCCAAACATGGCATAGACGGCATGGGGACAGTTTGAGACGTGTTCAGATGACTTCAAATGTTAGGTGGTGAGGGAACCGACCATGCATGGGGAGGAAACTATGTTATGATTGGAGGCCAGCAGTTGCAGTGTTTCAGAAGCAGTGCTGCCATCTCTAATGGAGACTAGGCACATTCTTAAGCATCCGCTTTGCATATGCTCTCAGATGCAATGTCAGACAATTTCTACAATCTTCCAGGAGATTTGAAGGGCGGCCGTATCTACAATGATTTCCCAGCGTCCTTCAAAGAGGGGAGTGCGCAGGACACCTCCAAACCCCCAATCCAAATGGTTTGACAGGTGAGCAATGGATGCTGTAGCAATGCCAGGTGGCTGATTGTTGGGTTCTCACCAAACTGGTCCAATTTTCAGGATTCAACGCACATCCTGCCATGGGGTTGCCGACAACTTTCCAACCTTTGAAAACATGGGCGAGTCGTGGCGAGTCTCAGATAGTCTCAGACTCGAGCTGTAACCGTTTCGGATGGCATAAACTAATCCAATAGCCGGTTGGTGGTTTTAACAAAGCTTTATTTTCAACCCTAGAAACGGATAGAAACGGGGGTTTCTCAAAATGGGGGATCCATGGGGGTCCCTAGTCGTCACCATGGGTTTCACTACTAAGTCATGGTCATCCATTTTCCGATGATTTGGGGTCCCCCCATTTTAGGAACCCCCCAAATAGATAGAAATGGATAGATCCATCCCCGTTTTTGGTTTTCGCACAGGATGCAGGGCGGGGACGCCTGATACCGAAGTATCCCTGGGAGAACATGTTTCTTGGCTTCGTTTAAGGAACCAGGAGCCCATGAGATCTTTGGTTTTTCGCTGACCGAGACAGCCAATTTGCTATGGGCGAAGAACCATCAGTGATATTCAGTGAATAGGAATTAAATATTATTAAATTTTAATTAAATCATATAATATAATATGATATAATATAAGATAAAATAAGATAAAATAAGATCATTTAGATATAATATGTAATATGTCATTAATTTGAGATAATATTATGTCATATAATATGTAATTTATAATATCACTTGATATAATATGATGTGTATATATAATGTAATATATATATATAATTTATTATAGTATAATATCATATGATATGATATAATATGATACATACAACCAGTGAAATTCTCAGGTCATGTGATGTCCCATCTTTTCAGGTGTCACACACGAACGCATGGCCGAATCTGCAGGGCGCCTTTGAGCTATCAAACTGAGTTTGGTAGCGGAGCCACCACGGTGGCTCCCTACCGGGACTTCGCCGTTCCCTGCTCAGCGGCTGCTACCTGCTGTGCAGGTTGCCACGTGCGCGTGGCGGGCGATCCTGGAAAAGGAGCTCTACCAGGGGCCTACTTTGTCGAGGAGCCCATCTCTCCTGAGGAGTTCTACGGTGGCCTTGGCAATCAACGCTGGTGACCTTGGACTTCCAGCTGCTGCCGCTTTGCACTTTGGTGTCTCGCAATCAGTGCATGCGGTGGCGAACTACCTCTTCCACGACCTCCGTGGTGCTGCAATCACTGCTGGTCCTCCTGCTCTTCTGCGAAGCCTTTGACGGTGGAGCGCGACGTGGCGACTACATCCTGGACACCATGAATGAGGCTCCAACTGGATCAGGGTCGATACCACTCCAAGAGTATCGCCGTGAGATACCGCCGGGGTGGAAGCCAAATGACCCGGCGTATCCACTCCGATCATACTTTGACAGGTTGAGGTTGTGGTATCGCATAGCAAACATCCCTGATGAGACCATTGGACCCACCATTGCTGGAAGGCTTTATGGAAGGGCCCATAGGGTCGCGATGAGCCTCAGGATACCACGTCCAGACGGAGGACATGACACTGGAGACGCTGCCTTGGTGAGACTTGAAGTTGATGAAGTTCGAGACCCCAACACGGGGATGGTGATTCAAGCTCATGTGCCAAGCGGCGTACAACACCTGACAGCAGCACTCCGGATGGCTTTTGGCCAACAGGACCAAGACCTTGCCACACAGTCCCTTGAGAAGTTCTTTGGACTTGCCAGAGGACGCTTGTCGCTGCAGGAGTACAGCCTGGAGTTTGATGCACGTTTTGATGAAGCCTCAGATCGTGCTGGACTGCAGATGAATGAGGTGGCCCGCTTCTTCCTGTTCTTCAAGCACAGCGGCCTCTCATCAAAACAGGTGGACGACATCAAGCTCCAGGTGGCCGGTGACTTCACGCGCTTTGCAGAAGCCCGAGCACTGGCACTTCGGCTGTCCTCCAACAAGCAGGACAACGAGAACATGGACAGCTACTATGCCCAGGACTACCACCAGGACTATGTCACTGAGGATAACTATGGCGATTGGATGGAGAACGAGACCTACGACTATGATGATGGCCATGACTATGCCTGGTGGACCGACTATGACGCCTACGATGAAGGTGAATGGATCCTGGACTATGACGAGACGGCCGATGCCTACTACCAGCAGTACTGGGATGAAGAGTACTGGGATGCCCAGGAGGAAGAGCAGACAGCTGGTAGCACTGGAGACCCTCAGAAGACCTCCGACAAGACCAGCGAGCATGCTGCCGAGGAGTACTATGGTGGAAAAGGACAAGGCAATGATGGCTGCTTTGTCTGCGGATCCAAGTGGCATCGAGCCAAGGACTGTCCGATGTCAAACAACAACAAGGGTTCTGGCAAGGGATCCAATTTTGGCAAAAGTTTTGGAAAAGGAAAAGGGAAGCCCAGTTTTGGAAAAGGCAAGGGCAAGTTTTGGCGATGGAGACCATTCAGAAAAGGCAAGGGCAAAGGAAAAGGCCACTTTGGCCGAGGCAAGTTTGGAGGTGGAAAGAGTTTTGGAAAGCGCCATTGGTTCGCACAGCCCACATCAGTGCGACCTGGCCTGAACATCGTGGATGGCATTCCAGACAGTTCTACAAGGACTTCAAATGCCTCTACAAGTGCTCAAGAGTTTGCGATCCACACACCGCCAAGCGACCTTGAGGGTCCCAAGTTTGTGAGGATCTCCACAGCCAACACCGACTCTGGAGAAGAACATCAACAAGTTGCACAGAATGAGAAGAAGCACCTCAACGCCTTCAGCTTTGCTTTCAACTTCTATGAGGCGGCGGACTACTTTGCAGTTCGTGGTGAAAAGAGAAGAGGTCTGATCATAGACCCAGGTGCAGCTTCTGGTTTGATTGGCTGTGACACCCTGAAGGACCTCTTGGAGCACTGCATCAAGCCCTACGGCAAGGAGATCTCCATCGACAAGAGCATCACCTCTCCTGTGAGCGGCATCAGTGGAGGTTCAGACAGAACCTTGGGTCAGGTGACGATTCCACTTGTGACTGCTGGATGCCCGATCACGTTCACAGGTGAAGTCATAGGAGGTGATGGCAGCATGTGCCCAGCCTTGGTCGGCAATCCATCTTTGCGGAAGATGCACAGCACCATCTTCACCAACTACTTCCAGAATGGTGATGGCCTGCTTGTTTTGGATTCGAGGTCTGATGACCAAGGAGCCTTGAAGATGCTTCGAATCCTCCTCACGGACTCAGGCCACTACATTCTGCCGACCGACCATGACGCCACTGCCAAGGTATCCATGGAAACCCAGAAGGAGATTGCGGTCTTCTGGAACAGAGTAGCTGATGAAAGTTGCCGGAGATGGAAGGATGCCTGTCCAAAGAAGCTTCACATCTTCCACACGTCATCTGATGCGGCATCGTACGCAGAAGGTGACCGGGGTGAAGCAAAGATCAACGATGATGATGGAGCACTATGTCATGATGATCATCAACTTTCTGGACAACAACATGGAGTTCAACTACCTCCTGAAGTATCACATGGCGCTCTCACTGCAGATGACGACATCCTGGACAAGAACGACAAGACTCCTGGCACTTTGCTGAACAAGGAGAAGAACCAGGCTGTGACTGGCATTTTGCCATCGGAAGCTCCAGCCTCAAGCATCAAGTTTCACAACAAGAGCGAAGCCTCTGTCAATTTTTCAGACACGGAATTCATCGCCGACTTGGACTCTGAGCCCAACGGCAAGATTCTTTCTTTTGACAACACCTTGCGTACAGTTTGCACTGATGAAAAGCCCTGCAGTTTCACCATCGACACCAAGGATGACAACATCCAGCACTTCTACACGGAGGAGGACTTTCCTTCCTACACGGGCGACACTTTTCCCGAAGGTTTTGATGATGCACGTCTTCGGAAGAAGTACAAGGCCATTCCTGAGGAGTACTACACTCGCACAGGCCTGAAACCTGTGACGCCCAAGAACTTTCCCAAGTGGTTCATGCAGGCGAAGGGCAAGAAACTTCGATGGCATTTCTGGGAAGTCTTCAGCGGCTCTGGACGATTGAGCTTGACCATGCTGATCGCAGGTCTGACAGTTGGCTTTCCCATTGACATGCGCTATGGCTGGGATGTTGGAAATGCCTGCCATCAGAAGTACCTTCGCCAAGCACGAGACGAGTTTTGCCCTGGTGTTATTCACCTTGCACCAGAATGTGGCCCATGGTCAGTATCCTCTTCTTCAAAGGATCCAGATCTACGACAAGCTGAACGCCTTCAACAGAAGCCTGCGTTGGACTGGACCGAGGAGACATGTCATGTCCAATCAAAGCATGGTCGAGGCTATGTGGTTGAACAACCTTGGGGCAGTGCACTTTGGCAACCCGAGACACCACTCGACCTCACCATCAACAGCGACAACAAGAAGAAGCAGAGAGCTGACCAATGCATGCACGGTGCCGAATGTGAAGGCTACCCAGTGCAGAAAGCCACAGGTCTTGGGGCAAACTTCAAAATGCCGAAAACAGCACTTCGCTGTTCTGGACACAAAGGCACTCCTCATGCTCACCTACAAGGACAAGGAGCAGATGGCCTGAACCGCACAGCTAAAGCTGCGGTGTACCCCAAGACGATGTGTCATCGACTTCGACAAGACATTGTGAACTTTTCCCACAAGCGAAAACTGTTGCACATCAAGGCCTGGCCTCAAGCTCTGAGTTGGTATGTGGCAGAACACTTCTATGAGTGCACTCGCTGTCAACTTGGACGTTTCTGCCCAGATGACATTCCACACTCCTTGATCCCAGGCAAGTGCAGACACGGCCGATATGCAGCTGGCACAAACCCAAGATCCAAGAAGAACAACTCTGCACCAGCTGATCCAGTCAAACAATGGAAAGACAATGCCAACAGAGATGTTTTGGAGGTTGTTGAGATCAAGAACCTTTCTGGCATTGACCTCTCCGTGAACAAGTCCCACTATTTGAAGAAGCTTCTCATGGAGGTGATTCATACATCACTTGGCCTCATTTCAGAAGCTGCCAACCGCAGGATCGACTACGAGCTCTGGGTCGACAATGCACTCTTCATGGAACTGTTCAAGGAGATCTTTTCTGACTTCATGCTGGTGAAGGGTGTTCGGATCTCACTCCGACCATTTCGGAAGTCTGGACCTGAGCCACAGCTTGCGAAGGCATCTGCATACCTTCGACTTCACCTCTGTGGCCATGTCAAGGAATGGACGATTCAACAGATGGAAGACATCCGAGAAATGTCCATTTCCCAGATCAACGAGAGTTTTGATGTCGATGACTGGATGGTCACAGTCTTTGGAGCTGAACAAGGTGGACAACCAGCACCTTCGACACCATCGCACCGACCTCGGTCGAAACCACCTCAACCTGAACTACCTGCACGCCAAGATGACGCAGCACTACTTCCTGAAGTTCGAGAACGTCCTGGACATCCAGAAGAAGGAGAAGCAGCTGAACCTGGCTATGAAATAGAACCTTTCGAAAGCCATGATCGAGCACCTTTGGCACCGATCAGACCCAGCTACAACCTGAAGAAAGTGTTCGACAAGCTGCCGAAACTCCTTGAAGCTGGACATCGGAACCAAGCTCTACGACTTCTGGTCGGCATGCATGAAAGACTCTGGCACACGCCAGTGATGGACTTCCAGAATCTTCTGAAGAAGGCCAACATGCCGCAGGACGTGATCGACCTGGCTGCTGAAGCCGTGAAGAACTGCGTGGTGTGCCGGAAGTTTGTCAGACTTCCAAATCGACCTCAACTACGTGCTGGTGGCAGCTCCACTTTTGGAGAGACTCTCCAGATGGATCTTTTCCACTGGGAAGGACATGTCTTCCTGCTGATCATTGATGAAGCTACCCGCTTCAAGGTGTGCACTGAACTCAAGGGCCAAGACTCTGAGACAATTTTGGCTGCAGTCTTCTCCAGCTGGATGGCCTACTTTGGTCCGCCCAAGCGGATTGTTCTGGACCAACAGATGTCTCTGATGGGCTGGGACACGGCGCATGAGTTTGAGCGTCTGTCCATTGAACGTTGCCCACGTGGCACAACTCAAGGCCACGGAGCATCTCAGCACACTGGCACTGGCATTGTGGAACGCCACATTCAGCTGCTGAAGATCACGATGTTCAAACTACAAGCTGAACTTCAACGCCAAGGTCTCAATCCAGAACCTGAAGAAGTGGCTCGAGAGTCAGCTATGGCACACAACCAAACCATCAACTACGGAGGAGTCACACCTTGCATGAACGTGTTTGGAGTTTTGCCTCGAGGATTTTACAATCCTGAAAGCCCTGGAGTGACCAGCGTGATTGGTGCTCTACAGACAGACCTGACGGTTTTTGAGCGTGCTGTGAGGATACGCCAATCAGCACTGGCACAGACAGCTCAAGCGATCATTGAAGATCGCACTGCGCGAGCCAACAGGACTCGACCACATCAGCTGAAGGTCGACGAGTTGATCGCTGGAACCAGTGAGGTTGAATTCTTCCGAGATCAAGTTTGGCGTGGACCTGCTCTCTTGCTTCGGCTAGACCAAACCGAAGGCATTGCTGTGATCCAATATCAAGGCAAGCCGTACCTTGTCAGCCTTCGACACATCAGAGAGTACAAGGGCATCTTCCACTTTGAGATCCAGTCCGAGAATGTGGAACAGGCGCTGTTCTCCCTCATGAAGTACACCGAGAGCATCAGCGACCACAGGATCCTCTACTTTGGCTGGCTGAAACGCCACAAGGATGGCAAGTGGTACAGACTGCCCAAGGAGACGCCAGAAGTTCGGAAGATTATGGAATGGGCCGAATTGGTTTCCAAATCCATGACGGAGTTGACACTCCACGGCATCATGATTGGCAAGGCACTCCGAAACATCAAACCTCCACACAACACCACAGGCACCATGATCATGTGGCTTGCTGGAGGACGAAAATATTCAGTTCAACATCATCCCAACTCCAACAACATCAAGCTGAAGAAAATCTCCAACTTGGCTCAGGAGGACACATGCATGATCTACTTCTACTACTACAAGACGGCATCGATGGAGCCAAGCTCATCAGAAACCCCTGAGACCAAGAAGGAGAAAACCTCCTCTACTTCAACCTCTCCAGACCTTGACAAGATGGATGTGGAACCACCAGATCGAAAGCGAGACAGCCCAGAAACCAGGACAGTAGTCATTGCTCCAGAGAAGAAGCGACAGAAGATAGCATTGGTCCGAAGAGATCTCAACTTCCTGGAGGACTTCTACATGGACCACACCAAGAACATGCTCATCATTCTGGACTACCCCAACTCTTGGAAGATTGGCTGCAACTTCATGACTCAGGAGATCAAGAACTTCCTGGTGAAGAAACATGATCAAGATCGACGAGCACTACCTGTCCTCTTCAACATCAACTACAAGACTGATCACCATGCATTGGCATGTCTGAGGACATCAGAGATCTACAAGGTAGACCAGGAGACGAACAACATCTCCGAGGCCGACCTGACTCCAGACATTTGGCCTGAAGTTGACAAGGCCGATCTGGCCGAGATCAAACAGTTTGTGGAGGAGTCAGCTTTCAAGAAGATCCACAAGTCGCAGATCACTTCAGAGATGGTTGTGGTTGACGCGATCTGGGTGCGGAAGAAGAAACGCTATCCCGATGGTAGCATCCGCATCAAATCAAGATTGTGTGCACGAGGATTTCTTGATGCACAAAAGTCAATGTTGACCACAAGATCCACGACGGCTACCCGTCTCAGCCAGCGGTTGCTGGTCAGCTATGCTGCTCAAGATGAAGAACGAGACGTGGAGTCTTTGGATGTTGGTGGGGCCTTCCTAAAAGGATTCAGCTTCCAGGAGATCCAGAAGGTGCTTCGAGAACAAGGACATCAAGCTCCTTCGAGGACAGTCATTTTGCTGCCTCCACTGAATGTGTACAAGCATCTTGCGTCTTTGTCAGACGACTTCAAGATCCCTGAGGCGAGCATCTTTGACTACGGTCTCCTATGTGTGAAGCCTGTGTATGGCCTCAACGATGCACCTTTGGCTTGGCAACTATGTCTCCACGACTTCATCAAGCATCACGATGGACATCCCTCCAAGATGGATGAGAACACTTTCATGTGGAAGAAAGATGGAGCTCTGGTAGCTTTGGCCACCACTCACGTGGATGACATCGCATTGACTGCGAGCAAGAACTGGCTGAACACTATGCATGGCCACTTTGTGAAGCGCTTCAATAAGATTACACGCCAGCAACTGCCCTTCAACCATTGCGGCTGTTTCTATGAGCGACTTCCTGATGGCTATCGCATCAGTCAGGCTGACTTTGCCAAGAAGCTGGAAAAGGTGAAGATTCCTGAGAAAGAAGACTCCGAGAAGCTGACGCCTGCAGAAACATCAAGCTTGAGATCTATCTTGGGCGCTTTGCTTTGGGTGACTGCCACGAGACTTGATGTGGTGGCAGATGTTTCAATCTTACAAAGCAGAGTGACAGTGGCTGAAATCCGAGACCTGAAGTATGCCAACCAGGTGGTCGACAAGGTGAAAGAGTTCCAAGATGTTGGACTACACTACCGCTTCCTGAAGACCAAGAACCTGAGATTGGTGTGCATCCATGATGCTTCTTCAGCGAGTCAAGGACGCCACTATGCTCAAGAAGGACTTCTGATCTGCTTGACAGAAGACAAGTTCTACAACGAGAACCTCAACTATGAGACCATCTTCAATGACGGTGACGGCCCTGACGGCGTTGATCGCCATGGAGGAGTGATGCATGTGCTTCACGCCAGTGGCACAAAAGCCAAGAGGGTGTCCTACTCGACATCTCATGCAGAGACCCTCAGCATGATCAATGGCGTGGAGTCGAGCACCTTGATTTTGGTGCGACTTTCTGAACTACTACATCCTGAACCTGCACCTTCGCTCCTACAGCTCACCAAGATTCAGGAAGAGGGCAACAAGCTGATCCCTGTGGATTACTACGGCGACTGCCGTGATGTCTTCGAATTGGTGACTGGAGAAAGGACGCTTCCTCAAGACAAAGGACAGCGACTCTATGTGCTCTCCATCAAGGAAGCGAGGCTGATGGGTAAGGTCAGAATGCTGACGCTGATCCCAACACAGTGTATGACAGCAGACAGCCTCACGAAGTCAATGATCCATGCAAGCATGCTCCTGCTCCTCACGACCGGCATCATCAAGTTCTTCAACGTGGACAAGCACCACGTCACTTCGAGGATCATGCCCTCGGTCAAGGACTACAACGAGCACGACCTGCTGAAGAACGACAAGCAGATGCTGAAGGAGATCAAGGAGAAGCCGGAACGAGCTTCAGCAAGCTATGCGACAGTGCTTTGTGGCTTCATGCTCCAGGACAAGATGAACGCTCTATGTCTGCTGGCTATGACGACATCGTTGCCTACGGCTACAGCTCTGGACGCGCGCTACATCGACGACATCGAGAAGGAGAACACCGCTCCGAGCATGCTCACCTTCTTCTTCCTGCTCTTCTTTGCGGTGGTCTTGGCGCTCTACCTGGAGAAGCTCTTCCGCTACATGCTGGACTATGCCCTGACGCTCCTACGCCGACGTTTTCGACGGCACTGGAAAGTGAAGGAAGAGATCGATGAGACAGCTCCGATGGATGTGGACTCATGGGAGCCAACGAAAACAGAAGAGGACTATGAAGCAGAAATCAGATCCCTCAAGAAGAAATTGCGAAAGCTGAACGAGGACAAGGACGAGCTCATGGTGACCATCAAGATCAAGGAGGACTGCATCAACAACCTGCAGAACGAGCTCAAGGAAAAGGACATGGAGAACACGTCCGGGGAAGACTTTCGTCAACGGCAAGAACGCCAAATCGACAAGCTTGATGTGGAGAAAACAGATGCTGAACGAGCTCGAGACCGTGCCCTGGACGAGATGGACAGAGTCACTTTCGAGCTGGCGAATGCTCAGAAAGAGCTTGTGAAAAAGGAGAATGAACTGGAAAAGGTGCGTGGTCGTCTCGACCGAATGGAGGAAAAGCACAGCAAGCTGGTGGACGATCACGACGAATATCGTGAGACCATAGCAGCTTCAGCACGGCACATCACTTACCTGCGAGAGCGATTGCAGCGCTATGAGACCGTGCATGCTGCTCCACCAGGAGTACGACAGATCGTGCCGAACAGCTCGACACCGACAGCTGCTCCAGCGCCTCCGCCGAGAGACACAGCTGCTGAGGAAGAAAAGAGAAAGATGCAGCAAGAGCTGCAACAGCTGCGAGAGGAAACGCAGAAGCTGAAAGAGGAGAACCAAAAGCTGCGCACGGACAAGACCTACAACACCAGCGAGATTGCCAGGATGAACCGGCAGTTGATAGAAGCCCGTGCACCTGCCACAGTGTATTTTACCAGAGGTGGAAGCTGCTATCACAACGACAGCTGCAACCATCTCAAACATGGCCGCGAGGACAGACCGCGGTCAGAACTTCGGAAGTGCAAGGACTGCTTCCCCTGAATGGCGGCATCACCACAGAAGGTGACCGGAGTGAAATTCTCAGGTCATGTGATGTCCCATCTTTTCAGGTGTCACACACGAACGCATGGCCGAATCTGCAGGGCGCCTTTGAGCTATGAAACTGAGTCAACCATATATATATATACATAATATATATGAGATACGGTCAAAATGAGCGTATACTACTTTAGAAAGGGAGGGTCCAGTTGTGCTGAGCAAGTGCACGAAACCATGTAAAGCGATAGGGCCCCCAAAAAAAGCGATAACCTGTAATCATATATAAGAGTGCACTAAACATGATGTTCACCAAGCAAATACCATATATATATATATATATATTATTTAAGTATGTATACAAGTGTGCATGGATATATGATATATGTATATGCAAGTACATACATATGTAAGTATATGTATTTGTCTACTATGTCTATCGTGAAAGTATAGCATCCCTGGAACGCACTGAGGATGGTGCCGGTGGCGGAATGGATGGGCTTGGAAAGTAGCCAGCTAGCTTCTGTATTTCCAAACATTGGATCCTTCAATTCATCCCTTCTCCTGAGCCGATCTACGCTATTCCAATGAGCGGCCGTTTGCAATGCCGGCATCCTGGCTTTGATTAGAGACCCTTCTTTTTTCAATCCTTGCTTTTGGGTCTTGCAGTTCACAGACTTTTTCTCAAGAAATCAGAATGCATGCATGCATGCATACATGCATGCATGCATACATACATACATACATACGATAGATAGATAGGTAGGTAGGTAGATAGATAGATATATAGATATATACTGTCTAGAATATATGTATTTGGTGGTTCAGCCGCTCTTCTTATAAATGTAACACTGTCATACCACAGCAAGAGCTTGTCAGGGAGGCTTGCACAATGCGCAGCCGAGGGGAGTGGCTGATAGGCTTCGATTAATTATCACTGTAGAGGCGCGTTGCAAGCAGTGAGCTGTGACCTGTGCATCAAAATGCAGCGGCGCTTCGCTTCCTGACCTCACCCTGGTAGGCCAAAGAATGGCATCGCAATTTTTGGCTTCCATATGTATGGGGTGGCAAAGCGCGGCACAAGGTTCTGTGATTGCTTCTTCGTACATATGATTCCGGGAATTCAAGACGGTTGGATGCAGTGAACCAATCCTGCGCCCAACTGTCGTCTACAGTAGTAGTTTGAATGAGATGATCACTTGCCATCACGTGTCTGTCTTCAAGACTCACCCAATATCAACTGCGAAAGTAGTGCAAAACAAGGAGAACCGCCACAGGCTAAAGGTTGTTTTCGTAAACACCTTGCTGAAAGTCCCACAGACATTCTGGCCATTTTGGAGTACACTGAGTACACAGGAAGCAGCTTGTAGCAAAAGGCTTTCAGCTTTGCATCGATGGGATCTCTGTGATTTTTCGTGTGTTCCCGTTTTTCTCCTTTGGGTTCTTTCTCAATTTTGCAAGGCAAGATACAAGCCTCTTCCAGTTGGAATCTGAATCTGACATGTTGATGGCCTCATCTCTAATCTCAACTGGACCAAAGAAGAATCCAGTCGAATCCGGGCGAATCCTTCGCCTCTGGTAATCGAAGCAGTGGGAAAGTCTCCATAGAAACCACGAGTTGTTGGTAGATCATGGTCATTGTTAACCCAAGATGAATAGACCCCCAGTGTGTGTGATGTTTCTGGGGGAAAACCATGGAAAACCTGTTTTGATAAGTGATTTGAAGCTCTATTTTGTGGAAAACCCCCAAGTCAGTGTTTATTCATCCGTGGTTGACATGTTTTGTTTAGATGTTCCGCATGGGGATTGCCAGAGGCTTGACCACCTGGGTGTCCATTCGTTCAAAACAGAGAGCGTGTCGCACCAGCGGCTCGTCTTTGATCATCGACTTGTCATGGCTTGTGGGGGTCATAGTCATAGTAAACATCATCCCATGTCTAGGGCTATTTCGAATTGCATAAAACCTCTACTGGGGATGGTTTGTTTATTTAAAAATTATATAAAGTTATAATACTTATCCCAGAATTATCGATCCACAATCCCACTCATCGATCCACAATCCCACTCAAAATTATCCCACTAAAATAATCCATAGTTTGCCATGAATCTCGTAGTGATTATCCCTCTTTCAGAAAATGCTTTACCACATGATATGGATGTAGTATGATGTAGTTATATATATTCCCAAAAAAAGATCATCACGGAGAATCTCTATGGTCACCTGGCTGTGATTTTTTACAGGCTGACACCAGCTGGCGAGTGGCGGAAGTGGAGCGTCAGCTGGTGAGGTCTGCTGGGCCCACTGGCGTGGCGTCCCGTTTCGGAAAAAAACATGGGGATGATCATGGGAAAACTATGGGAAGATCATGGGAAAATCTGGGAAAAATCACAGGGATATTGGAAATCTCTAAGATCCAAATGGATGGAGTCGGTTTCCGAAGCCCCTATATTTGATGGGGAAAAGTCCATGGTTTCCGGTTAAGACTGTCCTGACAAAACCAATCCAGTGATAAAATATTCAGAATTCTAAACATAGGGACCATTTTCGACGACTTAACATGCTGCCAAGCATTTTTCCGCGGGATTTCAGGTCGATGTAGGTCAAATAATGCGGATTTGATTGAGGATAGGCATCCAGCAGCAGGAGTACATAGAAGTTCAATCCCTCAGATATTTCACCAGAAGTTTCGTGGCATGGGCGCCATGTCTGAAATAGGGCCTGCCAAAGGTGAAATATCCAAACATCATCCACGCATCATCCATCCACATTTTCTCTCCATGTCATTTTGGATGAAAAAAAAGATACCCATTTTTGGGAATGTAAATCCTTTGTCAAGCATTGCTGCTGCAACATAACATTCTGATCATTCAGATCAAGACATCTTGGTCACTATATGTCTGGAAGCGGCCCCAAAAAGTGGCATATTCATAGATGGTTTAGCATGAATTTGGTGGAGTACACCGGTAGACATAGAATATCAACACGTTTTCAGGTAAAAGCCATGAGATTTCCACTGATCTTCAGCGACCAGGTCGCAAACAAAGAATGGCTGCAAGACCTGTTTGCAGTCCTACGCTCAGAAAAGGGAGAAGAGAAATGGGTTTGCCCAAAAACGGGTATCTACCACAATTTATAGCAATCTAAATGGGAAAAATGGTTATGATCTTTTGGAATTGGGATATCTTATTTTTTCAGACTAGCCCGAAGGCTTGGAGAACAGCTCGAAGTGGCCAAGAGTTGTTTTTGTTGGGTCTAATATTGCTTTGCAGCTCCTTTGCACATCCTTGAGTCAAATTTCCTAGTCAAGATTGCTTTAGAGGTTGCTGGAGAGGTTGCAAGAGGAACAAAATCAATTGATTGATCTGCCGTGTGCAGTTGAAGCATCGGGTGGCGAACCTTGAAATGGCCCAAAGTGGTGCTGCCAGGCTGTCTCTATTGCATGTTGGAAACAGGAACAGCACTTCATCATTGGAATATTGGAAGATGTGCAAATGTGTGTAATCTTTGTAAGTAAGGCTGGAGGGCCGGAGGACCAGCTTCGTTTCTTAATTTCTGGAAGGCAGCTGAAGGAAGTTCAGGGTGCACAAGCAGACTTGCAGGCTGGCTATAAACCTGGTTTCTATCAAGCTGCATTTTTTGATCATTTACTTCATATTGTCTTTATCGTTTCTATCATTTTTCGGATAGGAAGGCACCAGCAGATATCCCAATGGGTGAAGCTGAAGGTGTGGAGGTGCAGAGAGGGCCACTCGGTGGAACCGTGAGTCGATCTGAGTGGGAGACTGAGATGAATCTGGTGATTTTTCGGAAAAAGATGCACAGCACCAACAGACTAAACAAACATAGCAAGGGAATAACGAGGCACTTTTGAATGCTTTTGACACATCTCCAGTGCATAAAATGATATAAAATGATATAAAATGCCTCAGCCATGGACTGCCATGGGTCTGTCCTGTTTTGGGATCAAAACAGCCATTCTGAGCTGAAAAAGATGGAAGATGATCGACCAACCAAATTTTGGAAAAATTGAGGTCTTGCCAGACCGGGATGAACCATCGCTGGTTTGTGGGTGGGCCTGATGCAAAGGAGTGGAAGTTCAAATGTGAAGCTGGATTCATGTACAGTGACCGCACCCCTGAGCAAGCATCTGGCTGGGCGATGTTTCAAGGGGGTCTCTTTGTGGCTGACCCCAGTGTGTCGTGAATTGAATGGCTGTGGATGAAATCCATGCCAGTAGAGCTTTCAGTTTGTCACATGATGTAAACTTTGCTTGAAGTTTCTCAAGGCAGGTGCCAAAGAAAGCAATAGCTTGCTGCGCTATGTACAATTGTCCCAAGGTTAATGACTGACCCCATTGATGCGAGATGCACGAAAATGAAATTGAGGGGGCAGCATGCACAGAACTTGTTTACAGATGGTTTACTGTGCTTTGTAACTTTCTTGGCAGCTTTTCATTGGGACCACACAGATCCATACAGTCCAGTCGGCCCGTGGCCTGTTGGCTCTGCGAGGCAAGAAGATTGACATCGTACCTCACACAGGTATTGCAGTCTTTGGAAAGGAGTGACCTTCAGCCGTTTTTTTGAGACGTCTCACCGACGATGTCGCAACCATGGCTGGCCAGGTACTTTTTTGGAGGAGGTCCCCAGACTGGAATTCCTGGGCAATCCGTGCGCCACGTCCTGACGAGTGGCTGAGTACTAAATCAATCACGATGGCAATCATATGTTTCGACCATATATGTTGAGCTTATCACCTACCCGGCCCAATAATTCACTGTGATGTTTGCTTCACAACAAGGCTCACTCTCACAATTGCAAAGGCTTCCGTGTTGTATTTGTATCGGTCTGTATGCACTTGTTGCGCTTGTTGTTTCCCTCCTCATCCAATATTTTAATATATTTTATATGATTTATATATATATAATTTATATATTATATATATATATTTGTTTGCAAATAGGGTACCAATAGGTACCCCGAATTCCTGGGTTAATCCTCATTTTTCCATATTTTCCTATTCAATGGATCCAATTGGCCTATTTGATGGGCCCCATCCATTTTCAGGCCCACCACCAGCGTTTTGTTGGCGCGAGTCCCAGGTACCCGTGCCAGTAGCGCAGGTGCTGGAACTTGGCCAGACCTCCAAAACTTGTGAGGAGTTGGAAACGTCCGAATTCACAGATGTGGGAAAGCCATGAAAAGCCCGAATTCATTGGAGAAGCTTAGCCATCAAACATGTTGGTTTAACATGGGTTGACCACTGCTCATGGGATTTCAATGGATTTCATGGGACTTCATGCAACATTCATGGGAAGACTTCATGGCATGTTAGCATTGTTATATAACTGATGTGTATACCCAACAATGTGATTCGTCTGAAAATGCGGATTTCACCACCGAAACTCTGGCCATTTTGATAAGGGGCCATGATGGCCATCGATTTTCACGATCAGAGGTACATCCGCAACGTGCTGTCGTTGGAACATACTGAGCAGAAGTATGACCTGCTCAAGCACAACTGTCTTTGCCTCAGTGCCACAGTACTAACTTATGGCACTGATTTTGGATGCGATATACCATATGTGGAATCATGGCTGGATCAGGCAATCACTATGCAGATGATGTGGCAAAATTTCTTTTGGATGGAAGAGGTGCAACAACTTCACGGCTGAATTTTCACCAGACGCGACTAGCCTGGCACTTTTCAATGCCAGGATTGCCAAGCAGTATCGTCAACGTTGCAGAAGAAGCACTTTCTACCCCACAGGGTCAGGCGGTGAAATCCGAGATCACAGATTTGTATCCTCTTTGGTAGCCACAGGTAGACTTCAGAAATAATTAATTGATATTAATTGATTATATAGTTGGCTATGGCATGCTATGGCTATATGTAAATGAGATGATTTTCAGAGCTGGACCCCTCGGATGTCCTGATCAGTCCTTGAAAGTCATGATCGAGAACATGGAACGAAGCATGCGTTCAGGAGGCCGCCGAGAAACGTCATTTTTCTGCAGGTGTTTTTATGAGTTTCTGATGTCATGATCCAGCCTGAAACGAGAAAAAGAACGATTTTTTCAAAGTGGTTCCGAAACCATCCGAATCACCTCCCCAATGATTTCAACTGAGTGATTCTTGCATTCAGTCATTGGATCCATGTGGGAAAATCTCAGTGGCTACAAGGTACATCTATGAATCCCTTTGGTTCCGTCGGCGCCCTATATTACCCTCTGGTAAACTAACATAGCTATTGAAAATGGCTAGTGGATTTTCCCATGAAAAATGGTGATTTTCCATTGCTATGTTAATTTACCAGAGGGTATCTATATTCACCTTCGAGATTGGTGAGAGGATGCGAGACACGTTGCGAAAAAAACGTTGGAGCCAAGGCTGCTCCGCCTGCAGTGCCTGCTCCCCTTGCTGCACCAGATGAGTCTTCAGGAGAGTTGAAGGCACCAGATCCAGGGAGGATATTTCATGATTTATATATATAATATATGAATATAACATGTATGATTTTTTATTGCTGTGTTTTCTTGATGCCGTGACTTTTCTGTGTCTCCGAAGGGGAACTTGGAAGCACGCAGTACCTGCGACTAATAATCATTCCACTGTCAGGTTGCTCTTGCAGAGCTTGCCAAGAATGAGACAGAGGCTTTTTGTTGGCCAAAATCGACCGTGGTGCTTTTTCTGGTCGAACTTCGCAGCTCTTGGATTTTGCAGTTGCTGCCAGGTCCGAAGAACCGCCTTGCAGATGCTGCTGAAGATGACAAAGAACGTGGAGGATAATCCCAGTGAGACCAAGTTCCGGAGGATTAAGATGGCAAATCCCGCCCAGATCTCAGTTCTCAGCCATGCTGTCACGATGGTAGAGGGCCAACAACGCTGGCAGGGTAGCATTGTGGTAGGATTTGAGCCAAAGGCGAAAGGGCTCAGAAATGGTTCATGCAAAAACGACATCAAACACCTGCAATCATACGGTCACATTTACGTCTCCACATTGTTTCATACGTATAAATATGACTATGACTATTCATTACAAGATTGTACAAGTACATTTGCATGTGGGCACATAGATACATGTAAACGCATTGTACATGTAGCACATATGCAGATGAACCCATTAGATTCTTACTAGTAGAGAGAGCATGAAAGGAACTCAATGCTGCAAAGCACATTATTGACATTTGGGGCTTGCACTTGGACTGCATTCTATGGCTCTTAGCTGATTCACAGTCGAACTAACTGGTGCAAGACATTAAAGATTGGCAAGAAAATAAGCCGTTTACAAGAGGACGCTAGACAAGAACCCAAAGAGTTTGTATTGACGTTTGTCGACAATGAGCCTTGCCCAAACCACGTCAGGACTCTGATCCCAGCCAGGGTTCAGCATCTTCTCAAGTCATTCTGGCCGATTGCATTTTCACGACAGTTTTGCCATGCCGGCTACACAAGCTCCTTTCCCATCACTGGCGGAGCTGCAGATGCTCCTTGTCGCTACAGATTATGTGATTGACCAAAGAGTGTACAGCACAGAGAATCCATCGGGGATTCAAGAAACATGCTATGTATAAGTTATATATATATATTATAGCGCTATAAAGTATTATGTCTACAACTCTTTAACATATTGGATCACGGAGCATATATATATATATATTCTCATCATATACACATATCATTGTCCATAAATATATATATATATGTATCGTGTTCCGTGTTCCTACCCCCCCCACCCCCCCACAATGGTATGGGTCCCCAGGTAGCACCCCCTTCCCTTCTATTTGCAAGCCAATGGACCTCGTTTCTGAAGTCCAGTCTCGTATTTGCTAGGTCTTTGCAGCATTTCTGACTACCAGCCTCGCATTTACTAGGTACATGCTACCTCTTAGATGACCTACGTAGCAAACATACTCCCTCAAAGTACCTACGTGCTACCTATAGTCATATTTACATGTGCTATGTATCTACTTCCTATTTACTACCTGTGTACTCTCACAACACTACATGTGTTTCAGATATACCGTACCTACCATACATTCCAATGATACCATACATACCATACATACCATACCTACCTTACATAGCAAACATTCCATACCCATCATAGTAACCATACATACCATACAAACCATACATACTGTCATATCAAACATACCATACCCAACAGGCTTACATACCATACCTACCATCCATACAGAATCACACCCTCACCACACCACACGGGGGGAGGGGGACAGTACCACACACCCACCACACCACAGGGGGGGAGGGGGACAGTACTATGGCTGACCCATGACCATGGCCGGGGGGGAGAGGGGGGTTGGAACGCTGGACCATATATACACATACATATACTTTAGTATATTTCATATTACTGGGTCAGGGCTCGTATAGAACCCATGTGGTCGTTAGTTACCGGGTCGCCGCATGGGCCCTGTTGACCAGGCATGGGCGCCACATCAAGGAAGCAATCGATGAACAGCCTCCACCGGCCGCAGCCTCATAGGACTTGATGATCAGACTTTGATTCATGATGTTTCATGATTAAGATATTTATTTATATAGATGTCAATGTGATTTTGATGTAGATTTGATGCTAATTTATGTAGAATTGATCCTAATTTATGTGTGGTACTCTGATTTATGTAGATTTGACACTAATTTCTGTGTTACTCTGATTTGTGTAGATCTGATACTAATTTATGTGTTACTCTGATTGCTGTAGATTTGATACTCATTTGTGTGGTACTCTGATTTACGTAGATTTGACACTCATTTCTGTGTTACTCTGATTTATGTAGATTTGATACTAATTCATGTGTTACTCTGATTTATGTAGATTTGATACTAATTTATGTGGTACTCTGATTGATGTAGATTTGACACTAATATCTGTGTTACTCTGACTTATGTAGATTTGAAACTCATTTCTGTGTTACTCTGATTTATGTAGATTTGATACTAATTCATGTGTTACTCTGATTTATGTAGATTTGATACTAATTTATGTGGTACTCTGATTGATGTAGATTTGACACTAATATCTGTGTTACTCTGACTTATGTAGATTTGAAACTCATTTCTGTGTTACTCTGATTTATGTAGATTTGATACTAATTCATGTGTTACTCTGATTTATGTAGATTTGATACTAATTTATGTGGTACTCTGATTGATGTAGATTTGACACTAATATCTGTGTTACTCTGACTTATGTAGATTTGAAACTCATTTCTGTGTTACTCTGATTTATGTAGATTTGATACTAATTCATGTGTTACTCTGATTTATGTAGATTTGATACTAATTTATGTGGTACTCTGATTGATGTAGATTTGACACTAATATCTGTGTTACTCTGACTTATGTAGATTTGAAACTCATTTCTGTGTTACTCTGATTTATGTAGATTTGACACTATTTTCTGTGTTACTCTGATTTATGTAGACTTGATACTAATTCATGTGTTACTGTGATTTATGTAGATTTGATACTATTTTGTGTGTTACTCTGATTTATGTAGATTTGATATTAATTTATGTGTTACTCTGATTTATGTAGATGTGACATTAATTTCTGTGTTACCCTGATTTATGTTTATTTGATACTAATTTATGTGTTTCTCTGATTTATGTAGATTTGATACTAATTCATGTGTTACTCTGATTTATGTAGATTTGATACTAATTTATGTGGTACTCTGATTGATGCAGATTTGATACTAATTTGTGTGGTACTCTGATTTATGTAGATTTGACACTCATTTCTGTGTTACTCTGATTTATGTAGATTTGACACTAATTTCTGTGTTACTCTGATTTATGTAGATTTGATACTAATTCATGTGTTATTGTGATTTATGTAGATTTGATACTAATTTATGTGTTACTCCGATTTATGTAGATTTGACACTAATTTCTGTGTTACTCTGATTTATGTAGATTTGATACTAATTCGTGTGTTACTGTGATTTATGTAGATTTGATACTAATTTGTGTGGTACGCTGATTTATGTAGATTTGATACTAATTTGTGTGGTACTCTGATTTATGTAAATTTGATACTAGTTTATGTGTTACTCTGATTTATGTATATTTGATACTAATTTATGTGTTTCTTTGATTTATGTAGATGTTCCACTATTTTTCGTAGATGCTACGCTGACTTATATAAATATGTTTCTCAGTTTACTCTGAGTTTCATGTATATTGATGTTCCATGGTTTTCCCTTCAATCAACCCAGTGAACTTTGGTTTGAACCTGGCAGAAGTTTGCCCTTCTACAGAAAACATGCTGCGAACCGAGATCCGGACTGCTTGGTATTTGGGACCAGGTGGCACCCTTGCGCAGGAAACCGAGTCTTCGACTAGAAACGCCATGTGTTTTGATGTGTCAAGGCATGAGGTGGCTTCAGTTGGGAAGCTGGTAGGCAGCTCTCTTGGATCGGAAGAGTGGCAAGAGTTTTTGGCAAACATTTTTCTTACAGACAAATGACAAAGGATTCCCAACAAATGTTTAAGCCCAGTGTAGCTGTAGTATGGCGCAGTTGCTCAGGCTCTTGGTAACAGCCCTCATATCATCATCTACCGCAGTGGGGGACTTGGTCAGCTCTTCCTCTGTAGTGTCAACTTTTGTTATGCGTTGCGATTTCTGCATGAAATTTGAGAGAGACGTGCCGCTTTGGTTTGAACCGGATGAATAGGGCCTGAAAAGGGGTTAATTAGAGGTGTTCTTTGGCTCTGGAGCAATCTTTTTGAGCCTCGATGCATGATTTGGATTGATTTGGCAGGTTTGCATGGATCATTGCTTGCGGGTTGGCGATGCTTTGGAAGACAGGCCCTCTCCGAAAATTGTGACTTCGCTGACTGCATGTGCTGAGCATTTTGAGCCGAGATTTTTCGAATGCTTGGGTGATGTGCAACTGTAACATGGCTCACCAAGCTGGCAGCTCAAACTTTTCCCTCTGGGTTTCTGCCGTGTTTTCGAGGCTTCTTGAGTGCATGGACAGATGTGAGGTGGGCGCCATAGTCACAAGAAATCCCATGACCTGGTTTTGTCAACAGGATAGCCATGGATAGCCCCAAATCCAGTGCTTCTCATCACTTTCCCATACTTTCCGGAAGACTTTCCCCACAACATGATGGTCATAGCTGGGGTGGCGCCAAGTGTGTTCCCAATTTTCAAACCTGGACGATTTGAAGGTCACAACCCCGCCGTCTGAAAGCTGCGAGAAGACATGCCAAGGGCAGGCTGGACAGAGGAAAAGCTACATGATCTGACTGGGGCATACTGGGACATTCCTTGAAGGAACGGACAGAAAGGACATGTTCTTCATATTTCTTCATTTTGCTTGTCGTGCAGGTGAAGTATACCCGCCGGCAGGCTCTGAGAGTTGCACGTTTGGATGAAAACATGCCAGGGCCACGCTACATGATTGGAGATCTCATGATTTTCTCAGGATTTTTGATATTTTTGCGGCATGTTCAAACATGTTCAAACAGTTGGATTGCTTTGGCTCTAGCAGTTCAGCAACATTTATGAATCGAACAGCACATCTCGACTATTCTCCAAAAGAGGATTGCGACAAATGACTAAAATAAGTGCAGATCGTCTTAGGAATCATGTTTGGACCATCCGATTACTGAGAGCTTCCACTTTTTGGTGCCATGGCGATGCGCTTGCAACGCTCCCCCTTTAGCAACAGCTTTGCAGTGCCACTTGGCCGATCGAAGCCTTGAGATTCCAAAAATGGGTGTTTCATGCTTTCCTGGCTCCTGAAGACCATTTGGGGATTACTTTGGGTTAGTTGTTGAACTCCAACTGAACTATCCTTGCACAACGCCACCTCTCGCCCTTTGCTTGGCTGCATCCTTGACTATCTTGACTCAATTTTGCAGTCACCGCGTCCAAGGCTGCTTCTATGCGCAGTGGTTTTGCCCAGGCATCAACCGTCGCAGCTCGTGCGTACTGTTACAGTTTGTTGCAGCTCTTGACGAGTTTTGATGTTTGACCTTCTTATAGATCCATTGTTTGATCGAAGAATCGACTTGATCCATGCAATATCCATGCCATTTGCTGCTCAAGAGGAGACGGGGGGGTCGTGCCCGTTGGTTTCAGGGGCGCCATGTGGGCCGCCGAGGGAATCTATCCCACGGCAGATGGCTGGGTGCCACCTGCATGGCCGAGCAATGAGGAGATCTTGGAACAAGAGGACTTGGAGAAAGCCAAGCTGAAAAGGAGCCTTGTGAAACGCCAGGCCATCGTGAAGGGCAAACATATTGAGACGCTCCTCAGCATTGACTACATGAGCCGCTGGAAGTTCTCTTTGATGGTGTGGCCCCTGAAGGAAAGCTCCAAGCTTTCAGGTCGCGGCGACAACCGCAGCTACGTGTGCTGGGTATTCTACGAGCAGCAGGACGAGCAGTCTGTCATCCGAGCCTTCAACAATGTGGAGGTGAGGCTCAAAGAGAGCGAACGTGAGGTGGTTGATCCAGATACCTGGATTTAGCTGAATGATTTGGATGAAATTTTCCCAATGGGAAATCCACTACGACTGCGGAATGGGTCAAGGGGAGTAGTTTGTAACTACTTGGGGAATCTTTACATAGGGGAATAGTTTGCATGTTTTTTTTTGTTTCTTAAGCAGATCCAAGGATACATCCATCAAGAATGAGGAACTGATACTGCGGGCAAAAGATCAGATTTGCTTCTTCAGCAAGTACGAGTGGGACGCACTCACAGCTGACTAAAATGGTACAGCAATGTGCTTTCTGAGAGACGCCCAGACATCTTCGCCAAGAAAAGTCCTGAAAATGCGCAGTTGGTGCCAGCGCTGATTGGTGTGTTTTTGCTTGGCATCTCTGTGTCATGGCTATTCTTACTGCCAGGTTGGCCTTCATTCCTTCGAGAGTCAAGGCCAGGACTAAGTAGAAAGGTGCAGCCCGTTCTTGCCATGCTGCATGTGGAGTCAGATGTGTTCACTATGCAGGTGACGGAGCCAGCTGCTTTGTGACTTGACGAAGCTTTGGACAAAGTTTTGGGGCTTACTGCTTCTAGTTATGCAACCAAAGAAGATACTGATACTGTAGGTTTTCCTGGTTTCTATGCTACTCGTAATTGGAAAAATGCTGAGCAGCAAATCTCTGCCCCCTTAGGCTCTTTTAGATCTCCTGGATTCTTCGGATTGGGATTCAACATGATTCAACCGGCGACATTCGCGGTCAACTTTTAACATAGTTTTTCCCCTGGTGGATTCCATTTGGAGGGGGGTACCCCTAAATCACGTAAATTATCAATTTTCATGGGATATTCCATTTTAATAATCCATTATAGACTTATAAACTTATAAACCATTCATTTTGGGGATCCCCCATTTATGGAAGGCCCATTGATTTGTTGATGTTCGGCCTCCGATTCTGACAGGTTCTCGGTTGGCCTTTTGTTACCATCGGCTGCCAACGCTCAAGTCAAGGCTGGTGGATGTTTATCCAAAAATGATCGGTGTTCAATGTTTTTAATAAGCAGGGTATGTTCATGTGTTGTTGATGTTTGGTTGATGTGTTGTTTATGTTTATTTTCAGTTTATTATATAATGTTTATATATGTTTATCAAATGTGTTCTTAAACGCTCTTTCCATCCGATTCGAAGCCTAATCCGCGCAGGCGCCCAGGCCCGAGGGTCTGCCAGATTTTCTGACAACGCCAGACAAGGCAGGAGGTTTGAGGGCCCCGGCAACCAACACATGGGGATTTCATGGGTTTCCATAGTCATGGTGGTACCCCTATTAATGGCGGGTTTATATATGGAAAATCCATGAAAATCCAGTGAAGATGGATGATTTAGAGGTACCCCCAGTTTAGGAAACCCCCACGTGGGAAAAGCTGGGAAATCCTAAGGGCATCTCTATTTTCGATGATTGGGAAAATCATCTCGAACTGGGGAACCCCCAGAAAGCTATGTTTGATGACAACGGAGGGTAGCAATTCTTCAATTTGTACATTGTAGTCTTCCTTATAGTTTTATTGTTATAGAATGTTTAATGATATTTAATGATAAATAGATATAAATAGCAACTATTGAATATATCCGATGAATCTCCCATTGAATCAAATATAATAAACCTCCATTTATCTTATAAAAATCCCCATGATAATCGTGTTTCGCCCTAGGTCCCCGGGCCTGACCTCTGGCTTAGGAGCCCGAGTATGCCTCGCTGTGGAAGCAATGGGGAGAGCAGCACCTCGGCCACGGCGCTGTCTGACACGCCACGGCTGGACCTTTCGAGGACGATAATATATGACAATTATATATAATTATATATATGACAATGAATCATAATATTATATCATTAACATTCATTTACACTTATACATCCAAATGTATTCTTGTTATCATACATATTATATTTAGGAGATTTTAGGAGTATTATCATGTTATTTGATAATGTATAGGATTCTAGGATGATATTTGACATTTTTGGGGTGACCCAGCAACAATCCTCCACACAGCTGTGGAACAAAAACCAGGTCGAAACAAGTTGGCCCAGCGGATCCCAGTTTGTCGGGCCTTTCTCAAGATGACCGGAGCGCCATTCTTGGATGCTTGGGCGATGGATAGCTATGGATGCCTACCCATCTGAGATGCCTAAATAGAGAACATGGGTCCAATGAGGTTAAATATTGTTAAATGAGGTCCACATTCTTCACTCTTTTCGAATCAAATTCTTAAGACTCAAGACATTTCTCTGGCTAAATATATGTTGACCATTGTTGACCCATACCCAAAGTCACGCATCACTGGCATCACTGCTGTTGTGAAGCAAACGGCGCTAAGACACTAAGGAGTGCTGGTCGGAACCTGAATTTTCCTGATCCATCGCATCCCGATTTGACCATGCCTGGACCATGCCTGGACCATCGCGTTGGTTTTGCGTTTTTGTTTCAAGGCGATTTCGATTTTCGCCGTGCCTGTGGTGGTCATGGGTGTCTTTGGCGCTGCCTTGAAAGTACCCTGGGCGAGACCTGAAAAGGACAGCAGACATGGTCGCAGCTGGTTGCTTTCGTTGATCGCAGCCTGTTTCAGGACCCTGAAAATCCCAACGAAAAGAAGATGGAGATTGACTTCAGCGATCTGAAAGACATTTGAAATAATTTGAGTATGTCCTGCCAATGAGCACTGAAAACATGGTTCACAAGATAAAGGGTAACGGAAAACAGAGTAGCAAAGCTCTTATGACTAGCCATCCTTGCAGAAAAGAACATCATAGTGCTTGGCAAGCTTGATTTTCCTGGAATCGCATGTGAACGATTTTGAGTGAGAACGTCCAAAGAATAACATTGGCTCAGCTGGCAAGAGCTGCTTTGAGCCCATTTTCGCTGCAATTTCTGTGCACCTGGAAATCCGATACGTGGCTCTCACTGCGATTTGGCTAGTGGCCGCAGTCGCCTCTGCCAAACACTGCATAATATGACTGTTGCAAAAGAGGTGGGCCGCTGCAACACATAGATTTATCTTTATTTGTCTAAAAATGGGTAGCCATGGGTAGCCATAAATCTACTGCTTGCTCATCATGTTCCACCATTAAATGGCCACTAATTAAATTGGTTTGTCTGAAAATGTGCTACCCAATTCATGAATCCGCCTGCCACACCTCATCAGATAGGTCCAGCGACAGCAATCAGACTGCGTGAGCCCAAGGGAATTTCCAGGACGCAGCTGTGACTATGCCGGGATGCATGTTGCTTTAAGTGGTCCAATATATCATACAGCGAATCATACATGAGTTTGTAGATTCACCAGGGTTTTAAGATAAAATGGTGCTCACTAGCAGTCTGATTATCGGAAATGAACAAACAACATAGAGTGACCGTCAGTGACCGGCCCTGTCAGGCCTGGGGACAAAAACAAAATCAGCCCGTGGGAGAACTGGAAAGTTGTGATCATTTTTGAGGCAACAAGGGATGCGATCGACTTCCAGCCACAAATCGACTTCTGGCCTGGTGCCAAGATTTCAGACAGCTATAGCACTAGTAAGGTCCAGAACATGTGAAATTGGAAATCCGAAGCTGCCATATGATTTTGAGGCTTTTGCTGGAGTAATGGCAGTCCTTCCAGTGGTGCCACTTCTGGGTACCTATAGGCCAAGCGGTCCAAGCGCACATCCTTGATGATGATGTAGCATATGTAGCAGCGTGGTGACCTCTGGTGATCCTGTCAGGGATGCTTGCAGCTGTGAATGTTGCAAAGGACGGCATTGGCGACCAACCCCCGGTTATCACCCACAATCTTTCATGTAATGGGTCAAAACCCTTGTGCCCTTTGGTTATCACCCTAAAATCCTAAAATTGCTGAGATTTATGGATTGTCATCCCCCCGAAATACAGCATGAGAATCTTTATATATTATATAATATTATTATTTTTTTAAAAAAAAAATATGTATATATTATTATTATTATTACTATTATTATTATTACTATTATTACTACTATTATTATATATTATTATTACTACTATTGTTATTATTATTATTACTATTATTATTATTGATTATTATTACTATTATTATTATTAATTATTATTATTATTAATTATTATTATTGTTATTATTATGTAGTCATTGATGAGTATTGTAGGTTTTGACATGTTTTGACCCATTCCCATTCGAAGGCCAACCAAGCGCCTTTTTTTACAAGTGCAGGACTTGGCTGCTCGCCAAAGCTGGCTCTTTTCATTGTGGTTGTAACCTGAGCTGAGCTGTTCCATGCAGTGCAAAATGGTGCAAAGCCGTCATTCTAATGGGTTTTCACAAATTTAATCATATGGCTTATATATATATATATGTATAGAGAGAGAGAGAGATTGATGTATAAACACACATATATATATATATTACATATAAACGGAGTTTAACATATTTGATAAATATACACATATTAAACATATCTAAACCATCAATCTGCAGATGGTTTGAGCACAAGAATCCGATGCCATCGCTGGTCGAAAATCTCAGGCCTGGACTGCCTATGGCTTCAGTACGCTTTGGTGCCATGGTCGAATCGTGCAGCGAAAGCCCAAACGAAACCCATGGTGTTTTTGGGGATGAAACATGGAGGTGTCCATAGTCATGAGGGTACCCCAATAGCTGGATGGTTTATGATGGAAAATCCCTGGAAAATCCCACGAATGGATACTTAGGAAACCTCCACATGACTGGGACCATCAACCATGGGGGTCTTTAATGATTTTGATATTCATTGAATTATCCAGGAAGATTCAACCAGAATCAGAATTTAGTGACACTTCCATGGATTCGGAGAAACTGCGATCGAACCGTGGTAGCTTTAACCGTTTCAACATCGTTGCGATCTCAGCGTTGCCAGGGTGGTTCCCTCAGTGGCAGAGGATGCTGGAGATGTTGGCGGAAAGGTCTTCTTTCTAATCACTCAGGGCCTGGCAATCGCGCCCCTCGGCAGCTGCGTGAATCGCCAAGAGATTCTTGTGATACCCCAAAACAAGTTAAGGGATATGTTTTTATATGTTTTTTATAGTATTTTATACTTATATCATATCCCACAAAAACAGATCTAATGTGGATATTATTGGATCCATGGAACCATATTAATAATTTTAAATAAACCACATTATAATTCATATAAAAACGCATTAAACCATATTAAACCATCGATTTTGGGATGAAGGCTGGAAAACCATCCATTCACCTAGGTCCATGGCTGCCTCTCGGAGGCTCGCTGAACTCGCCGAGGCGGCCGTACGGGACACCCTCATATTTCATGGGAAAATCTATGGGTTCTGAATGGTTCTGAAGTAGATTTTCCAATTTAAACCAATGCCATAAACCTACCATGACTGGGGACGGTTAAAAAAAAACAGCCATAAGAATATATAATAATCGGCATTTGGGGGATGGTTTATGGCATTGGGTTTACCAGTATATCACACTACCCCCAAAAAAGGATGCAGAAAAGTAAATTTATCTTCGTCGGATTTGACCAACTATCTTTTTGAGGGTTACTAATGGTTACTATATATAACATTTAGGGACTTCAACGAAACCTGTCATTTCTTTACAGGATGGAGATCCATAAACCGCGGCGAAAACACCAGTGGTTGCTAATCCCATGATTCCACCTGCCCATGTTTGAATTTAGGTGAGAGCCAGCGAAAGCAACTACAGAATGGCGGAGTTCGGCTGCACAGGTCCATGACAGCAGAATTTCAACCCAGCTCGGTTTTGTTGGAAAAATCTATTCTTTGCAGTGTACATCACTGTACTATATACAGGAAACTATGGTTTTTGCCGCCAATTTGGTTGGTTTTTACTGCAGGTTTTCTCGTACGAAGCAATTCGGACACTTAATCACTTCGACACTGTGTCAGGCTTAGCCTTTGAAATAGATGTGGCAAAGACTTTGTGGGCACTGGGCACCATGTGATACATTATCATACACCTGATCCGCTTGACAGCGCGAGAATCCTATAGGATATCCACCCGTCGGAAATCCCCGAAGTTTTTATGGATGGTTCGCTGGAAAAATCATCGAAGTCAATGGGGATTCTTCAGGTCAGCCATGTTTGAGGACACCGGAGGGTAAGAGACGCAATTTCAAGGTTTCAATGTTTTGCTGGTTGTTGGTTTGGAACATTTTTGATTTTCCCCAATAGTTGGGATGATGATCCAATCTGACTTTCATATTTTTCAGAGGGCTTGAAACCACCAAGCAGTTTTTATAAGTTCACAATATGTGACAGAACGATGCCAGGTGCTGAAATGGTTGGAGCGACCGTGGGAACCACCGTGGGTTCTCCTGTGATGGTTGGGCCGGCCATGAACGAACTTCAGTCCACGGTGGAACGATTGGACCAGCAGGTCCAAGAGTTGAACCGGAGACAGGCAATGATGGAGAAGGAATTGGCCACCTGGCCATGATGGACTGAGACTGGACTGAGACTGGCGATGGCATCCAAGGATGATCTATTCATGGAGATATGAAGAGAGTCATGAGTGATAATAGTTTTAAAATGTTAAAAACTGGTGTTATATACGTACATATAATTTACACACACATGTGGAATGTGTGGAAGATGTTTATGATATCGCATGCGTCTGAGAGTTTTGGAAGATCCATTTGATGCAATTGGAAGCCTTCGTCTTTCCTGTGTTGAACTTGAAGAATTGGACCATGACCACTGCACCGGCTGAGGCCTCTCGCAAAGAAGCTCCTCGAGATCTGATGCAGACAGATCCCATCGGACAGGACAATACGCAGGAGCTACTGTAAGAGCGATGATAGCGATGTGATGGTACCAAATGAAAAAGGTCTCTGAATCAGTTTTCTACTGTTTGACTCTTGCATGTGTCCACAGAATTCCTAAGCTTTTCAGCAGGACATCAGTAGCTCTTTGCTTGTCTGAAAGTTCATGGTACTGGAAGCAGTCAGTTCATGAGCCAAAAGCTCGCAACATGAAAATGGCCGCGCCTAATCCCGGATGTCTTTGTTTATCCGGTGGGGGGAGCGGTTTTCTCAGCGCTATCCACATTCCATCAAATTCCCAACAACTGCATGGTGAGCAAAGAGCTCTAAGACTTTCCCAAGCGCATGATAGTCAGTTGCTGCAGCAGTTTTTGCATGTTGTTTCTTGGTGTTTCTTTTTTGTTTGCTATGGCTATGTGGGTTTGAAAATTTAGCAGCATCCCCCCAATTCAAATTTATATGATCATCAGATCATCAGTTTCCTTCTAAAAATATAGCTATATAATTGGGCCTCTTAAAAGGACCTAAAACAATATCTTATAGGCCTAATATCCATTAGTATCCACTAATAACAAATATTCCACTATTTTGTGTGGTATCCCTTCTTAAAATAGGTCCAAACCGATGGTCCTGCGTCCTGACCTGCTGCGCTGAGGCCTTCCAAAAGAAGGTGGAAGCAGCCAACGGTGGCGTCGATGCCTAGCCCTGAGAACTTTCCGAAGGGATGGGGGAAGGGATGGGGTCAGGGACGGTAGAGTGGAGAAATGTGGAAAAATTGTGGTTTTTAACCAAGAAAAACCTCGGTTGATTTAAGTTACAGTTTGCTATTGAAAAAGGTGAAAAAGGCCAATTGATAGCATTTAATTATACTTGATTTACAGATGAAAAATTGTGATATTCCATAGCTATGTTAGTTTACCAGAGGGCGGTGACAAAAATAGTAGGACTGGAATGGATTGGAATGAATTGCAGGACTGAAGGATACATACTGTATATCATATACATACGTACATACATACAGACACACACACATATATACATACATACATACATACATACATACATACATACATACATACATACATACATACATACATACATACATACATACATACATACATACATACATACATACATACATACATACATACATACTACATACATACATACATACATACATACATACATACATACATACATACATACATACATACATACATACATACATACATACATACATACATACATACACATACATACATACATACATACATACATACATACATACATACATACATACATACATACATACATACATACATACACATACATACATACATACATACACATACATACATCATACATACACATACATACACACATACATACATACATACATACATACATACATACACATACATACATATACATACATACATACACATACATACACATACATACACATACATACACATACATACACATACATACACATACATACACATACATACACATACATACACATACATACACATACATACATACATACATACACATACATACACATACATACACATACATACATACATACATACACATACATACACATACATGCACACATACATACACATACATACACATACATACACATACATACACATACATACACATACATACACATACATACATGCACACATACATGCACACATACATGCACATACATACACATACATACACATACATACACATACATACACATACATACACATACATACACATACATACACATACATACATACATACATAAATACATACCCATACAGACATACAGACAGACGGACGGACAGACAGACATACATACATTTACATACATATCTTGTTGGAGGATGGAAAGTTTCGCTTGGAATCTCATAGTTAAAAACAACCTTGGGACTATCCAGAACCCACTTGGTTAGGGTTGAACCTCCACTTAGATGGCTTGCAGTTGTAGAGCTCAAGCGTCGATGTCGGCAACAGGTGATGATGGCAGCAGGTTGGCTTCCCGACACAAACGAAGAGGGGGAGGCCAGCCTTTGCAGCGACATGGAAATCGCCATGAGATGAGTCACACATTACCCTCTGGTAAACTAATATAGCTGAAAATGGCCATAGAAATAGTTAATTTACCGATAAAAAAATGGTGCTTTTCCATAGTTATGGTATGACACATGGTTCCGGAGGACTGCTGGCTATTGAACGACTCTTCCGCAATGTGTGGACCACAGAGTGCAAAGCTCTCACTGTTTGTCTTGCGCCAAGAGTCATGAGAAGTCACGAATTGTCCCTTGCTTGTCTTGCTTCAGAAAAGATGTTCCTTTATGCATCAAGTCAAGGAAACAGGTATCCGTCCGAAAAATCTTGGACGATGAGCTCAAGAAGCTGTTGCAAACTTAGTGTTCCGGCTTCTTGGAAAGTAATTTTACTTCGAAGCATGACCTTTCACAGCATGGTTGATAGGGTATATATCGGACAAAGATTGACACCAAAATATCCAAAATACGTTTGAATCACAACGTTAATCATTGCAGTTGCGACCATTGGCCAAGTCTGAGGCCGGCGCCGGTGGCTCCAACACCAGCTCCGTGCCTGACCCAGGAAGATTTGTCCAATAGAGAGTATAGACATATGGCTATGGATCAATACCTATACATACTATTTTTAGTGGGGTGAACATCCATTTACCAGCTATTTTGATGTGAACTACAGGGGTACAAGGTTTTGACACACTGCCATATAGAGACATGGTAGATGGCTGACCGGCGATTTTTCCGCTGGCTTGGTGTTGCCAGAAGATCTGTTGCTAACTTGCTGGGTTTTGTTTTTCTGAGGGCGGCTGCGCCAGTGGCAAGCAGTGGCTATGGAGGCCGCAGGAACTTGAGGGAGAACGAAGCATTGCCGCATGGCCTGGCCGTGCCTGACCCAGGTCCAGCCGGTGGATTGCCCGGTGGCTTTCCCAACTTGCCTGGTGGGCTGCCGGGTGGTATGGCCAACAATCCCATGATGCAGCAGGTGGCTGGAGCTGTTGAAGAAACACTGAAACATGGAAAACTGAGGTTTTAACTATCCAAAGATACTCCCAACTGCCCAAGTCGTGGCGAAATCCCAAAAATCTTGAAATTAGCTTGGGGGAAGGCTTTTGTGGAAGTCGTGGCGATGCGGCGTTTAGCTTGTGTTTAGGGTAGGTTGCTGTTCTACTATCTCATGTAGACCTAAAGTGGCGAAGCGGCGTTTAGGTTGTGTTTAGCTGCTGCTGCTGGTTCGACGGCTGCTGCTGTTGCTGTTTCCGGGTACTTCTACACACCGCTGGGATTATCATCTCTACACTGCCATGGCGGTGCGCTGGGATTCTGCAAATTGTCATTGTTTCGCTACCAGTGATCCAAGGAAGGGCAGGTTTGCGGCTTGCGGGCCAAAGTCCATGTGTGTAGATGCGGGGCTTTTTCCGTACCTCGTTTAGACCTCGTTTTGGACCTCGTTTTTTTCTTTATCAGAACCCATCCTGCAGTATACAAACTAGGAAAAGGGCCTGCTTCGCGTTTTTGTTTGTGGGCGTCAACAGTACCCACGAAAAAAGGCCCCGTTGGAAACCGGCGTTCCGATGGGATTCGATCAAAAACGAATAGAACCATGATAGTTTGGTCAAGGCTTGTTAAAGCTAGCGTTTCCAATGGGGAAAGGGGTTTTGCAAGGTCTGTGCCGGGACAGGGGTCGTGGCGAGCGTTTTGATTGGGAATAGCTGTCAAACGCAAACATTGCAAGGACTTTGGCGTATGGGTGTATCCAAAGAATTCCAAAGATATCAATAGAATCATACCATCCAAATACTTGGGACGAACTGATCAAAGTTGATGTTTAATCAGCCAACAAGATGAGTTTGGCCGGACAATGGGGGGATTGAAACAGAGGCCAACGGTTGCTTGGGTCTACAAGGATGCTGAACCAACATCCAGTGTCCGAAAACCGGCAGAGTATCCCAAAAGCTTTGCGGTTCATCATCGTTCTCTTGATTAAAAATGATATGTTGCGTTTGGGATAATTTTGGGGTATAAGACAGAACGTGACCAAACCATTTGGGTTTTCTGGTATTATTTTTGAGGTTTTCGTTCTTGGACAAACCTGGATTTTTGAGACGTTGTCATATATTCTGTGGGTTCTGACCTGCGCCAGATGATGAACAATCCTGCCATGATGCAGCAGGTCCCGGTCTCTTCGGAATTTGTTTCTTCAGCAAAGTCTTCAGATGCTGTGATTTTTGACACTGAAAGATGGGGCCAGGGGGTGCTTGATGTAGCCAGGCGCAGCAGATGATGCAGGATCCAAACATGATGGCGCAGGCAGTCACTTGTGACAATGTGGTCTTCCAATGTCTTCCAGACAATCACTCGGTGGCAATTGCCGCAAAGTTTCCTGTTTGCTCATATTACTATGTGAGTTTCACGCTTCTTTTCCTGCTGTTCAAGCAGATCTAGCAATCTAGCAATCTCAGAATCGGCGTCATTTGACGCTGCATGTCATCGTTTGCAGCCAGCGATTGACGAGCAAATAGGTGCAGCAGATGATGCAGAATCCACAGGCGATGTCCCAATTGCAGCAGATGTGCCATGGATGCAGGGAGAACTTGGGTGAGTCCTTCAGTTTTTGTTACGCTGGATTATGTTGAGTTATGTTGAGTTGTGCTGATTTATGTTGGTATGTGATGGAACCCACTGAAACATCACAAAGCCGAAGACATTTCATTTATAGTTTTTCATAGCACATCCGAGGATGGGCAACGGCGGTTTGGGTGGCTTCGGACGCTAAGCACCTTGGGTCATCTATAGCCGCCCCAGGGATCCTTTGGAATGGGAGCTCAGTCAAAATTGACTCACTCTCCAATACCTTGAAGTACAGGCTGTGACATTCAGATAGCGATCACCAATTTGGACCTATAGTAGAAGCAGAGAAAAGTGACATGAAAGCACGTTGACTGTGGGTGATAGCTACCTCTACAAAGGAAAGAGGCAAAAAGCTGTCAGCTTTCCTGGATCGGTTTGTCCAAGGAATTTGGCAACGTCCTTTGTACAGAGGAACCTGTCAGTTCGTACATCATTTCGAAAATGGCTGCACAGAGAGATCGTATGACCAAGGTGCAAGACGCAAATCGGCAGAAGTGAAGTATCATAGGAACTTGCAAAAGCTGTAGAAATGCTTTGCACGTTGCGAATGAGTCCCTATACTACCTGCGCCCATTTCTGTTCACATAAGTGCCATTGGCTAATACGGGACAGTTGGAGTTGCTCAAAACCATCAGCTGCAGCCATCATGGCATAGTCGCAAAGATCTGGCTCTTATCCACGCAGCAATGAAGCGGGAAACAATTTCAAATGACCAGCTCTAACCAGCGTAACCAGCTTCGATTTTCAATTGTTGCTTCAACAAGGTCATACATAGTAATACAATGTAATACAGCTGATTTGATTTGGGTAGTCTGAGAAGCCAAAGTCCCAGTCACTAACAGCATGGTACGGTTGTTGAAAACACCACCATGTCGGACCATGTCCCTTTGCTGTCTGCCTTGCACGCCACGGACCTTCAGATGTAGGAAAATACCCAGCTGAAACGCTTCGCCAGCTGTAGCATGTCAAAGGTAAAGACTATCAAAGCCACAGGTGCGGATGGGCAAGTGAACACCCTGGATGTGATCCTACGGAAAGCCAAAAGTGGCAGCATGGTATTCTTTCCAGGTGATATTTCCACGGGCAGAGAGGAGATGAAAGCCGATGAAGAAGCGAAGGAATGGCTGGAGTGGAGCACTGAAGGTATTGGACAGCTCCTCGCGCGCAGATTCCAATGCTTGAACATCATTCTGGTGCGGCCAGCAAGAATGCGACAAGGCCACAGCTGTTTTGATCACTTCTTGACCACAAATCTGAATGGTGACCCTCGAGATGGCGAGTATGATTCTGAAGGCTCAGCATCTTTACATCTATTGATGTTGCTTGAGGACTTGACTGTCCAGATGGGAATACCGAAGAGTGATTTCCTCTCATCGCTTCATCTGGTTGGCTTCAGCAAAGGAGCCGTTGTCCTGAACCAACTGCTGGCTGAATTTGGAGCGGACTCCGCGCTGGAAGAAAGCCCTCCGTTTCGATTGCTGTCCATCACCCGGACCATCGAATGGTTGGATCCTGGGATCAGCGATGGAAACTGCGTGTTTCTGACAGATGAAGATTTGCTCCGAATGGCAGCGAGTCGATTTCGAACATGTCATCCAATAACTGGTTTGTATGTGGTGTTGTCTCCTTTTCAACTGGCTTTAGACAGCTACGAATTTGACTATCCCGAGGACGAGGAAGCTTGCACATCGGAGGAATTGGGCTTGGACCTTCTGCAGTCCGTCATGCAAGAGGAAAACATGCCTCTAGAGGTGGAATATTGTTGCTTCAACAGAGAGCCGACCATGCATACGCATTTCCGTGTGCTGAAAGAATTCAACATTCAGCATATTCTGCGCAGTGTCTCAGAAGGAGAAGGTGGCGGACAGAATCAGAACAAGAAAGTCTTCAAAGAATCTCGCAGCATAAGGCATACGATCACGATGACATTGTCGCGGACGTGTGTTTGCATGTGAAGCTTGCAAAAATAATGCAGGCTTTAAGTGAACCTCCACCAAGTCTTTTGAATTTCATGGCCTGAATTTTTAAAGTTGCTGTGATTTAAATGGGCTTGCTGATAGATACAGTACAAGTTTTCTGAGAGTTCATTACTCAGACACGTTGCCTCGAGTTTCCAGCCACTGCGGGCTGCTAATGCGCTGTGTGTTGGTAAAATCAGCCAACACCAAAACCAGAAAAAACCAGCATGCTTCAAATCCCAGCCTGTGCAATACCTTGCATTCGAAAGGTGAAAGTGAACTCGTAGTGCATATTGCAGTTGAACATTGGCCTTTGCAACCATGGCACATATGCCGGTGGCAACCTATTTTCTTTTCCACGGCAGACGGCAACGGCGCTTGTCCTCTCTTGGGCTCATCAGTACTTTTCGTTCAACAGCGCTCTAGTCTTCGCAGCCACTTGCATCGGTTGCAGTTCCAAACTCAGCACGATGGTCATAACTTCATAACGACGTCCTGGAATTTATTTCATGATTATTCAAATTGTAAGGTGCAGCAGCCAGAACACTGGAATCATCATCCATACATCCATTCTATTCATCCGGGATCTATCCATCTCGGGCAACTCCAAGGCTGTGCGACCTCGCATGCTACCTGGTCCCTTGGCTGGGGAGACCCCTCAACTCCAGCTATGGCAGTGGGTGACTGGTTTTGTGAGTTGGGGTAATAAGTATTGGTATTGAATCCTTAGTACAACTTTGACATATAGATAGATAGATAGATAGATGGATAGATAGATAGACAGATAGATAGATAGATAGATATAATATATATATATATATAGATGTATACATAACACAATAGTGTATGTATAATCATACATATCTAATGCCCAGGCAGCAACTTATTATTTTTCTGGCCAAATGCGTGTCAGTTTCGCCGCAAAGGAGTGGCCTCAATTGATGCTTTCAAAGTCAGCAAAACTCAGAACGTGTGTCAGTGTAGTTTAGCCATGAGTTGATTGTTTATTTGTTTAGCTCATGGCTAACCCACAATAATGATACGTAATGTTAGTATGGAAACCTTTAATATCCTTTAATAAATAGATGACTATGAGTATGGAACTTGTACTGTTAGTAAAACAATAGGATCCACCATCCAAATGTTACCATTTTTATGGGTGGTATACCATCAACATATGGCGGGTTTACTGTTGTTTCCCCAACATCAGGTTATGTTGGGGTTCCATTGTCAAGTGGACAAACACTTATGGTCGGACACACTTGTTTTCTTTTGACAAGGCACATCGACATGGAGATTTGAGGTCATGTTATTATCCATGTGTATCCGCACCTTTGCTCATTAAGTCCTGATTGTTGCTGGTTAAAACCTCATTTTGGATGGTTAAATTACCATGTTTTCAAACTGGATGGTTGCTGATCATGCTGATCCGTCTCTGAGGCTGCCTGCTTCCAAAGGCACAGAGATTTTGAGCAAAGATCTGAGTGATCTGAGTTTGTCTGAAAATTATGGGAAAACTCCAGTCCACTGGTTAACCATATATCATCATGTTCATTCAGTTTCCCTATTATTTGATGATTTGGATGGCCATTTCAGAGTGGTTTTTGCCTATTTGTAGATATACACCCATTCGTCATGGGATGATCTCAGCTTGCCATGAACGTGTTTCACTCGAGGTTTGCGTGCGATGAGGCATGGCTTTGTTGGCGTGTAGCGTGTTGAAATCGTCGTGAACTGCTAGATGTTTGATGATGTTTGGGGGATTTTGGGGGTGTGGCCTTTCCTAAACACCCAAATGATCTGAAATGTTCATAAAAGCCATGGCTGAAGAGCGTTGTCACCGAGGAGAATCGCATCCATTGTGTTTGTTTGGAACATTTTTGCAACGGCAACAGCATGAGCATGCAGAAGGTGGATCCTTTACGCACCCTCACTATTTGGGCTAACAGTCGCAAATGACTTGCCATGAACTCAGAGCCGCTGCAAGCTGCAAAATTTGATTGACAAGGATCATCTAGAAATATATATATATATACTTATAATGTCCCATTTTTGATGGTTAATACTAAGTTAATACCACCTATTGATGGTGATTTGGGGGATGGATACAGGAAATCTGACCGCTGGGATCCACCAAAATTTGCTCAGGTGTGGTGGCAGCATGTGCACTGACCCTGAGCAGATGGATCTGGCCAAGGTACTGGATTTTTTGCGGGACTCTGACCTGGATTTGTGCGACATCTCACCCATCAAAAATGAGGACTTCAGTGGCTTCACTATCAAAAATGGTGGTATCATGGCATATCATAGGGATAGTTCCTTTCTATGGACGAGTTGTCCATTGGAAGTAGGGGTTTTATCCGTGATTCCTCACGGCGGGGTGCAAGATGTGCAAGGCCTTCGAAGGTGCTGAAGATGATGGTAGTGATGGCAGCTTGCGGCTACTCCAGGTGGCCATGGTCAACTTACATGGTTTTCCCAGGGGATGGTCGTGGTTCCATGAATTTGGTTTAAGAATGTTTAAGATACGGTAAGAAATCCCATGCATTGTGGAATGACCATGCCCATTCATCCCAATTTGATTTCAGTATGAGTATGGGTCAAAATTGAGCCAGGAACTGCAGATGTTGTTTTTTTTGAGTAGCAAACCATCCCATTTTGGGGTACCAAATTTTGGCCCCCCATAGGGAGAGAGAGAGAGAGAGATATTACTTGGTCCCTTGCCAAGTAGTCAAAGTTTAAATTCGTTTCTGTTTGATACAAGTTGTTTTCAATCATGTTGTTTGTTGTCAGGTGGTCCCCACCTTGTGTATCCGACTTCGACCTACACTGTACATACCTTAACCATCCTTAACCAAACGTTTGACTTTGGAGGGCACGGCACGCATCCATGGAATCCATGGCAGGTTGCGCGGATCGCATCATCTACACTGCCAAGAAATGAGAAGAGCCACCTTCAGGTCGTGGGGTGTGGGTGGTTTCCTGAGAAATCTGAGAAGGGGGTTATTTTTGGGGGACCCCAAAATCATCCAAGTCACTGCTTGTTAATGGGAAAAGCAATGGCTTTGGGGTCGCCATATTTTAGGAAAGCTCCACTTCCTCGTGAAAGGTTGAGTCCAGCAACTCAACAGCGACAGCTATGACTTTGCCCATGTCATGGTTGCAGGACAGGCATTGGTGAAGTGTTGAAGTCGATTTTCGTAGCAGCTACATGGTGGGTCACATTTCATCACGTTTTTACTAGTAACTAGTAGATGAGAAGATGGTGCCGTTTGCTGCAATTGGGTAGGTGCTTCAGATTCCATCAAAAACAACAAGATTTGGTTTTGAGTTTAATTTCTCGGATACAGCGGGATATTTATAAGATATAATTATATTTGTGTCATGGATTGTTGTGTATAGTCCATTTCAGTGGGGCTTGATTTTTGACCTATACCACTCAGCGTCACAGTTTTGCTGCAGGAGACCATGAGGGCAGCAACGAGTGGAACTGTGCCACCGCTTTTGATATTAGTAGGGCAGGAGCCCCATCACTCAATGGATTGGTCAAGGGAAAAAATGCAGGAAACACCCATATTTCACGGGAAAATCGTTGGTTTCCTGTAGATATTCCCTTCAGCCAATCCATTGAAACACAACGCTTTCTACACTGAGCTGAGAAATGCATGTCAGGGTGTGTGTGATTGAAACTGTGGCATACCCAGAAATGGCAGTTTTTTCATGAGAAAACAGGGATTTCTACATATTTCTACCAGTGGACGGAATAGGATACTGCAGATACCCAGTTTTCAGACAAAGCCATGTTGCAATCGTATGCAGTGAGGCTCGCTTTGGCTTTGGGTGTGATGATTCTCCTTTTGCTCCAACGGCCTGATGTCCCAGACACGAGGATGGGATATGGAATGATGACGTGTTCCTTTATTTTTGTGGGCTTGTTTGAAAGTATGGAAATCAATGGAAATCAAAAATTAGATGATTTAAGTATATTTAAGTAGTCTGTTTCCTATTTGTTTGATGGCCATTTGGGGGTATCCACCATTTCGAGACACACCCGTGTATGTGTAGGGTACTATGTACACTTGACTGGGATCTGTATCGTTTTTCCAAGGCTCGACTCGCAGAAAATCTCCAATCGAAGAGGCCTTTTGTCGGATGAAACATTTTGACTCGACGCGCGAAAAAAACCATTTCTGGATGCTCGGGAGCGGTGGTCGTGCTTTTTCGCGTCCAAACTTTGTAGTGGCACAGGCATTCTTCGAGCATTCTGTGATGGTGAAAGAGTGTACGGGACATCGAAGAGCACGAGATCTCTTCCAGCTAACAACTCAAAGCTGTGAGTTTTAATATCTACACATTCGCAGTGAATTTGCTGTCGGGAATGCAGTGCCAAGACTGAAGCCTCTATAGCTTGCAAGGAAGACTATGCTCAGCTTTTCGAGACCCGAACCTTCGCTTCCAAAAATGGCAAGTGGCTACTGAACTCAGAAATGGTGCACAGCATTGCACTGCAAATGAGTTTGAGGCGCCCAGGCACCAGTTGTTGGTATGACTCAGATTTGCACGGCGAGTTGGGTGTCAAGGTCGTATCCTGGCATGGGAGCAAGCTTCACTCCCGGGTTTGGAGCACAGTTCAGTTGTTTTCTAGATGTCTTTATAGTATCCTCAGTTGTTTCCATCACCCGAGTACGGAAGATCAAAGTATTGTATCGTTGAGCAGCCAGGCTTGCAGGTTCGATTTTCACAATTGGATACATTGGGGATAAGCCTGGCAGAGGATTATGACACAAAGATACACAAACATGGATAGTCCTAGAGTTTGGCTACCGATCAGTGGAACCACTAGGCCAAAAGCTGCCACTGCAGAGCTTTTGGTGTCCAAGTGCGCAGGCACTGCTTGAGGCCACATTCCTGTGCAGCTTGCAGTAGGCAAACACCAAAAAATGGAAGGGCTGCACCTGGAAGATGCAGTTGCTACTTTCAGATATAACAAACAGAGTTACTCCTAAGGAATGTTGATGCTCTCCCTTTCATTCAGAGTTGTGGATTGATATTTGTTGCATTGTTTGGCTTTCCACGAGTGACGAACTAGAAAAGGATTTGCGAGTGAACCAGCAGGCACTTTCGCTTCGCCCAAAGCAAGGTCTCAAAGTTGAAAGTTGAAGCCACATATATTTGTAGTCACCACCAAACCTCAATATTCACTAAGTTTCTTGGCCAAGTGCCAAAATGTTGGAACCGCAACATACCGCAACCATTTTGATCATTCTTCTGGTTGAGCATCTCAGTTGTGTGTATCCCATGCTAATCCTGTATATATATATATAATATATTTATTTATATCCAAGCTGATGGCACAGGTGCAAAGACACCAAAGATGTGGCCTCATGGCCGCGAATTCCTCAAGAGCTAGCGTTTTGGACTGGCACGCCACAGCCAGTTAGAACGAGTGTGAGCAAAGGCTCATGACTTGCTTCCAGAGGGTACATTAAATATAGATATCATAGATCCTTGCGTAGCTTTGTACAAAGATTTTGTAGTGTGGCAGGGGAAAGTGGATGGAGCGTGATCATACGAATATCAATGGAAATGGCAGACAATCATCATGCATGATGCTGCATGACATTGCATGCAGGGGTGCACAAATCTCATCATTTCGCCGCATATTGATGTTATGCCAGAGAATGCATGGAAACATCATGGAAGCAACACAAAGCACAGCCATGAGATGGAGAATGATGGAGATTTGGAACGAAAGTATCAAACATGAAAAACTATATTGGATCTATTGGATATCATACAATTTAATATTCGAACATATTCAATAGAATGATGTAGTACATCAACATCGATCAACTAAATGTTCAGTATATCTATGGCTGTAAGAACCTCCTGTCCATCCCTGTCCCAAAACCCACGTGATGCCGCGACCTCCCAAGCGGTGCCCTGGGGAAGCTGAAGCCAGAGATCTACCTTCTGAGGTGCCCTGCGGCATGTGACACGATCAAAGTAGAGATATGAATGAAATCCCATGATATCCCTATGAGTTTCAATGATGTTCCATGAAGATGTTCAACTGTTTTTTTCCCGAAAGAAATTCTGGAGCATCACTGATTCTCAGGAGAATGCCCAGGGCCCAAGGTCATTATCACCTCCGAGGCGTGAAATGCGTCAAATGTATGGCATATGTTCTGATACCAAACATATAGAAAGACATGGCAGTTCAGTGCAGTTCATCTTGCTAGAATCTATCCCAGCCATTTTTTAAAATCAATTGTGGGGATATAGCAGGCAATATAGTCAGACATTTGGGAGGAATTCTTCAACTGGACAGGTTCTTCAGCGACAGCCGGCAGCACCAGTCTCCAAAGGCAGGATGAACAGCAACGCCGGCCGCTGTCGCGATGCTCTGCTGATGCTGGGCTAAGGTTGGTGATGTAAAGCCGCCTCCCAGCCACGTGCCACAAGGCCGGATAGTTATGGATTGTTGGCATTTAGAACTGTTGTGTCAGTTGTGTCTCCCTCCCTGCGGTGCGAAGGTTTGCCGCATGTTGCGGCATGTGGAATGGAGAATTGATGCTCAATGAAACAGAATGGAACAGAACGTATATTGGCACAGGAAACACACGAGGGATCACGAGGGTACTTGACACGCATAAAGAAGAATCACAATGAAGGAAACCGTGCTGGAGCACAGAGCCAAATTCTGACTGAAAGAAAGAAAATGTGACGTCATTTCTGTAGGCTGGCTTTGCCCGGAAATGCGGGATGGGGCCCCACTGAAAGCCGCTTCGAATCATTTCAACGGGAATATTCAATCCGCATATATTTGAAACTGTTCGAAAACGTCAAACATGCTATCATCATTAGAGTTTGGGATAGTTTGAGGTACCCCGTTTTCAGACGACCGCCGTTTTTCTTTGGTCTCCAGACATGACGGCGACGGCGAGATTGCGGCTGGACGAAGTGTCACGGCTCTTTCCTGAGGTGTGGATGATCCATTTGGGGGGTCATGGGGGTACCCCAACAGCTGGATGGTTCATGTTGGACGTTGCTTAGCGTGGGCCCCCCAAACAATTTAGGTCTACGATGGTCTAGGACCCTAGGAGTCAATTTTGTGGGGACCAGGTCTGGGGAACTCAGGATGATCAACTGTAAGGATTTCAATTGATGCCAATCTACTTTCACTGGATTTTCCTTTTAAACCTTAAAGAAATCTAAGGATTAGTAAAGATTTCAATGCACATCAATGTACTTTCAATTCATGTTCCTGTACAACCAAAAGACATCTGAGGAATTATAGGATCAGTATGGATAGTAAGTGGACCAGCTTTGCCCAAAGAAAGGTGGATAAAGGGTTTTGTTTTTTTCACCACACAAATTATGTGTACAAATTGGGCCTGAGAAAGCAATTCTCACAATAGAGCCCCACCCCCCAATACTCAGGATACTGATTTAGGTTTGAGAATTTTCTCACAATAGAGTACCATGACACTAATCATTGTACTACAACAATGGAAAATTCATGAACATCCTATGAAAATAGATGATTTGGGGGTAACCCCATTTTCAGACACACCCATTTTGTGGACTTCTGATTTTTTTTTGGGTATCGATTTGGAGCCATTTGAGGTATAACTTAAAACATAGATTCCCCTTGCATCCCCTTGCTATATAGAGCTGATTTCGAGGTTTCCCCATTTATGTTTGACATGCGTTCAAAACATAACTCACCCCTTTTTTTGAAATTATCAAACATTACCCTCTGGTATTAACGTAGACCCTGAAAATCACCAACTTTTATGGAAACCTAATCTTCCAACATCTTCAAACCCCTATCTGGCAGGGTCTATGTTAACTTACTGGAGGGTATCAACCATAACAAATGAACAAATGAAGCCAGGCCCATCGGCCGCGGGACAGGAGAGCCAAGGACATCCACCGCAGGGATGGGAGGAGATTCAATGGGATCTTCATTGGGATTCATTGGGGTACTAATGGGATATGTGTATATAATATATGTATGTATAATATATAATTAATGTATATATATATATATAGGTTATATACATATTCATATCACCCAAGAAATATAACATATATAACATATATATATATATTATATGGGGTAGTGGTTTGTTGGGACTGGGGATGGGTTACAACATTTTGTTCATCTTAGCAGATCAAGCTTCCAGCTATGTGCCAGGGTTTACCAGGTAGTACCAGGGTTTTGATCCACAGCCAGTGGCTGGGGGCCAAGTAAATCCTAGGTTGGACAAGATCAGATATGGGGCTTCCTGTCTTGAACATATGGCTACTGTATATCCCAAATTGGGGACAGCCATGGGCCACCAAATCTATCCGTAACATGACTTACACTAGAAGGGAAACCAATGCTTGCGGCATTCCATCTCCGAGTACAAATTTGGCTATGTACATGGGTGTGTCTGAAATGGGTTATACCATGGTATACCCCTTAAATTCCAATAATGATATGGAAAATGATTATTAACCATAGGAATTCTTACTGTAGTACCCTACGTCCCTACGTTGAGATGAACCCTTTCAATCCTCCAGTCGGCAGGACTCTCTTCCAAGCTTCAGCAAGCTCAACAGGCAACTGCTTGGTGATTTCACATGGGCAGTGTTCATAGACTATAGACTCCATTGGTTGATGATTAGTTCGGGCAATCGTTACTAACCAATATCTTGGGGATGATCACACTCCATATTTGTTCGCAACCAGTTTTCCAGGCACGACACAGGCTGAACATGTTTGAGCACCGCTAACGTATGCATAACGGCATAACGTATCTGCCGAAACAACTCACAGTGAGACTTCCAGGAACCATTCACCATCCCAAGATGGACTTGGAGTCCGGAAGCCTTTGGCAAGCTGGTCATCCCAGGCCTGGTGATAGGCTTCCGTCCGGTTTTCCCAGCGGCTGGGGGTTGTGAAACCAACACCTGCCAGGTGCCATCGGCGTGTCGGCCAATGTCACCGTTTGCACAACCAGGAGCTGACGACAGCTCGACCTGTGCACCATGGAATTGAAACGGCACATGTTAAGTCCAAAGGCTGCCAGAGCAATGCGTATACCATCAAAAAGAATGGGATTAGCATCAGCTAATTTAACATATGCATATATATATATAACTTGATATAAGTTGTATGTAATTATATATATAATATACTTATTCAGTTCGATGATTTACCTTTGATTTTAATGGTGATGTTCTAGTTCGCAAACGGGCAAAATCGGTATCGCTTTCAGGAGCTCTGCAGTCGCAGCAGATGCAGGCACGAGTTTGTGACAGTTTCGTGAAATTCAGGATAATTCAGGTTTGTTTCGCGAAGAATGTCCGTTTCTGGATGAAAAGAATGGAGATGGCCTCACACAGATGTGCAAAATCCATGAAAATGCACCATTTGTAGATAATTTCCTAGGGAAACGCGTGAAGTTTCATATGTTAGTTTACTGAAAAGGAGCGGCCTAGGGTTTCAACATCGCGACGGAATTCTCTGGCAGTGTTGATCTATAGCCTCCGGGGATCATTCCCGTGGCTTGCTGGAAAATCCAATATATATATATATATATATATATGGGTTTTCCGAGCTAGACAATGCTAGACACATCCATTTGAGTATTTTAAAGAGGTGTTTCCCATGAAAAAACATGTTAAAACATGTGAGATCTGCAAACCCAAACGGTTTGCCCGTAGCGAATCCCGCATATCCTTTGACATGCTCAAATCCCTTCGTAGGGTTTAAGTTTTTTACTTTCCAAAACAACAAACCCTAGAACCCTGAAACCCTAAAGTCTAAAACCCAAAACCCTAAATTAAAACCCTAAATCTTGAAAACGTAAAGTCAAAATCACTGCGTATAGCCAGTGTTTTCATTCATCCTCTGGTGATAAGTATATATATAGATATCATATTGTTTGGATGTGTTGGTTTTTCGTGTGGGCGAACCCAGGGTTTGGAGGGAACATTTTCGCCGCTGGAGGCCATTCTTTGCGCCGTTCCCCGAGGATCTTTGGGACCCCCTGGGATGATGTGTCGTAGCCAGGCGACGGCGCATGGCAGTCAAACCCGCATGGGAAATTCCATGTAGATGAAGGTTTTAGTCCGAAAATAGTTATCCATACAATTCTAATCAATTCTATTATTACTAATTATAATATATATATATATCGTGGATTATTTTCTGGCAAGTCATGGCCATTTGTCATTGCGGATGGTTTATGACTGGGTTGACCTCATTATGCAGTCCAGCCAGGTATTTAAAAGAAGTTGTCTTCAAATCATGAAGCGACAGCAAATGGATATTGTATCAACGGTAGTGGCTGCAATGCCGATTGAATCAATAATCACGACTCATGAACAAGGGAATAGTGCTGAACGATGGGCATTTTATATCTTCAGCAGAAGGAAAAGGTACCTTTGAGCAACAAGACTGATGACATTCCAATCTGAAAAGAACATTTACCGGTGTTAATGTTAGTAAAGCAATAATCAACCACCCATATGTTGATGGTTTATAGCACCCATAAAAATGGTAAATTTGAAAATGGTGTATCCTAGAATAGCTTTACTAACATATAGCTTTGCTATAACATACTATAACATTACCCCATTTTCTCTTGGGGCGAACAAGATGTTCATCCGCAGGTGGCCTGCAGTTCTCCTGTGACCAACGGTGTTCCGAATCCGTGCGTGCATGGGGCCTTGGTGGTCAGCGGCGAGCGTTGGAATGTATTGGATGGCGTTGCCATGGTGCCTCTAGGGGATACCCAAAAGCAATGGTTTTCTTCCCAAATATGTAGTTAGATATACCGTTAATAAATGATAATGAATGTCAAAAAATAGTGAGATAATGAGTTATTGTTCGAAGTAAATCATATATATATATACATATGTATATATATATCATATATTATGTTTATATACACATGCTATCTTACAATAAACAAATGGATGAACATGGCTGGGTTATGTTGTGTCAGGGAACCTGGGTTGGACTTTGTGGCCTAAGCTGCAATGCTGCAAGGCATTTCTCGCCGTTCCAAGCAGAGAACCAGGCTGGATCCTCGCTGTGTTTGTTCCGAAGTCGGGGATGGCCCGCAATTTTTGGCCATTGATGTCACTTTTAATGCTATTTCAAGGGGAAGATATGGTAAGATGACAAACATATCTGAATTATAAACCATTGGAATCGCGTGTAACTACTCCATTTTCAGACCTCTAGGTGTTTGATGGTGCTTGTTTTTTCCTGGCTCAATTGGAACTGCTAAGTTGCCAAACTCAACCGAACCGAATGCCAGCAACTAGGACAAAGGCATACAAGGGCACCGCGCATATACGAGAATAGAAGTCGCTTGAGATATTCATTATGTAAATTGTGTCATCATGTAAATCTAATCATGTGGCTGCGAACAAGCAATTTTTCATAGACTCAAAAATGCTGCGAGGCACAGTATTATGGTCCCGTCACAATGCAGCACTGCTCAAGCTCACAACATCATTCATTGCATTCATTGCATGTATGCTTTACAGCTTTTACTTATTGAAAGTCGTAGTAATCAAAGCACAGCCAGACTTGTAATTCTACCAATGTTCCAAACTAGCAACCAAGAACTACCTTTTGTGACGGCATAGATATGTGCTAACCAGCCATGGCTGAACCTGCAGATACAGAAACCGGAGATGCCCCAGGCGTTTCAAACGCTTTCTGATGGTGGGAAGGGGTGTCGGGATTCAACTGGGTATAGCCAATAACAGCACCCTTTCGAAGTTTCCCTGGGCAGGTGAAAAAGCAGAAGCAGAACAGGACTCTGCCTACAAGTGGATTGTATTGGATTGTCATCCTCGATGTTAGCTTCTCTCAACAAATGCCGTGACAACATGACTATTTCAACGCTCTTTTCCAATCTTGGGAGTAGTTTGATTGGCAGGAATCAACGGTGAAGCTCATTCTCTATGCAATTCTAGATTGTCTTGTCCGCACCTCAAGTTCCAATGATGTTCAATTTGCTTCCCATGTATTCCCATGTAGTTTAAAAATGTTTAAAAATTCGACACAGAAGCTGTTATGACTGTGGAATACTGTGGAATCCCATCTTGATGCAGCCAATTGAAGCAGCCCATATTGCCCCTGGACAAGTCCGTCTCACACAGCTTCGAAGCAGTTGGGCGACACTTTTGTTAATTTCAGCGGCTTAGGCAGTCATCGGCCGATCCATTTTTGCCGCGCTGTTGCAACCTCGGGAGATCTCGGGATTTCATCGACACACTTTGGCAAGGCAAGGTGGCTCGTTTGGACCCTGTCTCCCAAGGTCTTTCTTTTGGTCTATGATCCGCAGTTGCTGCTATCCTGTCAAGGAAGGTTTTACCAGGCAGTTTCAGATGGGTGGGTGGGAGCTTCTCGAGACTTGCTGAATCTTGTTGACTATATATATATATATATATGAATATTATATATATATGAATATTATATATATATATATATATGAATATTATATATATATATTATACCGTAGGGCCCGTGGGCCCGGGGCTGTCCAGAGGACGCTTCTCCTTTTTTGTTGTGCCGCTGAGGTGCGTGGATAGATATAAAGGATGGCGACTCCTCTGCACCCAGGAACAACAAAGTATCAAGCAAACTATATGGAGATCAATGGAGCTAGTCCAAAGGTTTGGTCCATTCACTGCAGATGTTGCTCCCATGGATTGACGATCGCCAAGGAAAACGCCATATGCTCTGAAGAAGAGTGCGTCCAACGTGCCGCAGCCCCTTGGAGAACACCACAGGTGAGTCATGGTATGGTGAGTTGCGTGTGATGAATCCCTCCAGCTGAGGTTTACATATGGCCCGTTTCTTGTTTGCAAATTAGATCCTCCCTAGTCTCAACCCAGCATCGCGTTGCATCGCATAATAGCGGCAAAAACGTCCATGCTGGCTGTGGATGCCCTTCATTGGAACGGAGTGCATCGTGGCTTGTAAACTCCTTGTCAAGTTGCCCAGTTTTCCCTGTTCCCTTCTGAGGTCATATGGAAGCTCCGGATGAAATCAGATTCATGGCCCTGAGCGTTCGATTGGTTTCACTCATTTAGGAGACAGCGTCAAGGTGCAACAAAAAGTGGCAAGCGGATCAAGTGGGATTCAAGCGGGTCCAAGCCAGCAGACATCAGTTGCAAACTGCCACTGCCTCCACCTTGCCATTTGAACTTAAACCAAACTTTTCATGAAGGAAAAACCCTGGACCATCCCGGAACCCCGTACAGGTGGTACAGACTCCTACACTGACCGGCTCTTGTGGAGTTCAGTCACTTTTCTGCAATCAGTGTGCTCAAAGTGAGATAAGAAACTACGGCGGCCATGGCGATTTGAACTGATTCTGATCGATAAGACCAGATTGTCAGTCAAACATCACTTTCCTCCCTGGGGCTTTATCAAATAGGCTACCCGATTCCAATCCGTTCCTCTGGTTGATCATCATGTATTCATCATGTTCCCATCTTCCCAGGCTGCGCAACACATGCGGCACTCGCCCGTCTCCTTGCCGGCCTCGCTCTGGACATTTGGCAGTTGCAACGAGAGGAAGGTTTGAGTTCATGTATGTCAATGTGCGTCCAATTTCAGTCCACCAAAAAGTTTGTATATATATATTATTATATATATATATGATATATAATATAATATAATATAATATGATTTAATATAATATAATATAATATGATTTAATATAATATAACATAATATATAATATAATATAATTTAATATATAAAAGAATATTTTTTTAATAGTATGTATCATTTTTAAATGATATATAATGTATTATATATATATGCATATAATACATACTATAATATATAGAATATATAGTGTATTATATTTAATATAATATATATAATATCTAATATACAATATAATATTTATATAAGATATAATATATACAATATAATATATATATATATATGTAATATATGTAATATATGTAATATATGTAATATATGTGATATATGTAATATATGTAATATATGTAATATATGTAATATATGTAATATATGATATGTAATATATATATAATATATAATATATATAATTTACATAATATATATAATATATATAATATATATAATATATAAAATATATAATATATATAATATATAAGATATAATATATACAATATAATATATATATATATGATGTAATATATCTAATTTTTAATATACAATATAATATATAATATGTAATATATCTAATATATATATAATATAAATATAATATAATATATATAATATTTTTAATATATAATTATTATTATAAACATTATATTATTTCTATTATATATTATATATTAATATTATTTATACAATATATTATATAGTATATATATTATAGATATGTTCTTATTATATAATAAATATGTGCTTTGTATAAAATTTCAATATTATATATTATATTTAAAAAAAAACATATATATTATATATATTATATATTTTATATATATTATACATTATATATTATATATTTTATTTATCATATATTCTATGTACTATATATCAGATATTTTATAATATATATATATATTATATTTTAAACATTATATAGTGTATACATTTATATATTAAATAGAATATAGATTATATATAGTATATATATATTAAATATTATATATTATATATTATTTATTTTAAATTATATATATACATTATTATATATTAAATATTAAACATTTTTATATTATATATTGTATTTTATATATATATATATTATACATTATATATTCTATATTAGATATTAAAAATTATATTTAATATATTATATATTATATATAGTATATGTTTTATATATATTATGTTTTCTATTTATATATAGTATATGTATTATATATATATATTTGTATATTTGTGTTACCTTTCATATATATATATTATATCATATTATTTTATTTTATATACATACATTATACTATATAAATACATTAAATTAGATATAAATTATATTATATATTTCATTATATATATGTTATAAATTATATAATATTTGTACGATATATATATTATATTTCATTTATAATATATATTATGTTATTTATATGTTATTTTATTTTATATATTATATATATAGTATAGTTTATATATTATTATATATATATATATATCATGCATATCAAAATGATTCAAAATGTTTGATTTTCCTGAAAAGAGGAGGAAACAAACAAAGTGAACTCATGGCTTTTGATGGTTTTGGGGGGCTCCATGGCAATGGAGGTCCAAAATTTGAGAAACAGCCGAAGCTGTGAAGCCCAACTGGACATCCGGCGGCTTCTTATGTCATGGGGGATCCCTAGTCGTCACCATGGGTTTCAATACGAAGTCATGGTCATCCATTTTCCTTGGATGAGAACTGGGGCCGGGGGATACCTCCATGACTTTGGAAACCTCCATCCATGCCGAGGATCTGACACACTCAGTCGATCACCTTCGCCGATCCCAACACACTATTCAGTTGGAGCACCAGTGATGCTGCCATCCACTGCAACGACCCGACCGCTCTTAAGTCGCAAAGGATGTAAAAGGGTCATTTGGGTTCAGATAGTGCCATAACTTCAGTCGGTAGTTTTGTCTTCTGCTATTCTATCATTAAAGAACATCAGATTTGACTTTGCTGATCTTTGCTGTTGGCAGGGTGATGGCTCACTATGGTTCTTCTGGCTTTGTTTGAAAATAACGTACCCCAATTTCGGCACCCCAATTTCGAACTAGCCTTTGCGGCAAGGTTCATGCCAAACAACCGGGGGTCTTTGGCGAAGCTCTCAACAGTACAGCTTGGAGGACTACAACCGATGGTTCCGAGGTCGCCAGGTCAGAGCACAGCGGGCCCCATCCAAAGTGCCATCGTTCCCGTCGTGGTGAAACGAGCAAGATCCATGTCGCCGAGTTCACCAGTTTCTCGGAGCGGGAACGGACTTAAAGTCCAACAAAATTGGATGTCCCCAGCTAATTTGAATGGGGAAATGATGATGAACAACATATATATAAGATATTATAAGATACTGGTAGGAGGTTGGTTTCTTTCCGAACATTTTCGGAGAAACTGAAAGTCGTTGAAAAGTTCGATGTTTCTGAGGTTCAGCAAACCTATTCCACAGCATATCCTGCATCGCCAACGATGTCGCCTGCAACATCCTTCAGAACGCCGATGTCTCCGGGAATATCCTTTCGACCAACGATGTCGCCGGGAATATCCTTCAGACCAGTTGCATCTCAATCGTATTCGTTCCCAAGCTCAAAACCTGAAAGTGGGATCGCTGAGCCTCCAATTTTGCGATTCAACTTGTGTGTTTTGTTTTGGTTTCGCCCCCCCCATTGGTTGAATCAGGGTCAGCACAGGTACACATGTTCAACCACTTGGAACCGGCCCAGCTCATGTTCACCAAGCAGAGAGGTGTCCATTGAACCAGTGGAAAGCTTTGGAGTGGGTTTGCATTGACCATTTTTTACCTTTTGAGGATGTAAAGAATTGATGAGAACTGTGTTTTCCCGACATGTCATCGAATGAGTTGATGTGTTTATCTTTTCGGAAAAGTTGGGCACTTGATGACCCCAGATCCAGAGGATTGTGGATCAGGTCAAAGAGCGAGTGGTGGCACGTCCCAGATCTCCTTTCCAGAGCATGTCTGCAACTGGGTTGAAACTTGAAATTTATGAGGATTTCACCTACCAAAATGTGCTCCAAAAGCCAGGGAACAACAGAAAGGTATACATAAACATGCAACCCAAAATGGCCACAACGTTGCTTGGTCCAAGACTTTGGACCACTTAAACCTGAGAGGTTTCCCGGCGAAACGGAAGGACGAACTCGTGGACTTGATTGTTGCTTCTGTGTGTCAGTTCCTGCCAGGTAAAGGATCCCAGACTTCCCCCATGTCCACGGCAGGGCTGCCCAGTCACTTGCAGCATGCAGCGTTCAATGTGGAATCTTGATGAATTCTGAGGCTCTACAGACCCTGCAGACCTTCTCAAAACATCAATGTGGCAGACCAAAGACACATGGATTCTGGACCTCTGAAGGCCTGGGAGACGGGGGCTGCTGAGCATGCTGAGCATGCTGAGCAAGCTGAGCTGCTTGTTTTGTTTGGTGTTTCATGTTCATCATGTTCACTATGTTCGCCAATGAGATGTAGCCAACCTTCGGCAGGACCGTGGTGTTCCGATCATCCAAGGGTGCGAAAATGCCACTGGCGAGCTCGAAACGGCGAGCGGGAGCATCGGGAGCTCTGCAAGATCTGCTCGAGTCTCCGAGGAGCTGTCATTAAACACAAGACATGGTGAGATGAACAAATTATTAAGAGATACAAAAACATGATTTGTTTTTTTTGGTATAATAGAATTGAATAGAATGTCATAGATAATTTAAGCAGCAAACATACTTGTAGGGAATACAAACTAATGGCGTAACCACGGAGAAGAAGAGGATGACGCAAAGTTTTGTGCACTTTGTTCGAGTTGACATTGTTCCAAAGCAACACGAATTGCATCCAGCCTTCATCTTGGAACTTGGGTGCTTCTCAGGATGTGCACAAAGCTGCACCCAGTCAGTTTCTCCCAGAGCCTCCTCCAACCATCTTGAAACAAAACTACGAGGCTGGACATTCATTCCATCATATACAAACTGTCATTGATGATACCATTTGCTTTGTCTAACTTCATGTCAAACCCTGAAAGATCCCCAAAGATAGATTCTAGATGATTGTGATGAGTTTATATAGATTATTTTACAAAGTTTGCAGTTTTCGTTCTCTTGTATAAGAAAATATAAGAAACAAAGACCTAAGAGAAGAACCCGTGCTCAGAATTCAGGCAGATCTGGAGGAGGCCTATATTCTGTCAGCTTTCCGACGGAAAGATGAAAACGACATGGCAGATGGCTGGAAAGGGGTCTTTCTCGATCTCAGTCACAATGGTCACAATGGTCACAATGGTGAGGCGAAAGAAGCCCCGGAGGCTGCGGACACTGCGGGCACTGGTCTTCCATCGGTGGAGTCGTTGCGGGCCACCCTCCAAGCGCTGCGAGTGCAGGATCGCCTTCGCATGGAAGCTCCGCTGGTGCCTACTGTGCCCACGGTGCCCATGGCCGCCATGGCAGCGGCAGGATGTCAACTGGAGCCGGATGAACAAAGCTCGGATGTTGGAAGGGCCATTGGTGGTGCTGAATTGGCTGTTACAAATGCTCAGTTTAATGCAGAAGCTCAACTGCTTGCTTGACAACTGGCTGACAAAGTATGCATGGACAAAAGATGGAACAGCTTCATGAAGCTGTTGCTTGGGGCGAAATGCAGGTCCTGACTGTATAACTTGCTTGCCAGTGGTAAAGGCGAGCCAGGATTACGTCGAGCATCAAGCCTTTCAAATCATCAGGCTCTGATTGTGGCAATGTTCTTTTAACCCAAGAGATGATGGTCTGAATATGACTTCCCTTTAGTGTTGTGGGTTAGGATGTCACAGAATCGGCAGATACTGGCATATGTTGCATATGTTTTGAAACAGCAGCATCTTTTGTGAGTCTCGAAGCTTGACCCATCACACACATCACAGCTGAGCCCGGCCCAAGCCTGCACGGCATCAGCTGACCGATCTGGGACCTTCAGGACCCATGGCCAATTTGATCGCCAATTTTGTGGTTCCATTGGTCAAGTCCATGAAAATACCATTGGAATCTGTTTGAGCCATACCAGCTATATCAACTATATTTTTGTAACTATTTATTGTAGATGTAACTCTATATATATATAATCATAATTGTAAAATCAAACCAGATGGCAAAGCAACCGTCGTCCTCCATAATCAGTGTCCATTCCTGCCACTGGACCTGTCGCAGGATGATGTGCCAAAAGCTGGTCCTCCTCCTGCTGCCGGGAGCAGTCGCAAGAGGCCCAGGACCTTCTCAGTGCGCTGCGGCTTGGATTCTGGTGATGTCCAGAGGGTTGCGGCCTGGAAATTTTGTAGACTTGACAAAGCATTCCAATGTCTTCCTGAAAATGGCAGATGCTATGATATGCTACACCCTAGTTTTGGCCATGTTCATGGAAAAAATGGGGTTCTGAATCCATGGATTTCTGGGTTTTCCCCACAAATTCCCAGGTACCAAACCCATTCTGTACCTTCTGGTAATTTAATATTTTTTCGTGGAAAATTGCCCGTTTAGTTTGATGATTGACCTATTGAAAATTGTGATTTTCCATAGCTCTTCCAATTTTCGACCCACTCAGGCTTGGACAGCTGTCACCAAGGGCATCTCAACAGAGAGCCACAGGTTAAGCGCCGCTACCGCCACTGGGATTTGCAGGGCGCTGTTTCAATGCTTCACAAAGGAAACTGTTAGTTTGTTTGAACATTTCCGGGAAACCCAAATTTGCTCGTTAAGAAAATGTCGATCATCATTTTTCCCAGTAAATTTGCATAAATTAGCCATGGGATATGTTCGGGGTATATTGGCAAAATTTGGCCAAGCTGATTTTCAGATTTCCACAGAAATTCCACCAAGGCCTCAGAGTCGGCTTCCATCCCTGAGATCCCTCAGCTGCGAGGTAGCTGGCTGATCGATGGGAGACTGTCTGGGCCAACCCAAAATGCTATGGAAAATGACCATTTACAGTGATAATTGACCTATTAAAAAGATGGCGATGATTTTCTATAGCCATGTGTAATTCACTACCGAAAACCGTGAAATGCGAACTTCGCCTTGTGCTGCTTAAACTAATGAAGATCAATAGAAGCGATGTTGCGGCCCGCCCCAAGCCAAGGCGCGGAATTCTCCGCGCAAGAGGCGGGGAGCTCTGGACTGCCAAATTGGGCACGTGCGCCATGGACGCTGTGGAGGATGGCATGGAAAATCCAGACAAAAGTGGATGATTTGGGGGTATGCCCATGACTTAGGAAACCTTCATTTATGGGTACCCCCCTTTCGGTCTTGTTGCTCTTGGCCAAGGTACTTTGCTGGCAACAGCAGCTGTCTTTCTTGCAGTTGTTTCCTCCCCACGGGCTGCTTCGGCACAGTCCAATGTAAACATCTACATGGGACAGGTGTGGGGTCACAGGTCAGCTGTCGCCTGTCTTGAAAGATGGGCTGGTGTGGTGGAAGAGCAAAAATGGGCATGGATGAAATCCCATGAAATCCCATAGTTAAAGGGGGACGAACATCCATAAATCCCAGCTATTTTGGGGTGATAACCCAGAGGCCCCAAGGTGATCCATTTCCAATCAGCCAAGCAGCTGAAGAACCGACCCAGGGCTGCTTCTGGCACGTCCAGCACGAGGTGGTTAAGCAGGAGGTGCGCAATTTGCAGACCCCGTCGTCCTTTCATTTGGGCAGTGTTCAATATGTTCAATAGCCCTGCTGGGGGAATCTCATGTAAACACCCCATTGACCAACTGAGTCGGCTCTGAAAGACCATGACAGTAGATTCTCCTGTCCTTGCCTGAATCGCTGGTTTCCGAACATGAAGTTCCACAAACTTCGGATTTTCATATGTGGGCCAAGAATTGAGTTTCCCCAACCCACAGGTTTCAGCCGTTGCAGCTTTGAACTACAGATCTTCTATGATCTTCTGTTCGGTGTTAGCCATTTTAAATCATTTTAACTAATACAGCTACTAGTACCACTCTAGTTCTTGGGCTACCCAAGGTTGACCCATACCAGACCGACCAGAACTGCCTTAACTTTGAGAGGCAAATGACCTCTCTCGCCAAGCTGCTGAAGTTTCAGCGTTGTCGGGCTACGCCGGCGGAAATGAGGCGTCTAGCAGGACTGGCAGCAGGCGTTGCTAAAGTTTAAGGTACCCGTATGTTCCAATGGGAAAGAACCAAAACCAACTTTCTCATGGACTAATTTTTTGGGGCTGTGGCATAGTATTCCCATGTATTCCCATTGTAATGTGGTAAACCCAATCCATAATAAACATTAATAAACCATCCCCCAACATCACCATTTTTACGGGTGGTATATGGTGGTATAAACCATTCCTGCATGATCCCAAATGATAGGTTTATGGCCTTGGGTTGCCCACCTCTGGACGAAAACATTCCAGGTTGGTGGCAAGGGTGAGGTGTGCTACCACAACATGGCAATGGCACCAGACTACGGCCGCATGGGGCACACTGAGGCGAGGGGCCATGGATGGCCATACGTTTGTGGGATTAGAAGTTGTGCGGCCATTGCTCAGCATAATCATAATACACCAAGAATCAAGATAGAAACGTAAAATCCTATATTTTCAATAGCTAACTATAGCTATGTGAAATCCCTTAAAATCCTGTTGTCATCCATGTTCAATAGCTATAGGCTATGTCTGTCCTATCTTTTCTGACCGCAGGTGGTGAACGTGAGCGTCCCTGAGGAGAAAGTTGCTGACTTTGCAAAGGTGGATAGCCACGACATGCCGCGACTGGCCATCCAAATGCTGAATCTTGAGCTACCAGACCCAGGACTAAAGCCTACTTTTCTGACCACCTCACATGAAGTTCAATCTCAGTTGTGTTTGGTTTTAGGAGAACTATCCAACGATTTATCCAACAATATCCAACATGAAATGCTTGTGGCACTCAATTTTGAATCGCAAATCAGCCCAAAAAACGGCTTTGACCAGGCATATTTTGATGCTGCTGCCAGATATCCTTTCGGCCGTGCTGATCCCCAGGAGAAGCAGAGAATGATTTTGTCGTGTTTTGCCATATGCCACCAATTCTCTTTTGCTACATGCAGGTGTGGATCTATGTACACAGTTACAAATGTAGTAAAATATACATTTACAGTTACACACACTTGATAATATAACATATATGTATAATATATAATGTGTATATATATATATATACTTAATACACATACAGTATATAATAGTATATATATATAATAGTGTAGATATGTAATATAATAGCATATATATATATTATATTATGGTGTATATATATAATAATAGTAGTATAACTATAATAGTATAAATATAATAGTATATATATAATAAATAATAGTATATATACATATACTATACACATACTATATATATATATAATACTATAAGATAAGATAATATATAATAGAACATTTTACAATTATACATATCTAAACACGCCCGCGAAATGCCTGTGTTCTGCTCGAATGCTCTTCGACTCCTCGTTGCGCAGGACCGAGGCACCGAGTACAGATCTGCCATCGGCATCCCAGGCGAGGTTCATCCCTGGAATCCCATCAGCCCATAGCACCATATCACCATTTTAAGTAGCACCATATGGGGATGGGTCAAAATAGCTGGTAAATGGATGTTCATCCCCCTAAAAATGGTATGTATAGGTATTGATCCATAGCCATATGGAGGTTTTCACCTAAAGTTGGGATACCCCAAGTCATCGGAAAATCGATGAGTTTTTTTTTCTGACTTGGGGCAGCATATCTAAAAGAAACCGATTCGATACTAAACCCGGGTTCTGGGCCCCTGGGCCCCTGGGCTGATATTTAATCATAGAGGGATGGGATCAGTGTTGGATATCAACTGACTGTCAACGCGGTCACCATCAGTGCTGCCTCTGCCTACGAATTAGAGGTGTGTCTCAAAAATTAGAAGCCTTTTGTGCTCAAAAGTACTGCAAGATACTGCAAGAAGTCCTTCTGATTCGTCAACCAAGAGGGGTCAACTGTCCCAGAATGACAGGATCTGTAGGATTTGTATTGTAATATTGAAAGTGTCTTGGCCAGACACAATTTTCCAGACAGAAATGCTGAAGGTAATGTCGAGGAAGTGAACTCTCCCTTGCTTGCAAGACATTGCAAGACCCCACATACTCGAGGTAGAAGGCAGCAAATGTGTGCAAGAAGATTTGGAAACAGGTTTAAGGGTTGGTTCACTACTTGTGTTAAACTGTTGGGGGAGGGCAATTTAAAGAAGAGGCGATGTTCAAATTCAATCAAATTCATAGAGGAAACATCTGGAAGCCACAGCTCCTGTGCCCAGCCATGCCATTGAAGCTCCTACCGCGCGAGGTCTCATCTGACCTGAAATGGCTTGCCTGGAACGACATTTGGACCGCAGTGAACTCCAAACTTGCCTCCGCAAGTGACCAGTCAGAGGATCTTCGACAAAGGAGGCGAAGGCAGGGCGAAGAAGATGAACGCCGTGCTGAAGAACATCTTCAAAAGATTCTCAAGACCGAAGTCCTTCAGGAAGTCACGGTGAACCACTTCCGGGATCAGATCAAAGTTGTGGCCAAGGCCTGCGCCAGTGCTGCCTTGGAAGGGAAGTGGCTGGGAGCTGCCAAAGCTCAAGTGCTGGATGCACCCGATGAATTTGAGTCGCGCACCTGGTTCGAGCTGGTGAAGGCCATCAAGAGTGCCGGTGTCGCGGTGATTTTGTTGTCCCATGATGAGCTACAAAAGGCCGAAGCGTTGCGCCGAGACTTTGAGGATGCCTGGATCATGTTCTCGGAAAAGGCCAATTTGGCGGAATGAAACTAAGAACGACATGGACGGAATGGACGGAATGGATATTGGATGATATTGGAAGGGGAGGCTCGACCACCCATCGAACGCCAGCGGTGACAGCACTCCCTCGTCCGGCAAACGGCAGCTGTCAAGGAACTCATTGGTCTATGGTCAGCATTTGGAGTAGTTCCGTGATGAGTCGTCTAAAGCCAAAGTGCTGCTTCTTTGCACAAGCTTCTGTTCAAGGTTGAACGACATTATGACTACAAATTAAATCTTCAATATAGACAATTTTTCAATGCTGACCAGTCTGCTCAGAAAAGAGTTTCTTTTTGTTGCTTCCTGCAAGTTTCCCGAATTCTGCAAAGTTCTAGCCACTTGTGCCACGGATACCATCCAAGACCCTTAACTTCACCAGGTGGCATGGATGGGCCCATTTTCAAAGCTGTGGAAGCTTCCAACGCTGGCCGCTTTGAGCTCCTGCGTGGTCAGGCAGAGTGCAAGCTTCTGCCATCGGGTCAGGAAATCACAGAGTATCTGAGAGTTGTCACTGGATGATCTGGATGTTTTTTGGGTACATGAACAATAATTTACCGGTATTGAATGGGATAGAATGGACGTTTACCACCCAAATATGGAGATTCTCCTGCACCCCTGATACCAGTGAATAGTGATACCAGTCCAGGGAGAGATGTTGCCCGACCATGCCCTTCTCACCCCAGGGCAACGATGCAGACACTGTTGGGACGAAGAAGGTCTGGGTTTCTTGGCGAGGCAATGAACCAGACGGCTCACCAGGTCCAAAGGAGTGGCTTTTTGAACTGTGTTTAACATGTGCTTGGATCAAATGATGAACAAATTATGCATTCTTAAGGAAATTGGAGTTTGTTTCACCATGTTTCACCATTGAAATTGGAATCTACTGTTTTGTGCTTCAAAGCATCATCTCTCTCTCTCTCTTTCTATGTCAAAAAGAATCTAACAGAATACTTCAGACCCTTTAGTGCCCTGAAGAGTTTCTAGTCACGCCAGCTGTTCGGTGCTTGTGCCTTTGTCGAAACTGTGCAAGTTCACCTTAACAGCATATCAGCGCAAGTCCCATTAGAATGGACAGCAATCCCATTCCTTAGATTGTTGGGGATATTCCGATAGATTCCGATATTCCATAAATAGGTTGTATCTATATATATATATTGTATTGGGGATATCCCTTATAATCCCTTATACAATTGGGTGTATAACCCAATATGAATTTGGGATATGTCCATTTCCATATTCAATATAAATAAAAAACCCATCCCTTCAAGAATTGTGCCCCACAGCAAGGTCTATGACTCCAACCAGTTCCCATTTCATCAGGCAGAGGCAACCGTTTTCGCAGTGTTTCGGCGGTAGATTCTGTCCAGAAATGGGGCAATTTAAAAGGATCCAAAAAGGCACTCTGTTCATATATAGGAAAAATCTGTATTTCCAAAATAAGTTGGTTTTGGGATGCTTTGGGTGTGTCCCAATTTTTGGACAAACTCAGATTCCCAAAAACCGATTTGCCGGCAGATCTACCACCAATTCCACGACGACATGTTGGAGAGGTACTCAGAGGTAGGAGTGCGTTTTGGAGCCGCTTGATTTTTGCTGGAAAAACCGCGCGGAAATCCTAAAATAAGGTTTGGAAGATGATGTTTCTGAGGAAGCAGCCATCTGTTGGGTTTTTGGCTGGGTTAGGGTTTCATGGTTTCATCCGAGAATCCATGTTTATTGTGTACAGATTTCAAGTGTTTTGTTTTTGCATGTTTTTGCCTGTTGAGCTGCAGCCTCTGATTGAATTCGATGCGGCAGAAATACCACAGCCTGAAGAAGTTGCTGGTGAGTCAAGGGACTATTCAGAAGGAGCGGGTCTTAGAATCTGCCTGTACCAACTTTGCCTATGCCGTACAAGGGAAACCTCCTGAATTTCACGGTCAATGTTGAATCAAAGGAGTGGCTGCTGACTGGCACAAGTTACCAAGAGACGATAAGAGACGGAACAAACTTCACGGCAACGTAAATCTTTGCCCGAACTATCAGATCATACTCGTACCTGGATGTTTTTTACAAAGGTGCTTTGCGGCAAGACATTCTGTGAAGCACACTCTCTGTCCTTTGCAACTATTCAAACTGACCCAGGTTGCTTGCCCTGAGATGGGCTTCTAAGCTTTCACGTGTGAACCTAAATGTAGGACATATGTACAGTTGACTCAAGATGACACCAAAATTTTCAGATTTTCGGCTTGCAGAGACCTGCCCAAAAAGTGCAGAGCGCTGGCGTTATTCTCTTGTTTGTGTGCTGTGAAATTGAGGTCATGCATGGTCATGCAAGTCCTGTGGTTGGTCTGTGCTTGTTCTTGGTGGTGCTGCAGTAGATCGAGTGGTTCGCTGTCCAATGCACTCATTCACAACATTTCAACCATCACCATGTCTCATGCCTATTAGATCCTGATACCGCTTAAAAATCTTTAAATTACACTCACATACACCATCGTACAGCATACAAAGCTACACTCCCACAAGACTGTACCACGCTCCAAACCTTTGAATCCAAGGTTTTCTGGTCGACTCGTCGTCGACATCTGTCGACCAAAAAATGGTGGATTTTTGAGCCATGGCCTGACATCCCAAGTCGTCGCTGAATGAAGTTATTGGTCGAGTTCTGTGAGAGATCCAGCTGCTACGCAGCCCTCCACAGCAGCGACGCCACCGAGATCTTCAAGGCGACAGGGCTTACGCAGACGCGCCACTTCTGCCGCGCCCTGCGCGTGCAATGCACGGGGAGAGACGATGCTTTTGTGGGCTGGATCGGGGACCAGTGCCTTTCTCCAGGACTGATGGCTGTGATGCGGGTCTTGTTTGAACAGGTTGGGAACAAAGATCAAATCATCAAATCCCATGAGTGATCATCATTTTCCATCATTTTCCATCATTTTCCATCATTTTCCACATCAACCTGCAATGGCTATCCCAACTCTTTGAACAAGCCTGTTTTCTTTGCTATTTTCCTTCCCCCTACTTTCCTTCTTCCCAAACCCTGGCCAAACCCATATCGACCCAGAGGAGTGATGCAGATGGCCAAACCCTTCGCAGAATGCCTGGGCTTAGAAGAAGGAGAGCAGATCGAAGTTTTTTCTCACTCTGCTCCTCTGGCTCGAAGTGTCATGGTTCAACCGATGCTCAGCAGCGGGGTATACCGGTATACCTTGGTTGATGGGTTAATATGGTGGTTTATACCAACAGGTTGAAGATTGTTATAGTCCATACTGTAGGAATAATTATTTATATTATATATATATATTATATATATTATATATATTATATATATTATATATATATATTATATATATATATTATATATATATATATATATATATTATATATATAATTACTGTCCACCCAGCATAATGGAGCTCAGATAAGTAGGACAATTCACCAGAGGGGGCTGATTTACAGGGGTACATATAGTGAAAGTGTGAAAAGTTGGATTGGATAAATCCATATTGGGGGATGCTCATTCTTAATAGGGATTTATATACCCACGATGTTCCTGGGTCGCAATTTCACGGTGAAATGACCATAAACAATGCACCATGGGTTGACCATGGCCCAACGGCACACTGTTGTTTCAATTTTGGGGGAGACACACCATGGTCCAGTTGCGCTTGAACTAAGGAACAGCATTGATGACTTTGAGGTAGGATTTCTGGCTGCCACGATGTCAGGTATTTGCAGTCATTGCCTGACATTTCATGAAATTTCGTGAAGATCTACGGTTGAAGCCCTCATATTTTGCTGGCTAAGCCGCTAAGCCCATGGTTTCGTATCGATTTTGATGAAGCCATCGCCAGGTGGTAGAGCTTCAAGCAACATTCATCGAGGAGAATTTGCTGAAACAGGTCTCGGTGCTCATGCCTGGCATGGCATTTCCAGTATGGGCTGGAATCTAAGTTCGGCATGGCTCGTTGCTGAGAACAGGGGAAGTTGGAAACTGGAAGGAAATGGAAGAACATTGTTACCCTCTGGTAAACTAACATAGCTATTGAAAATGGCCATTTATAGTGGATTTACCCATTAAAAATGGTGATTTTCCATGGCTATGTTAAATTACCAGAGGGTAGCTGTTGTTGGCAGAGTCTCTAAAGGTCCATGGCCTAGTTGCAATGCTCCGGGTTGATCCAGCTGATGCCAACACGCCATGTCCTTAGACACAGAGCGACACCATTGCGGCAACGGCGTTATTAAGGCCACGCCTGGAGAACTGAGGTCACCATGTTTTATGCTTGGACTTGACACGGAGACTTGGATGAGTTTCCAATGTGGGTGGTTTTCTGGTTGTTTTCTGGTGGTTTACTGATGTTGAATCGCTGTTGTTTTTGTTCCCATTATATATTCGATTGTTGGTGTCGTCTCAGTCAGGAGCTAGCAATTGAGTCACGACGGCGATCTGAAGGGGTCAGTACCTCAGAGACTCAGAGACTCAGAGATCCTCAGAAATCTCAGAGTGCTTTAGGTTTGGACAGGTTTTTGGCTTCAGGCTCGAGAGTCAGTGCGGAATGCCATAGATAAAGTGTTAAAAAGGGACAATCGTAGATGGTCTTGCAGTAAGCTCATACAGCTACACTTTTTGCGTCGAGTTGGGTATAGACAGAAATCTGTTCACCAAGGTCCCAATTTCCTCAGGGAGTGGAGGTGAAAACTGCTTCCACTTGAGGGTGTTTGCTCTTCTTGAGGACTGAGTCTTTCGTGAGTTCTACCACGCAGCGCAAAGATTCTTCATTTTGAGGAACAGGCTGCGGTCCCACAGTATACTCGCATTGTATTGAGGATCAGAATTGACACTGGAAGTTGCCATTGAAGACCAGGTCAAATGATTTGATGTTTGGAATGACATGATTCGGCTCAAATTACCGGGCTCCAATGGCCACCCTTTACGAGACGCTGGATCTATGGAACATCTATGGAAACCATTGGAAACCTGATGTTGACCCCATCAGAGTGCTGGCTGCAGTGAACTTTTGCCCTGGCACGTGTTTTTTTTGGATGATCGAATATGATGTGCTGCTGTGGCCTCCCAAAAAATGCTGACACTGAAAGCTCTGAAAGCTCTGTGGAACAGGGAGAAAAGCATATGTTGACGGGTTAAAACATGATATTACGTTGCGCAAACTTATATCAAATATCTTTTGGTGATCACTAATTTGTTGTTCAATGACAGCAGGAATCAGCAGGAATATATTATGACATGATATGCTGCTCGGCGCAGGAAATTGTTATTCCACAGGGTCTCGTGCATGAGAAGGACCTGGGCACGGGGACGTCCGACATTTTTCGCCGGGGGCAATGGAGGGATCACGATGGCCATCAGTTCGATGGTTTTTGCCTTGGCTTCTCTACATCATGAGCGTCATGAGCAAGAGAGGACAGCTACTGAATGCTACATGAATGTTATTAATCAATGGCCCATGATAATGACATAGTTTTCTATGGTTTTCTGACGTTTTTTTAATGCAAATGGGTTTGATTGAAAATAGTATATCCATAAGATCCAATGGTTGGTGATCATATTAATATATCATATTATCCCTATGAATATTTTCCCTATGATTATGAAACCCAGGACTTGGACTCTTTGGCCAGTGGCCTATCCAGTTGCCTCACATGGCTTGACATGTCGAGATCCAAAACCTTGAGGCGTGGCTGGAAGTTTTGAACACAGCCAAGCCCAAAAGATGTCCTGGGCGCATTCGGAGGATGTACCCTCTGGTAATTTGACAGTTTCCTATGGAAAATGGATGAAAATGGCCTAGTGATAGATGATTTACCCTTTAAAATGGTGCTTGTCCAAGCTCTGTTGAATTGCCAAAGGATATATTTGTCGTTCTTTGGTTTTGTCGTTCATCTCTTTATCAACGACCCATTTGGCTTTGACCTTGCGAAAAGGGGTACCCCGTTTGTCGCACCATCCGTTTATGATCATTTCCCCATTAATGACGGCAATGTTGCGGTGTCCCCAATAGAACCCCTGCTGGTGTTTCCTGCTAGACCAGAAGATATGCAGCTTCTTCAGCTAGTGGTGAGTGACAAGGCAGGAGTTGTCGAAAGATAGACATCACTGACATCACTGACATCCCGCAAGTCCACACCGGTCACGACTCAGCGATGCAATTGGGAACAGCAGCTGGCAGGTTCCACGCGGGCACATCATTCTCGGCGTGGCTTTCTCAGTTCTTCCTACAGTTGGCCTTTTTTTATTGGCCACATCTATTACAATGTTAGGCGCGTCTGACAATAGGGGATCCCCAAGTCACCATGGGTTTTAATGATAAAAAGCTCTAAGTTTGGGAGGATTTGGGGTATCCCCATTTTAAGAAACCCTCATCTGTCGCCGTCATTTCCAATGTCTTCCAGTTTTTTTTCCATCAAAACTAAGGCCACCTTCGCAAACTGTCTTCACGTCCCCTGCTTTGGGCTGGTAAAGCTTTGGCGCTGCTGGCAGGCACGGTGTCTAGACACAGTTTGACATGACCCACAGTCCATGAATGTTTTGAAGATAAACATTACTGTAAGCGAACACCGAGAAATGTTCCATGAATGTCCTGAATTTGGTCTTGAAGACAAAGATTACCGCTACGGAACACCAAGCAAAAAGCACGGAAATGGGCTGCGAATCAGCATGAATCAGCATAACAGATGGTGCGATAAGGAACAATGATAGTGGTTGTCTGTTTCCTAAATATTGTAAAAGTCAGTAAAAGGGTTCCTTACTAAACACCACCAGAAAAGAGCACCATAAAATCAACGCATTTTTCTTCAAGGATTGTTGGGCCTGGGGACATGTTCATTTTTTTTGCTTAAGGATTATTTCAAAGTGGGACCATGGTTCAAAATTGGGAAACAAAGCCCGTCCATTCTGCTCAGTGTAGACATGTGGTGGTTTGCACACATCAGATTAGGAGAAAGAGGACATGGGAATCACTTCTCAAAACCATCTTTGATTGGGAATCGCAACCATATCAAGTATCAAAAATTAATCCTACACTATCCAAACTTCCCATCAAACTTCATCTACTAGTTTGTCAGGTTTGCTGCTGTGCTGGAGCAAGAATTATAATGCTGTTTTTTTTCACGGTTTGTCGTGCACCAAATCGTGCTCCAATGCGTGCTTTTTCTCGCTGTTTGTCGTGCACCAAATCGTCTTCTACTTTATGGTTCCTGGTCTGGTGTATCTGTTGGGAAATTGTTGCTGGTGGTTTCTCTGTAATGTTTGCAATCTTCAGTCTTTCATGAAGGTATAGACTATTGGTAGTGGTGCTGACAAAACTTGAGGATTGCTACTTGTATTTTGAATTGATTTCTTCGTGCACCAAATAGCATAATGGTGCTAAAAAGATCTAAAAAGCGTGCTTTTCATAATATAAGTTTCTATAATTAGAAGAAGCACCAAAGATACCACCATTTAGAGCACCATATGTTCCTTTCAGAAATAAACTGCTTCCAACACATGTGAAATCAAGCCGGATGTCCAGTAAATTGTTTCCTCTGTCGTGCACCAAATCATGCTCCAATGACTCCAATGCGTGTTTTTTTTCACGGTTTGTCGTGCACCAAACTGTGCTCCAATGCGTGTTTTTTTTTCGCGGTTTGTAGTGCACCAAATCCTGCTCCAATGCGTGCTTTTTCTCGCTGTTTGTCGTGCACCAAATCGTGCTCCCATGCGTGTTTTTTTTTGCGGTTTGTCGTGCACCAAATCGTGCTCCAATGCGTGCTTTTATTCGCGGTTCATCGTGCGCCAAATCGTGCTGTATGGTCTGAATTATGTTGAAAGTTCATGAAAGTTCGTGCTCTTGTTTTTATTTTATTCGTGCTCTGAAAATGAAAGAAGTGCGGTAAAACCAAAAACTCGTGGTTTTGTATTGTTTTCCTCTTCGGAGCTTAGGCCAGGATCTGGCCGGAGCTAAGCCAGCCTCCAAAACCTAGAAGAACATTGAATAATATTGAATACTATTGAATATTGAATACTGTATATAATTCTAGATATTCTAGATCCAATCACAAAGCATATCGTTTGGCACATATATGATTTTGGTTATTTTTATCGTGCTCCAAATGGTGCCCAATTTCGTGCCACTATTACAATATTTGACAATATTTAATAATATTTAGGCCATACACAAGATATTGGAAAATCATTAAAAACGGAGGAGATTTCACCAGAAATCATAGGGATATTCCCAACTCTTGCGCGTTTCAAACAATGCTCAACAAACAGCATTTCACAGTTTGCAATACATTTGAAATGACTTAAACGGACTTAAACGTGATAAAAACCATCCAATTTTTGTTGGCAAATCTTCAAGTCTGTCTTGGAGGATTTGCCCACCAACTCTGGGAGGTACCCGCCTACGTCCCAAGAGTGGAATTGGTGCCCAGACTTCGGAGTGCAGAAGGCAGGCCTGCTCTGCCTTCATTTGATCTCGGAAGAAATTCTCAGTGTCAGCTGGTGAAATTCGGAACTGTGGCAACTCGAATCAAATCGACGATTTCCTGGCCATGGTTTGATCGTTTTGATCCCAATCTTTGGTCCATGTCCCCATTGGTGTCCCCAGACCCGTGAATCACGGTGATTTCACCAGAGGTGTTTGGGAGATGGGCTCGCTCCGACGACGCTTCGAAGCGCTGGTGAAAGCACATGGCGAAGCATCAACCTGAGCGGATGGGTTGGTGACGGTGTGAACGGAAAACAACAAGATCTGAACAACAAACAGAACTGGGGGGCACCACTTTGTATGAGTGGGAGGTAATATCCCAGTTGCCATTTAGAATAGTATGCCGAAACCCATCATCACGGTAGCGTTTTCAGGATGCAAGCAGAATCTTCTAGTTTCAACTGTTTCAACTGCCACAAAGTGGGCAATTTCCCAAGTTTGACCCATGGGACCTTGGGCTTTTCCGTGCGCCACCCCGAAGCGCCAACACTTGGCCACCGCGGCCTTCTGCGAGCAGTTGGAGCAGTTGTGCCGTTTGCCGCTGCACTCCGCCGCGGTCGCTGTCGCGGTCGGGTTCTCCGGTGTGCCAAGCCGCGCTGGCTGGGTGGAGGACTGCAGGAGGTCATGTTGAACCTTGAGGTCATCGTGGTAGGGGGAGAGGCAGGGGTTCTGTGAAAATGTTGGACAATGTTGGTTTAAAAAACAACATGTTGATAATATGTTGATGGTTTATCATCAGAAGTGTCCTTATGAAATTGGCTATAAAAAGTTTGTTCCATTTCCAGACACCCAAATGTTGAAAAACTGGAATGGAATGTGAATAGATAACTGGATGTTGAACCCCAAGTTGGGTGACGTTTCAGTGGGGCCGTGGCGACCACGAGAAAAGCCCTGAGAGGGTACCATCTATGGCGACAAGGTCTTTCCCTGGGCTCGGGACTGTCTGATGGAACTCAAATCTGCTGGGGTACAGATCGTTCTGCTGAACTACCGAATGGAATTGGAGGAAGGTCTGCAACTGGGAGTGCACTATGACTCAATTGTTGAAGTGGCTGAGGACACTGAGGAGCTTGAGAATCTTGGGAATCTCGTGTCTGGCCCAAAAGAAAGGATTCTGGTAGTTGGAGACTCTGTGAGTCTCATGAGAGCCGCAAGCAGAGCAGGAATGCCTTCTGCCTTCATTTGTTCAGGGCGGATGAGTCAAGAATTTCAGATGTCGCCGGCACCAGCCATTGATGTCCCAGCAAATGGAGGGCATTTTTCCGAACCTGAAAATCTTGACTGTTGGGATGCAATATTTCGAGATTGTCCTCTTCCTGACTATGGTCTGGCCTGCTTCGCATTTTCAGACACTTGATGGATACACTAGCTCACTAGCCATGTATTAGCCACAACATGTTACAATAATGCTGACGGGTCAACAGGTTTTAAGCGTGTGTTCTTTGTGATGTGGCTCGAGCAGCCTGATCTTGCTAAGGAAAGATTCTTCTTCCGTTTTTTTGCGGAACGCCGGGCCATGGCTAGACGCAAACATTCGCAAAGACCGAAGACTTAGAGACCATTTGCTGCAGCTAGCCTCATTCCTAGCCGCGGTCTTCAGCCGCTTCAGCCCTTGCAATTGTTTGGTGCTTGTGAACCTCAGTGGCTAGGACTTGTCGATAAAGATCAAAAAAGGAGCTCCGCAGTCGCCGCAGTCTCCCCTGAGAGTGGATTGTCATGATATGTCATGATCCGTGCACTGGAAATCTAACAACAATCAGGATATATCAGGATGAACATTGCAATTTCTTGTGCTGAGATTGAAGTTGCTGATGGAGCACCCCTGCTGCTGCGGCCAGAGAAATTGGTTGAACTCTCAGTGAAAACGGCATGTTTTGATACTTTTTGGGGGTCCCTTTCTTCGTTTTCACTTCCGAAGCCATTTAACCTGCGGTTTTTCAAAATCCTTTTCCGAGGCCTCAAAGGATTCACCGGCGACATCTGTGCCAGATGCTGGAACTTCCGGCAGCGAGGTTGGTGGATGATATACCATGATAGATCCCTATGTTCCCCATTATTGGATGGGAAAATGGAACATGGGCATAATCCCCTTCCATACTGCGGAGGTTGACCCAACACATCTGGGAAAGACCTTGATCCACAGTGATTGGAAGTGATTGGATACTGTAGTAATAGTATTACGTAGTAATAGTGCCCTTCCAGCGGATGTTGACCCAACACATTTCAGGATTTGTTTCCAAGTTCTCAGCTTGGTCGCATCATGTCACATCCGCATATATTCGAAATCAAGGTTTGATCTCCTTAAGCCCACAAAATGTTTGAAACGTACTGTAATTCATATAGAGTCATAATGTCAATTACTGTTATTGATGTTTGATGATTTTTGTATATCTATTCTAGATTATTGATGTTAGAACAATTTTCTATTTTTTTTCAATTCAATGAGGGGCTGCTATATATTTTGCACCCCTGTTGGGGTCACCTTGAAATCGGCCCAGCATTTCGCGGCCAGGTGGATTTGTACGAGGGCCTCTCAGACATTTCGGACATCTATCAGTGGGGGGCCCAGTTTATGGCACGGGATGTCAGTGGATAAACCTTGATTTGGTAGGTTACAGCAGAATACAGTACCCTCTGGTAAACGTTTACATAACTATGGAAAATCACCATGTTTAAGGGGAAAATCCACTATACATGGGCCATGTTCAATAGCTATGTTAAATTACCAGAGGGTAATAAGTATTCCAAGAAAAAATGGATGGGGAATGGGTGAATATATGAGAATATATCATATTTGTTTGGGATGGGTCAAGACATGTCAAGACTAAAAATCCAGAGACAAGGATGGGAAATGCATGGGAAATGGAAATTAGATAATTACTGGATTTGTTGATGTCAGCCTTTTCGCCCACGTTTTCACCAGCTCTGCCGCAAGTGTCACCGCACAGGCGGCAAGTGGAGCCAGCAATCTGTGCTGATGATGACTGTGGGGTTTACGAGGTGCTGCAGCTTGTCATCGAATCTGGCGATGAAAAGCAAAGCGACTGATGTTTTTCACGGTGAAAATTGGTGTTTCGCGTAGCCAGGTTTGCATTCCAAAGGCTACTTATCAAGGATTCTGGGGCAGTAATAGCGTTTGCATGCGTCTGCCAACTGTTTGTTGCCTAGAATTGTAGATCAAACCCAGTATATAGTATAGTCAGTATAGTGTTTTTTCCTTGGCCAGCTTGGCGTGCTGGCCTTGCTGTGCTAGCGACAGCAATGACTGACGCGATAGATCCCTTGGTGGAATGTGAATCCCAGGTCGCCATGGATCAGGGTTGTGCCAAGAGCAGCAAGTTTCGCGGTGGATTTGCAGCGATTGTCACAGTGGCTGTGGTGACCTTGTTCATTGGCTTTAGAAGGTCTGCTTCTCAAACAGAAGAAAGATCAGCGACCAATCTCCCTTATGACACAATTCAGAAGTTTGACCTTTCCGGGATGGCTACGACGAAGTGTTGGAAGAACAGAACATTTTATGTGGAATCTAATGGAGACTTCAAGATGCCCAAGACCGGAAATACTCGACAGGTCAGTGCGGCTGCATGTCAAGCATTTTGTGCCAGCACGTTTGGATGTGAACATTTCTCTTATTGGCAAGATGGTGGTTGTCTCTTGACCTCCTTCTCAGCCCATCCCAAACCTTACCTGGGTCCCGAAGAGAATGGTGTGATCTCCGGTCCGCGTGAGTGCAAGCAGATGGACAATGGGCCCAGCATGGTCTTCGAGGCTTCCGCCCTGGGACTCCCAGCTTTCCGAGCCAAGAAAGCCGCAGGATGTGACAGCCTCCATGACATATACCAGCTGGCATGGAGCGCCGAGGGTGAGACCTTCTTTGATGATTGGCAATTCATCAACAAGAGCGAAACACGAGGTGCCGAATGGTATCTGAACAAAAGCGAAGCCTTCTTTGAAGGTGTGGTACATGCATCATCTGCAGGTGCTATCCTTCGAGTAGGTGAACAAGTGCAACCCTTCAAACGTCGATCTGTGATGCTTCACTCTGCGCAGGCATGGCGACCTGATGTGGGTTTCATTGTGGCCATGAAGTACAAGCATGTGCCATATGGCCCTGGCATTTGGCCAGCCTTTTGGATGGTGAACAGCGATGTCCGGTGGCCAAAAGGTGAGCTTAATCCAGTTCCAAAGTGACCAACTGGTTATCAAAAAGTTGGCAAAAAATACCACCAGTTACTGTTGTTTTACTTCAGCAACTACTAACTACTACTACTAGATACTACATGTCATGGGATACCATGGAATAGTGAATGGGGGTAGCCATGAATCTGTTGAATCTGGGTAAATTATAGAGACCTCACTGTGACCTCACTGGAATCATGGTTCGTATACGGGGAATCATCCCAATATAGTTTTTTTATGTGTTATTTCAGGTTAGTGAAATACCGTTTACCCAGATGAATATGATGAATCAATATTCCCCTTATAATCAGATTAGTGAAATACTATATTTTTTACCCTTCATCTTTGACAGGTGGAGAGTTGGATATCCTTGAGTATGCGAATGATGAGAGTAACAAGGTGACCTTTCACACCGACCGCGCCTGCAAATTGAATATCCAGAAGCTTCGGAAATGCGCTCGGAAGATCAAGGGCATTGACCCCTGGCGTCGCGGTGGTTGTTGTTTTGGATGTTAACAAATCCAGCTTGATCCACAGCAAAATGGGGTTAGTCATGGGGGTCCCGAAAAATCCAAGGAAAATGGATGTTCATGACTTTGTATTGAAAATTGAAACCCATGGTGACTTGGGGATCCCCCATGACTTAAGAAACCTCCCAATGGGGGATCTACTTGGATGGTATGTTCATTGCCCAAAAGACGCAGCGATCCAAGGACCCCAAGATGATTGTGAACTGCTACACCAACTACAGTAGCAATCAGCTGGGCTGTATGCCGCCGCAAGTACGGAAAGATGGCGAGTGGTACGCCAAGAATCCAGGTGCAAAGTGAGTGACCAAAATCATCCAAGATCATTGTTGATGAGTCATTCTAGGGCCTTAAACTACTAGTAATCTAGCTGGTTCTAGCTGGAAATTGCTATGAAGAACTACAGGAACGCTATCGACATTCTCCCCAGCATGAAATAGATTAAATAGATACAGGATATGTCGGGATGACAGTCGTTGGCATAGATGTTTTTACCAAAGATACAACTGACGGGTCGGTATCAACTACCAATATTGTATGGTTATCATCACATATATAATGTATATAAATATGTATATATATATATATTATACATATATATAATTTTATATATCTAATATATTTACACATCACCAGATATATCCACATATTCTATACCCTTTGGCTATTCAACATAGCTATGAAAAACAGACCATTTATGAATGATTTAGCTGTATATATTTACCATGATTCGTCAGAACTGGTGATTTTCCATGATGCTAAATAGCCAACGGCGAGTTACGTATCCCCAGTTCTTGGGTCCTTTCAAAGAAGTCCCTGTTTTTGCAGCCAGGTGTCATAGCCTTGCTGTGGGATGCCAGCGGGATCACCAGCTTCCACATCCCTGAAGCTGAAATCCCAGCTGACTTGGAGTCGAATGCTCCGAAACCAAACACTTGGAAACTTGACCCAGAAACAATCCATGGGATCGAAGGATTGGTTGGGAAATGTTGGGTTTGTATACCCTCTGGTAAACGTTTACATAACTATGGAAAATCACCATGTTTAATGGGAAAATCAACTATAAATGGTCATTTTCAATAGCTATGTTAAATTACCAGAGGGTACCTGTAAATTTGAGAAAATTGATCCAGAAAATTGATGGATTGCTTGGGAAGATCTCAACCGGAAAGCATGTTTTTTCCTATGAAAGGGCTGGGGGTTCCTATGACATTTTACCTTAAACCAATCAATGGGGTATTTTCCATGGACCAAGGAAAGATGCATGGCGAATGGCATTCATGCCATTTGATGCCGAGACCTGCTCGGACATAGCCAGACCTCAAGAGATTGTTCTCAATATTGCCATCTGTGGTGACTGGGCTGGAAACTCCTGGTTTGCTTGCGAGGAGTGCAAAGCAACTGGCTATCTTCCAGATTATTGCATTCCAGGACATGGGTCATTAAATGTCCCCATTGAACATCACCCAACCATTAGGTATATGGTCTACTAGATGGCTATTTTTTCAGGTGATGTCCAATCCCAAAATGGGACAGTTACCCCTGCAGGACACGTCACAGAACCTGCCACGGACTGCTGTACCCTCTATATCTCCAATCCGAGCGCCGAAGAGGCGCTGAAAAGCAAAGCATTCTTTGACATCGATTACATCAAGGTCTTTGAGCCAGAAGGTTCTGATTTGCCAAGGTATCCGGCAGGAACATATAGAAATGGTGGTGTCTTTGTGGGTGATGTTTGATGAACCTGGGTCTGAGTCAATGATTGGTACGCGTGGCAAGCTCTCCAAAGTGTGAGGTTGCGCTGTGCCACCAACTTTTGCGGCGCTCTCTCTCTCACTTGTTGCCCATGTTTTCCCGCGAAGTGTGACAAAGCAACTAGCATTCAACATAATTTTGATGATCTTGCATGTGGGTATTGGTCAAAATTATCAGCCCCCAAGATGAATGCATATGATTAAATACTTTTTGTTTACCCCAATTCGACCATATTCCACCCATACCCATGTCTGGAAATAGTCGTGCTTTGCAATCACAGGTATCACAGGTCAGGTGGAGACGAGGGCAATGAGCTTATAGATCCAAGAACGACATAATGTATAGACTTGAACTCCGGAAAACAGAAAAAGTCGCGCAACGGGTCCGGAATTCGAAGATGCTTTTGCTGGTCAACTGGTCAAGCTGAAATGTCAAAACATGTCGCCCAGGGTCGGCAGTGTTGCCGCCAGGTGGATTTGGGCTTGGACTTGGCGTCGGAAACTTAGAGAGTCCAGACTGTCCAGACTGGTTGATTCAGGATACAAGCCCAGTACACCCAGTACACATGGCATTTTTCGGTTCTGCTTCTGCTGTTTCCAGAGGTTACCCAATATAAAAATTCCATGTTGGAGGTGTCCTAAAATATGGGTACCCCAAAGCATTGGTTTTCCCATTGATACTATATAGCCCATTTTGGAAGATTTTGGAAGATTTTGGGGTACCCCCATGACTTTGAAAAGCCCCACTCCGTTCCAGGTCTCCCAGCTTTCCAAGCTCTGTCAGATTGGAGAAGGAACCACTGGAGACTCAGGTGCGGCTAAGGCAAATTTAACTGATTTTATCTATTTTCGAAGTTGTCTCTAATACTAATATTAATAAATATATAGAATAACAATGAATAAGATAGACATTATAATTGTTATATAATGTATCTAATCTTATATAGAGACTATATAGATGCTATATAATAAGTATATAAATGTATCTAATATGATATAGATAATAAATACAAACAGTTTATCTAATAATCTAATATTGTATCTTCCAGACAGAAACAATGGAGTCCCAGCCACCAGAAAAAATTCAGGCCGTTCTGGTGTACATCAGACTTGCCGTTGGGGCAGCTCGCGACTTCCGGAGCCTTGCCTGCGAGGGATTGATATCCCATTGTATATGGGAAACTTCTACCGATCGTAGGGGTTGTATATGGATTGAAAACACCACGGATCCGATAAAAGTGGGATGCACATCCAAGTATACTTATAGTGTGTGTGTGTGTGAATGCGATTCATTGAAGCCAACTGTTGGATGGGCCACATCATTGACGCTCGTTTTTTGTTCAGCGATCGCCATGGGGCACACCAGGACGAACGGCGCCAAGCCGCCCTTCACTCGACTCTCGGCCGAGAGCCTTGCGGGCGGCGAGCCGGCGGTGGCTGTTTCGATGGATCGTGTAGGACTCAGCGGACCGGTGATGCAGAGAACATGGGTCTGAAAATAGGGTATACCCGGTATGCCCCATCTGTGTCAGCTATCTTCAATGGGAGGATGATGAACCAGTGAATTGAATGGGGTATCCTACTTTCAGACAAAGCCATATGAGCGATTCATTGCATTCCAGTTGTGTGTTTCTCCAGACTCTTGTCGTCAGTTGTCGTTTTTGCCCCACATGAGGATACCAGGAAACTGTCGATTCGGAGTGGTCCAAGCAAGATTTGGAGCCTCTAGGACTCAGCAATTTTCTCAGAGGGCTCTGGTGCAGCTGGCAAGGCCTCGATCCTGTTTTGATATCGCTTGGGTGTTCGATTTGAAAGTGATGTCTTTCCGCTTTTGATCGTTAAAAAGATGCATCCTATCATCCTATCATTTCCCACCAGCATTTGTATCAGGTGAGGAGACATTGCTGAAGCCGGGTTTTTTATTGTTCACAACCGTGGTGTCTTAATGCAAGAATTCCTCTATTTCATGGTAGGATGACCATAACCCATATGTATCCATATCGGTAGGGATGATACAGATGGTTTCCAGGACTCTTGTGGGCTCGCGCACCGCGCCCTCCACCAGAGGCTGGGTGGTGAATGTGAGCAGTGGCTGCGACTCGGCCCCTGGTTGGTTGATGTTGTTTGGATTTCAATTAACAAACTATATGACATAACTATACATAACTGATAAATGATGGTTGGTTGATGATTAGTGTGGGGATTATACTAACCAGTATATTGGGGGATATCTGAATCCATTTTTACGCTTTTCATGCCGTTGAAACAACCAGTCATGGGGTGAATCCTATGAGGAAACGATCCCCACTTTGCCATAAATGATGTAAATGATGTAAATGGGCGGTGTAAACCATACCCAAATTGAAGGTTTACTAGTGGCTTTACCACATTGCTAACATATCTTGCAGGTTTCTGCATTGATGTTGGGTTGCAGCTGTGCCATGGTTGGTCCAGGACTGGCCGGGCGTCCTGCAACTGGTGCCTCCTTTCAGTCAGATTCTCAAGCCAGCAGCTGTGCATGGGTGCAGGGGACTGATGTAGTTCTTTTATGTTGTGTTTTCGTGAAATTCAATAGATTCCACTTCAAGTTGTTTGAAATCGTTTGAGTTTCAGGGTCCACTGCACTACAAAGCTCTGCGAACCAGCGTACGTACTTGGAAGCCAAATGATTGCCATGCTTTAGGCTTTAGAAATGATTGCCCTGTTTCCGATTTTATAAACCATGGCTATAGATGGTTAACAATGGTTAAGAGTGGTTAATAATGGTTAATAAATGTTTGTAATATAATGACCAACTCTTTAGACAATCGCACAGCTTGTCTGCTCCCTTAGAGGTGCTCGTGCCATCGATGAGATGACTATGTTCTCACAGCCGGCCGAGCAGCTGCGTCACTTAGTGGAGGCGATGCTTGAGCATGCTTGAGCAATTGGATGCACAATTGCTGATCCTGGGAGAACATCAATCAAGTGCTGAAGATATGTTGAAGTATGCTCAAGTACTATAGTTGTTTTTGCAGTTTTGGTGACATTCAAAGGTGTCATTGAGACTTTGGCACCTTCACGGTGTCCGTTGTCCTCTTGGAATTTGACCTTCGCGATTGGAACATCATCTTAAACATCATCGGGACAAAAATCCAGCAAGCCATGGAGCTGATTGCCGGACATATCCAGACATTACATGGAAATATGGCCCATCATCCAAAGAAGCTCCGTTTTTGTTGGGTCACCAAAAGGCCTGCCTGGGCAAAAGCGGTGCCAACGCGCATTGACCTGAGCTGGATGGATGGATAAATGGGTAGAAACCATTCGCAATCATGGTAGATTTATGGCATTGGGTGTACCACATTATATAATATTATAATATATATATATATATAATTATATAATATATATAATTGTATAAGATATATAATTATATAAGATATATAATTATATAAGATATATAATTATATAAGATATATAATTATATAAGATATATAATTATATAAGATATATAATTATATAAAATATATAATTATATAATATATATATATATAATTATATAATATATGATATAGGTAGCCTCCCCAAGTGTAGCAACGGCTTGTCACTTGTCAACGTCAACGTCTATGTGACGATTTGCTGTTGAACAATGTTAAAAAGGCATGGAAAGCTGGGATTCTCTGCAGGATGGAGATTCCTGTCGACTGGATTGTATATGATTGTGTCAAATTTGTTATTTAGTTTAAGATGTTTATCCAGAGTAGCATTTCATTAAAAGAAATAATCGAGGTCAAAGTCCATCTTGGACTGTGCAGGGCGCAGCAGCATAAGGACTCCAGGCTTCACTGATGTCTCATGTTAATTTCTCTTCAAATTTGCAAGCTGTAACCTCAAATCATTTCAAATTTCTTCAGCCATCTTGAAGAAATTTCTGGAATTTCAATGAATTTCAATGATTTTCACCCAACTCTCTAAAGAAACTGCCAGGCATGATCGCGATCACCGGACCTCCTGGGTTTCCACCCTAGACCCGTGTCAACAGTGTCAGCAATTCTCAAGTTGGATTGGGTGGAAGAAAATTCCAGGAAATCTGTTGCAATAGTTGACCGAATCGACACATATTGGGTCAACAACTCGCCCACGACATGGTCGTCATATATTGAGGATGGCAGTGGTCCTCTTCAGGGTCCTCTCCAGTCATTGAGCATGGCAGTGGAGTATCGCACATCACATGTTCATATTTTCACGATATACCCTCCGGCAATCAAACATGAGAAATCCCCGAACTAAATGGATAATGTTAATGGGACAATTATTCATAAATGGTGGACATTCCGGACATTCCTATATTTTGGAGCTGCGGCGTATCGTGTGGCTCCGCCATAGTTGGCCCTTTGTTTCGCGGAGGTCAGTTGCCATTTCATCGCAGGGTGGACTTGAAATCTATTGCTTTTGTTTGGGGACCTGCTTCAGAAACATGCTCTTCATCTCTTTTGGAACAATTTCGGAAGGATTTGCATGGAAGTTTTTTTTGCGATGTGTTCCATTTTTTTGGAAGCAGTCCTGAAGGCTTTGTTCAATCTGTTTGCTTTGTCTCTTCTTTAAGAATGCGAAGAACGTGTAAGTAGCAGCGATGGTTTAAAATTTGAAAACCATAATCAAACCAGAAAAAAGATGAATAGATGTTGTTTTTGCGGTGTCAGAGGCAAAAACATTGCGTAAATACCACTGGAGATCACGAAAGTTGCAAAAAAAAACTGTTATTTACATGGTTTCTTGCATGACATATTTTTGGAATGTTCAAAAAGGTAAAAATACCATAAAATACCAGCGGTTTTGCATTTACAGTAACCATCAGTCTCTTGCTGCGCCAACGCCTCGCAGCACAGTCGTCGAACTCAGGTCAATGCGAGGTATGGCCTTTAAAAAAAGATAGGTCAACAAAACCTGGTGCTTTACAAGCTTTTGGGGCTGCCCCTGGTTTTTTCCCCCCACAAAAGTGGTTGCTTGATGTTGCTTGGGGGTGCATCCCATTTCATAAATGGGTGAAAAAAGAACAGTTAATTATATGTGTATATATAATATGTATATATATATATATAATTATATATATGTGGAATATCCCCACTTATATATGGGATTATAGCTCCCAGGTCCGGAAAGACCCGCTTGGCCTCGCGAGTTCTTTCCCAGTTGGCATCACAGGGCGTCCTGCCGTTGCAGGTGGGCGTTAAGGGTTGATCAAGACATCGTTACGTCGTTGGTAAATAGGTAAACAGATGTAGATCATTGTAGATCAACAGTAAATCACGGTCAATGTCACCTGTAAACAGATGTAAACCAACGGTAAAATTACATTGATGATCTATCATGGTCACTACCTGGTTGGTCCCTTTTAAGAGGTAAGTCACGGTCAATAATTATGCTTATCATCTATTTCTATGGGCCATTTTCCATAGCTATGTTAAATATCCAGAGGGTATGTGATGGGGATGATGGTCGCTAACTGTTTAACTGGATGATGCTGATGATGCTTGGCGCTCAATCCACCATCCCACTGCATGCCACAAAAAGCAGGTGATTTGCCGCAAACTGGGCCAACCCGGCAAGAAGTTCAGAGTAATACAGGTGCCAAGATGGGACTTGTGGCAAGATAAATTTCAAAAACAATGGTTGGTTTACATGGCCCAAGAAAAAGCATTGAGTAAGGTTAGTAAGGATATTCAATATATATTGAAGCCTCTAGAACCAGCCTCATACTTCAGGATATGCAATGCATGATCCAATAAAAAGCAACAACATTTCTCAGCTGTGACCCAGTGAAGGCTGTCACGAACAGTTCATGGCGCCATGGCGCATCTGACAGGACTGGCTGCGAGCCATCCTGAGCTTCGCATGTTGGTACTCTCCCTGTGCCGTTTTGTTTGGATCTGAGAAGTTTGGGTGATAAATTCATATAAATTCTGCAACAGAAAAATGCCAATTCTGTTCTCTATACATGTTTTGGATTTCTGTCTGAAGGCTGGACGACTTCGGTGCTCTTTGTTCTGTACTCAGGAAACTGGTCATGTGAAACCTCTGAAACTTGAGAACCAGACCAGGTCCAGACGTCGAACCTGGTGCTCCCAACCTTTCAGTCACAGAGGCTGGTCATCTCTATGGGTCCCTGGGTATGGGTCAAAATTGACCCCAATTATTGGATGGTTAAGACATGTTAAGACTCAAAATGGACTCAAACCGACTCAAACCCATAATTATCGTCCTGGCAGGAGCGCTCCCCATTGATTGCTGAGATGCTGCTTGACCTTCTACCAGAGGCGGGAAAAAACGATGGCGGCCTGAAAGTTGATATCGGAGCAGGTCCCAAATGGGTTTGTCATGTCCCCCCAAAAAAAATAGGGGCGTACTGAGGATATCTCAACATATGGTAGGGTTTCATAGTGTTTCATGCAGAAAAGATGTTCAAAACATGTCCCAAAAAACGAGGAGTTTGCCGCGGTCGGCCTAAATGTTCGGGTCCCAAGAGCCATAGGATTTCCCCTTTCGCTTGTGCCAGGTGAGATCCAGCGGTGCCCAAGTTGCGCTGGTGGCCACCATGCCGGATGATGCAGCGGTCCACCGCATGTTGTGGTCATGGCCAGCCCTGGAGCACAAGGTGCAATCACAAGTCATAGAGACAGCGTGAAACCTGGAAAGTTCTGGAAAATATATGAAGTAATATCATAGAACTAACATCTTGGAAACACTGTTCCAGAGTGTTCTCTCTTTTTTGGGGGTTGCTATAAATATATACACATACTATAGATCCACATCTGTTTGATTGAAAGCAGATCCAATATTCCAAATGTACCCAAAGTTTCAAATGTTCTCCAAATGTTCTTAATTTTAGATGCTACGACAACGATTTCAATCATGGGCTGTCAGAATTTTAGACCCCTTTTGAACCACAGACTGCAGTCATATTCAGTCGTTGTTTGCAGCGTCCAATTTTTCACAACGACCGTCGACCATTGTTGACCCATGAAGACATAGTGATGTCACTAGTGCAGATAGTGACTTTTTGTGCAGCTTCACTCTCGGTTCATGCTATGAGTGAAGCTGAAATTGTGAGGTTGGGATCAGACAACCCGAGCTGAAGGACAGTGGGAACCCTCCCATGTTATCCCATCTGGAGGTGTCTATGGAGGACGTCTATTTTGATGATCCCCAATAGCTGGATGGTTTCATGGATGACAATGGATGATTTGGAGGTACCATGACAAAACGGAAAGTTCCATGATGATTATATATATAGAGAGAGAGAGATAGCCGGCTTAAACCGTGGATGTTTATGGGGGTACTTCCATAGATTATTTATAGGTCCATATATGGAGGTACCCCATAGACTAACCAGCACTGGTGTCTTGTGGAGGAGAGGCCAGAAATGCTGATGGCTCTTCTGCGGGAGAAGGCTGGCAATGCAACTGGGTCTGAAAAAATTGAGGTTTCCCCCCATTTATGACCATTTATGGATAGTTATGGTCATTTATTTATATATCATCCTTAAGTGGATTTTTTTGTTCAGGTCGGGTTGGAATAGAAATTCAGTGAGGCAAACGGTGATCGACCATGAAATTGTGGCATCACGCAGGAGGATGAAGGATGGGAGGCCCGGCTGAAGTTGGGGGGCCATGCACTCGTGAAGACGGGGAAAATCGGAGAAATCTACAGGTCAACGCTACTGAATCCAGAGCTTTCTCATCATGTTCCCATTTTTCGGGCATGAAGAGATTGTTTTTTTTCACATATTTGTATGAAAGAAACATAAGAAAACGATATATTGCCTGATGATTCCGCCTGTGACGCAGGTTGAACATGGCCTGCTAGCAGAAGGTGCTCTTGATGATTGGGGTGGTCGCACAGCCCTCAGCTGCGGCTTCGCGGCTCTGTGTGGCTACAGTTCTCGTCAGTTTTGCCAATCAAACATCCAGACATGGGAGTCCTTTCATCGTCCCTCCTAATTCGTATCTTGAATAGAAGCATAAACCATCATAAACCATCAACCATCGTCTTCTACAATCCTCAAATCGAACATTGGCTGAATTGGTTTACAACCATAGGGCCATAATGGATCATAATGGGCCATAGGTAAACCATCATTTTCCATCAGGATGACTGGGGTCAATTCCGCGATGATTCACCATTAGATCCCCGTGTGAAAAGGCGTCGACGGCTTCAGTGTGGCTGACTTGGTCAGCCTTGTGGAACGCAGCTGTGTGGAGGCGCTGGGAAATTTGGAAATGTGGTTTTTGCTTGTTTAAAACATTTTAAAATATGAAATAGTATGGTGGCTACTTTGAAATAGGTTGATGTCTAATATGTATTAATATGTATTAATATGTATTAATATGTATTAATATGTATTAATATGTATTAATATGTATTAATATGTATTAATATGTATTAATATGTATTCATATGTATTAATATGTGATAATATGTGATAATATGTGATAATATGTGATGTTGATATATGATATGTGTCATGCCTTCGGATGATCGAACTCAATCGACTCAAACCAGTTACACTCGGAACGGCGCCAGGCGACCGTGGAAGCAAGTGCAACCAGACTAAGAGGAGGAGATGGTCATGGACCAGAGTCGCCGGAAGCATGTATTAAAAATAAAAGTTCAGACCAGCAACTTAGAGCAGTGGTTGAAACACTCATACAATACTAGACATATTGATTATATTATAATGTAATATCATGTATTACTTATTACATGTAATGTGTATATATATATATATATGATTATATATGTATGATTATATATATATATGATTGTATGCATGTATTTGTATATGATCCCCAACTCCCATGGCTCATCATTTTTCGCCAGGTGGGGGGAGAGACAACGCCTCACCATGGATCATCTTGAAAAGGCTTGCGAGGCAGCTGGCGTTGCTACCGATGAGTATCCAATGGGAATCCTGGTTGATTTCTCCTGGTTGATCTTGCAAAAAAAACTGTGTTTATTCTCTGAAAGCTTCTGAAACAGTTTGTTTATTCAAACGGTTTGATGAAAAATACACCACCAAAATGGCAAATTTATGCAAATTTGCTGGACAAAAAAAACATATAAAGCATCATAAAACGATGCTTTTGACCGATTTTCGGGGGATCTTCCCCCCAGCTGATCGTCGTTCCAGGGCTTCGTCCCGGCGACCATGGCAGACCAGACCTTCTTCACTTCGGACGCTCTTTGGGCGTCAAACTCGTGGAATCCCAGGGTTTTTTTTTCACAAAAGAACTGAGAATGACAGAATGACTGGCAAATGCAGATGGAATCAAATGGATCTTCATCCCCGAATCAGATGGGAAAACCAGAGGTTTTGAGCGAGTTTGACCCATCCCACTAGAAGTGATACTTTTAAAAAAAATTGTCTCAACCGCAGGAGGTGAACTTGACGGATATCGGGGGTTTAAACAGTGCCAAAGAGGAGCGATGCTGGGGGAAATGGCAGGCTCTGAGAGTTGGATACAGTCATGGTGTTTACATGTCATGACATCACCCCGCTTCAGACATTTGATGTGTGTTTGGTGTTATTGCCTTGACCACATGTAAAAAAAACATTAACAGATGATCTAGCCTATATATGGTAAATTAAAGTTTGCTAAGTTTTACCATGTTTTACCTATATTTACCTACTAAACAAATCTAAACAAGATGATTTTCCACGAAACAGACTTCACCGACACTGGGTCAAGGAGCTGATGGACATGCTGACGATGCCCACGAAGTCAAGGGCTCAACTTGGTGGCAGGATGGCTTTGAAATGGGTGGATTTATGGATTTTATATGGATTTGTCATGTTTATGATGAGTTGTTTTTGGGAAAAACATCGTGAAGATGAGGTTTTTAACAGATCGTTGGTATCCAACGTTTGGACATAGCCATATTCCGAATTGCGGTTGACTTGGTCAGATTTATGAGGTATGCCGTGCTTCTTGATCGTGCCCCCGTTCGAACTCGAAAGGCGCAGAAGCATCGGTTCTCATGCACAAGTGATGGTTTTGGCTTTTGCAAAGCTGCCATGTTTCTGCGGACCGAGGGCCTCATGCTGGTGGGTCCACCCGGCTGTGGCAAGACCATGCTGGTGCAAGCTGCTGCCAAAGAGACCAAGGGCCTTCTGAGGCTGGAAGATCTGGAAGATGTTGGAAGTTCTTTCCACCCCCCCATTTCACAGTCGAAACATCCAAGATATCTGACTTCCAAGGATCTAACATGAAAGAAATTCTGTCATAAAGCCTCTGCCCATGGGCCCGAGGTGCTCCAGGGATATGTTAGGTCTGTCTGCTGCTTTGGCAAATCACAGTTTCAGTTGTTTCATCTTATTTCTCCTTGATGTTGCGTGTTGACATGACACGCTGTCTTTCTGATCAGTGCGACGAGGTTCTTATCTGTCAAAGGGCCAGAGCTACTTTCCAAGTACATTGGAGAATCAGAAGCCGGCGTGCGGAAGGCGCGCTGCATCTGTACAGATGAAATGAAGGTCTTGAATGAAAAAGGTTTCCGCACAGGGACCCTGCAAACAGGGTTGAGTTTGATGGTTCTGGAAGGAAAATCAATGTGTTGTTTCTTAAATAAGGTACTGTATATATATATATATATATAATGTTCACATGGCGTTAATAAACCCCCCCGCAATAAAGTACGCCAACTCCCGGTTCACAATAATAAAACACCCCCGCAATAAAGTACGCCAACTTTTTCTTTCCCGTTTTTTTTCCGTTTTTCCCCTTTAGTATTCGTTTTCAATTAGGCAATTCATTTGGGAATACATAGGTGTTTTTTTTTGGAGGGAAAGTTCCCTTATGTATTCGTTTTCAATTAGGCAATTCATTTGGGAATACATAGGTGTTTTTTTTTGGAGGGAAAGTTCCCTTATGTATTCGTTTTCAATTAGGCAATTCATTTGGGAATACATAGGTGATTTTATTTTTTGGAGGGAAAGTTCCCTTATGTATTCGTTTTCAATTAGGCAATTCATTTGGGAATACATAGGTGGTTTGTTTTTTTTGAAAAGTTCTGGAGTGCAAAAAAATCAACAAGGCTCAAATGGTCGATTTCCTTACTAAACCCTTTCAAAAAATGCCAAAAAACAATCGCGCAAAGGGGGTAGCCTTGAAGTCCCCTGACATCAAAATAATAATGTATGTTTGCACACCCCTAAATAAAGTATTAAAGTATTTGGATTTCAGGGTTCTAAAATTTTGGTGGTTAATTAAATTTGTTTCTCAATTCCTTTCCTAGTTGAACCCTTTCTCAAACCCTTTCTGAAGCCCTCAAGACTCTTTGAGCTGGAAGCAGTAAACTCCAAACTCCAAATCTTGCCTGACAAGTTCTGGAGTGCAAAAAAATCAACAAGGCTCAAATGGTCGATTTCCTTACTAAACCCTTTCAAAAAATGCCAAAAAACAATCGCGCAAAGGGGGTAGCCTTGAAGTCCCCTGACATCAAAATAATAATGTATGTTTGCACACCCCTAAATAAAGTATTAAAGTATTTGGATTTCAGGGTTCTAAAATTTTGGTGGTTAATTAAATTTGTTTCTCAATTCCATTCCTAGTTGAACCCTTTCTCAAACCCTTTCTGAAGCCCTCAAGACTCTTTGAGCTGGAAGCAGTAAACTCCAAACTACAAATCTTGCCTGAAAAGTTCTGGAGTGCAAAAAAATCAACAAGGCTCAAATGGTCGATTTCCTTACTAAACCCTTTCCTTACTAAACCCTTTCAAGAAAGTTCACTTTATGTATGCGTTTTCAATTAGGCAATTCATTTGTGAATACTCAAGTTCCAAGAAAGTTCACTTTATGCATTCGTTTTCAATTAGGCAATTCATTTGTGAATACTAAAGTTCCAAGAAAGTTCACTTTATGTATTCGTTTTCAATTAGGCAATTCATTTGTGAATACTAAAGTTCCAAGAAAGTTCACTGTATGTATTCGTTTTCAATTAGGCAATTCATTTGGGAATACATAGGTGATTTTTTGTTTTTTTGGAAAGTTCCCTTTATGTAATCGTTTTCAATTAGGCAATTCATTTGGGAATACATAGGTGTTTTTTTTTTTGGAAAGTTCCTTTTATGTAATCGTTTTCAATTAGGCAATTCATTTGGGAATACATACGTGTTTTTTTTTTGGGGGGGGGAAGTTCCCTTATGTATTCGTTTTCAATTAGGCAATTCATTTGGGAATACATAGATGATTTTATTTTTTTTTGGAAAGTTCCCTTATGTATTCGTTTTCAATTAGGCAATTCATTTGGGAATACATAGGTGATTTTTACGATAGTTGAATGTTTGGCCCTAACTTTATTCTGATGCCCTTAATGTTTGGGGGGGGAGGGGGGGGTTATTAATACGATGTTGACATTAATTATATATATATATACCTCCTTCAAAGCGGACCACTTTGTTTGGGAATATTTTCTAAATTCTAAACCATGGGATCTTGGAGTGAGATAAACCCTGTGGTTTCGGTACCCTTCGGTACCCAGGTATTGCATTTCTTAACGCGTAGGTCTTTGAGCGTGCAGCAGCGGCTGCACCTGCTGTGATTTTCTTCGATGAGATCGAGGCCTATGATGTTTAGATATGTTTAGTACATCATATTTTGGTGTAATATATCCAACTAGACATATATCCAGAATTATCCAGATATGGGGATAGATCAAGAGCTCTAAAAGATCATAGTTTGAGGGGCTGAAATGGATGAACATCCATAAATCGCAGCTATGAATTGATCACCAGGGGATTCCCTGAGTTTTGATCCTTTCCCTTGCATATCTTAGATGTTTCGTGCAGTTCCAGAATGTTCCAGACACATTTCTGTGTGGCAAACTGTTGCTGTAGGCATTGGCACCAAAGCGTGGAGGTTTCGCAACTCGAGTCGCAAGATGTCGCATGTTATCATTGACTGTAGCCGTTTTGCCAAAAGTTGGAAGGTTGTTGTCATTTATATAATCGAAATTGGTTCTTGATCCGTTTTTAAATCGATAGAATAAAAGATCCATTTTTAGATCCATAAGATGTCCGTGGTTTCTCATCATTTTTCCCCATACCATGGAGATCCCCATGGCTGACTCGCCAGCTGACTCCACGGGCGTCACGGATCGCGTGGTCAACCAGATGCTGTGCTATCTCGATGGTGCGTCTCGGATATGAGCGAATGCGCAAGGGCCCGGAGGGGGGAATTTCCCATGGGATTTCGACATGTTGATTGAGATGAAGTATACCAACTACCAATCACTTTATGGGGATTTGATGATATATTCATATTACATATGCGGGATAATTAATATATATATATATATTATATTATATATATAGAGATTAATACATACATTAATATGTGATATACTACCCTGCATTACAACCAGCAATATTAGATTTTTGGGGTTGTCCGGAAATATGGCAACCTTGGAAATATGGGATTATGGGATTTCTCACGGGGAAAAGATGATAAAGCTGTTGGACCCACGACCAAATGATGGAACGTTCCAAGTCTGCAAGACTTGGCTCGTTTCTTTCTTGCTGAGGTGGAAGATAGGGGCCGAGTCTTTGTGGTTTGGAACTTGAATTCAGAGAAGTTGGACCTCACTTGGAGAATGTTGGATATGGTATGATATGGGTCATGGAATTTCCTTGGGTTTTGAGACACCCAAAGAGCTCCATCATTCCAATAGTACCAGGGGTATTGTATTGACCGTTATTGACCCATCCTCACTTGACGGATTGGAGTCTCTGCTATCGGGGCTGAGGTCGCCGCAACCGGCAGGCCGGACATGGTCGACCCTGCATTGATGAGACCAGGTCGCTTTGACAAGATCTGCTACTGTGGTCAGGATCTGAATCGGTTTTTTCCATTTTCCCAAGTGCCCAAAAGCACCAAGACCTCCAGCTGTTCGTTGCCAAGGCCTGCCCTCAGATGATGAGAAGTTGGAGATCTGTCAGGTGTTGGCCAGGCTGAAGCTGCAACGCTTGCGCGGTATTGTCTTCTGTTTGAGTGATGTTTTTTTTGTCAGAGGCACACCAAAAAACATGCGAGTAACTGAAATGTTGGCCCTGGATTAATAGTCCACATGGTTGATGACTTAATTGTGTTACCCCACCCAAAGGTGATAGTTTTTACTCAAATGGTACCACCCAATTCAGCAGCCCAGAGCTTCAGCAAAATTTGGGCTTGCAATCGCTGATGAATTGGCTGCTACCATAGTTGTTGACACTTCCCTGGGCCTTGGGTAGGAAGAATGACTTGGTTGGAGACGTCCAAGTGAACGGGAATGCACCGGCAGACCTCACTGTCCGGCTCTTGGATGTTCTTTTGCCAAATGAGGACCTACCTGTGACCTGCGAGTCCCCAACCAGTGACAGCGAAAACATACCAGATACATCAAGAAACTGGCGTATTCAACCCTGCAAGCGGTTTAAATGGTATAAGTTCCTCACGACTGAGCCAACTTCGGGGAGAAGCTCATTGGATCATGTGTCCAAAGCGTTTGCTCAAAGTCATAGAAGAGGCATCTTTTTGCATCTGCTTTTGCACATGAACAAAGTCGCAGAATATCCCAACAAAGCCGTACATTTGGATGTTTGCCAGAGACACATGTCAAAAACCAGCAAAAAAAATAAGAAATGTATCCTTTTCTCCAAGTATACAACAGATTCCGATTTCATCCCTTAGAGGAAGGTCCCCACCAATGGGCTTCTATCATCGGCCCCATGCCATATATGGACAGGTCATATGGTTTGGGGGCTTCTTCCTGTCAGCATTGCGATCGCTCGCCATGGCACCCAAATCAGCTCAAGAGCCAATGCAAGGCGAGGTGGTCCCTCAAATTGTATCAAATTGTGAGGTATATTTATAGTATCTTAAAGTGATGAACGAGAAACAAAAGGTAATTATATATCATATGTAATGTTGTATTACGCAACTGACTAAGCCCAAAAACCCGGAAATCTAACGTGATTTTTTTAAGTGTTCGTTTTTGTTACTGGTGTTGGAATTTTCTTCCGCCCGTTGAATTTGGTGTGAAAAATTTGTTCCGACATGCATTCTTGGGGTTCCCGTAGCGTTCTGAAGGTGGCAATGGCTCAACTTGAGATGCCTGCAGGGTATTCTGACATTTGTTTCTGGTATGTTTGCTTAGGAACTTGCCTTCCATTCCTGCTTGCAACCAGCCATTTCTATTTGGCACAGTTCTGGTGTTCTTGTGGGGATAGATTTTTCCAGAACTTGTTTTTTTGCATGATGGGGGCACACCTACCACTCTGGCCACGCAGTTTCTAAACGGGGCAGGTGCAGTTGCTAGTGCAGGCATCATTCAATTAGAAAAGGGTCTTTTTTCAAAAGCGGAGGACGAAGGATGTCTCCAAGACTATTTTTGCCGCTGCTGGGGTGAAATTGCGCATGGCAATTGGAGCCACTAGACCCAGAGAAATTCAAAAAGAAAGCCGGAGAAATTTCACACCCGGACTAGGTGCGAGAATACCCGGAGAAAGAGCGAGAATGGTGTGAGAAACAAACGCGAGAAAACCCCGGAGAAAATGCATTTATAGCATGTATTCAACTCACTTGTATCAACATTGAAAACATGGTGCTTCAGATTGCTTCATCACAAAACCTTTTTCCAAACCCTATTTTTGGGGAATTTTGACCCCATCAAACGGAACGCAACTACATTTCCCAAATGCCAGACACATGGAGCCCTTGGGAAGTGCAAGTGTCAGTGATAACGTGACAAACGCATGAATAATTAGCTGCTTTGGGATATTGCAATGACAACTGCCTCCATCGCAACTAGTTTGGTAGCATGTTTTATCCAGTTGATATGTTTGATGAGTAGGCCCATGAGGACCATGCTAAGAGTGACAAAACAAGAAAAAAAAGTGTGTGTTGTTGTTCGGGATGAACCGCCTCAAGCACAGAAAAAAAGCGACAAGTGTGAGAATTTCCTGCTGGTGTGGGAATTTTGCGGTGAACCCGGAAAAGTGTGAGAATTCAAAAAGTTCGCTTTTTAAACTGGTGTTGAAATTCCTACGCCTCGGGCTTCGCAAAGCTGTTGGAAACTGGGATGAAATTTCGTCAAGACCATGGTGCCCTCGTCACATTTTGCCGAAAACAGATATAGAAGAGACTGTAACGGAATGGTCAGTTACCGATCTTGGGGACGTCTCAGCCATCGCCATCAGGAGAGACCAGGTTGTCAACGAGCTCCAGTTCACAGCATTCCCGGCCTTCGGATTCGCAGGGCGGCACCACAGACTCGCAGGCAGAACGAGCAGCTTGGCTTTTGAATGTTTTTGATATGTGCCATGATATGCCATGGTGAAAATGTGTGCGAAATGATTTTAAATTGCTGTGTTATGCCTATTTGGAGGATAGTCAACATCCATCAATGATTCAAAATGATTCCAATACCCACTGTAAGGATTCCGGTTAGGATGGATGACCATACCACATCAATCCCATGTAGCATCAATTTCATGGCGGCAAAATTCCGAGGACGCCAATGCTCGACGCAGCATCTTGGCGAAAGCTCGTGCAGTTCGAAGACAGCAAAGGACACGACGAGGCCAAATTGAGAGAATCTACCAGGAAAGCGGTCAACGAGATCTTCCTCTGCCACCGGACACAAGTTTGTCCCGGCGCGCATGGAACCGGGAATTTGCCATGTGGTGACTCTGTGGAATTAGCTTATAGTTTTTTTCTTTTTTTGTCTCTTTTATATGTTTTTGGGGACTGTTCGAGATCATATACTACACTCTGACTCATACCTCCGACGTATCGACGTGATGTTGATATGATGTGTACTCGGTGGAATGTGGCTACCGCAACTAAACTACTAAATGTAGCGTACTGCTGTTTCTAAGCAAAAGCTGCTGTATGCTAGTAATTCTGTCCTTGCTGCGATCCCTGCATGCTGTCGCGTCCCTCAGGAAGCAGACGTGCGAGGAAAGAGATACAGGGAAAGGAAAAGGAAAGAAGGGATGCAGAAAAGGAGGCAAAAAGGGCAGCAAGAAAGGAGGCAAAAAGGGCAGCAAAAAAGGAGGCAAGGGAGGCAGAAAAGGAGTGAGAAAAGGCGAGGATGGTGAATTGCTGACAGATGATACTAATTGCAACGTGCACTGTGAATCCATGTTTGCCTTTTTGTTTTGTGTCAGTGATGCTTTTGATATTCCTAGTTTGATGTTCAGAGCGGCGATGTTATCCTTTCCACTTGGCGCAGGAAAATGCAAGCAAAAAGAAGGAGAGGCGCAAAGTACCTAAAGCAGAAAGCGGGCTACGGGTAAGAAGATGCCGTCTATACTCGCGGTCGAGTGCAACAAGCGACCTGCGAAACTTTGAGAATGCTTCTTAATTCAGGACAATTTTGTGCTGGCTTTCAGACGGCATGATGTTCGCAAGCTGCTACATGTCAAGCAAACAGCCTGTTTCAAATGCTGGTTGTCACAAACATGGCTACAGCGACTCCAGAAAAAATAGAACAACAAAACGCTACGAAACAATCGTAATAAAATTAACAGTAGTTTCCTTTTATTTGGGGGTCACCATAAATACATTTAAATACATTTAAATACTGGTATCAATAGTGGTGCTTGCGGATCATGCGTTTGCCAGCGATTTTGCTCCACGATCTGGGTCCAGATTTGCCTTCGTTGGCCCAGGGCTGATCCAGGGCTGATTCATTTGTGATGTCGCATGCCAAAGAGGCTGCGACTGCCACAAGGCTCAGCAGATTGTGGAGGCAAAAAAGTCCGGCTTTTTTGATCTTCAAATGGTTCGCCAATTCATCCCCAACAGTGCCCCTTAATGCGGACATGGCCAGGTGTCCTAAGAAACGCAGAAAAACAGCTGCTATGAACTCCTTGCCAGTGAGGTTTCCTTGCGCCAGCTGGTTTCTCGCTTGCCACGGCTGTTCACGAGTGCGGACCGACAAAGCTGGATTAAGGGTAGCGGCAAGTTCAGCCTACCAGTACCTGGATGATGGTTGACGTTGGTTAAGCATAAGAAGTGATCTTTTGCAGATGGTTCCCCAAAGAAATGACGTGTGTTCGGTTTGGCAGTAGCTTCGCTTATATACATGCGCGATTCTTGTCATTTGAACCCCCCAGTTGCCGATCGTTCACAATCCTCATGTGTGCCAGTATCTCAGAGATTGTCCATCCTCTGCAGGACATTAGCGCGCTTTTCTCCTCGGCCAAAATCGAAGCGGTGAATGAGACGCTGCCGGAATCTTGTGCTGCCGGTTGATCCTTCTAACATGAAGGGGGTGCAACGGTTCAACAAAGCAAATTTGGGAGAGAGACAAAAGAAGATGGGGAATGTGAACCAACAACTTGGTAGCATTTTGTCACATTTTACCCAGGGCCCTAATGGCTGTTGCATAGCTGTACTACTGAGTTCTTCAGCGAATTGCTGAACTACTACAACCAATGAAAATTTCTGTATTAACTGGCACTTCCTGTAGATTTTCTCCTGGAGAATAAGCGGTTTGTTTCCCGCTGTTTTGAGGCAGAAAGATGGGCCAAAGGAACCAAAGATGAGGATGAGCCCCAGACCCAGCTGTCAGAGCTGATTACACAAATGGGAGGGGTTCTTACAATGTCGGGGATCCCGAACCATGGGCTTAACATGGTTTAAAGTTTAAATATGTTTATATAAATATGTTTAAATACCAGAACGGATCAGAATGGTCTATATACTGTAATTAAGTTTGGATGATTTGGGGTACCCCCATGACTTAGGAGACCTCCAAATGCATGAACGTTGGAGAATCCTCTCCTTCAGCTGAGGTCACTTGTATGCCGCACTTGCAACTTCCAAGGCTGAGTGGTTTGTGAATTCCTGACGAAGGTGTGTTTGACATGGGTGATACCAAAAACTGCAATTGTTCATGGGGGCATAATTTAGAATTATGACGAACCATTATTGAATCCGCCAATAAAAAAAACACTCGCAAAGAATGATGATATTACTGATATTGCATGATATTACTATACGTATATATTATATATAATATAATATTATTTATATATATTACTCAATGATACATAATTGAGAATCTTATAAACCATGAGGACTTTGGGGTCCATTTTGAGACTTAGCTCTGTCCTGCCTTTCCTGGACAGGCCTCCGTCTCCGAAGCGGATGAGCGGCGCTATGCGCAGATCTTTGCACCCTACTGCCAGATTCCCGGGTGAAAAATCATGACCAACGCTCCACACCATGAAACATCATGAATGTATAGTCAGAATATGTCAGAATCACTCTTTACATATTTCCCAGAAGCTGTCTTCAACTCTACATTCCGCAGCTTGAAAGAGTTGGTGAAGAGTTGGTTCACATTGTCGGATTTTCCAAGCAGATGCTGAGGTGGAGGCAGTGGCAGTAGAGGTGCTCTAGATCAAGAAGCCAAATCAGTGAAGGCCGGGGTCAAAGATAACAACCACCCGGGGAAAAACGGCGCTGTCCATGTAATCACCGGTTGTACGAGATCAAGATGAACTATAGATATCTGTAGATTACTTCATGGAAGAGTTTTGTCGAAGTGTTTGGTGACATGGCAACATGCACTGCGAGCATGCAATGTATTTCTTCGTGTAGCCCAGGTCAACTGCTTAAGTCATTTTCTTGTCCTTGGTCTAGTTTGGCGTTCCTTCTACAGCATTTCTGGTATGCCAGTATGCCTGATGCCCAAGTGCAGGTCGCGCTTGCATGAGCGCTATTTGCAGTGCTGTGGCTTTCCTGACGAAAAAGTTCAAGCGAACGATTTGTTGGTGTGGAAACAATTGGAGCATCTGATGTGGGCACTTGCAGATAACTTGAAGAGAATGCGCTTGTGCAAATGTTTGCAGGCCTTCCAGCCATGACAGCGATCCCCTCTTTTGCAAATCAGCGTGAAACACCAACCGTTGGTAGAACCATGACACAGAAGTTGGGTTCATTTGTGCAAGGGAAAAAACCTGTCACCGAACAAGTTTCAATGCCCGGACGATGTGAAAAGAAATGAAAAGAGCCAGTCTCACATCTCATAATGTATCGTAATATACACAATATATCACAATATAATCTATATATATATATATTAATATTACATATGTATACGGTATACATATCAGTATATCAGAACATATCACAATTGCAAGGGTGAGGCCAAAGTGCCTCCCACAGCTGACACAAAGCGCCCATGGTTTTGCGGGGCGCTCTTCTCCTTGTGCTCAGCTGGATCATCCCAACTCTTGCAGCATGGCCACCGACCTTTCCCTTAAGGATGCTACACACATCCATAGCATAAACCATTACGTTACACTACATTACATACTATACTTGTAGATGTGTATATAACATTGTATAACCACATCGCACATCATACTGTATATACATATAGATACATGCATACATAGATACAACTGTATCACCACTCCATACTATATTACTATATTAATCTACATATTCATGGGATGGGTTTAAGGTAAAATTAAAGGGGAAAGCCCATGATTTCGGCTAGGACCTCAGGCTGCTGGATCGTGGATCAGCAAGGCGTCCGCGTGAAGTTGGTCTGCGTGAACTGGGCCGGAGCTGAGGTTAAGGCCCCATGGGGCCCATGGAGGGCGGTGGTTGGGGGGATAGACATGGGGATAGATAGACCACTGATTTAAGCTGCAAAAATTTGGAAACACTGGGGATTTCACAAGTTGGATTTCATGGGAAAAAATGTGAATCTTGTTACCCACAGGTGTAGAGACTTTAAATGGGATTGGTTTAACTAATAGTCTACAGGATCCTCATTTGATTGAGATGCGACAGCTACTAATTCGCGGTTATTTTGCCGTGGAACATGAACTCACCCATATCTTCAGTTTCACTACCACACCGACTTTCTCTGCCACACAGTTCACAGTTCGGTGATTTCTGGCTAGAAATGGACATGCTGGATGGCACCTTACGGCTACCATCTTTTGGCACAGTTTTTACGTACTATGCTAAACTATGCTAAGATGCTGAAATTTCAGCGTTTTTTCCAACCGAAAATTGAGCTGATCAGGATGGCATTGTCGGGGGCTTGCATGTCAGAAGAGCATCAAGCACTTTGGTCGAAACCAGGGCCGGAATTCTATAGGGTTGGAGGGAGGATGACCTAGCACGCATCAACATGTTGTGCAAGGGGGCCAGCTAACTCTGCTGAGTATCTTTGACATCCTTTGACTACTGCACTTCCAAGTGAAGTCATCCATGAGGTATCCGCTCAATATGTCTACATCATTGATGGGTTCCCCGGTTACTCTTGGGTCGTCCTGTGGAGCTTTTCACGCTCCTTCAACGGTGGAGGTGTTTGCCCCTACTTTTTGACGTTTGGACGTTTGCAGCGGCATTGGTCCTTAGGCATCAAAGAAAGTTTGGGGGTAGGTTCGTAGTTGTGTTCATCTTGACCTTTACTTGACAAAGTCTAAGATGATTCAGCAACCAGCCTGACTTCGTCAGGCATCGCCTTGACCTTCCGCGACATGGGTTTCAACTGTGTGCGCTTTCCATGGTCCGTTTGGATGGCAGGAAGCTCAGCGCAGCGTTCCCACGTTGCGTTGCCCACGTTGCCCACCGCGGCACGCCGTGGCTGAGGTGCAGACTGACCCTGTGTCGCCGCAACGCCACCTGTTGGCGACGAATCCAGAGCTGCACGGCAAATCTACTTTGGAGATCCTGGATGCAGCGGCTCGGCTGTTGGATGTTGGATGATAGTTCCTGTCAAGCTGATCACATCTGATCACTTTGTTGGAGATAAAAAGCTGGCCATGTTTGAAACCGGCCATGGAAGTTTTGAGAATCCCAAAGCCCAAAAGAAGCAGATTTGAAATGAGCAATGACGCAATGACGTGGAGAGCATCTCCGGCCGCTCAGGTAATTGATGCATGTGTCAGAAACCCAGCTCCCGTGTTAACGGCTCGCTGTGTTCTCTCTTCAGATTCGGGGCTGACGTTGTGGCACGGCCAAAATGTGTCATTATAGTTGGATATATTTGCATGGTATGTTTTTTTTGAATAGCATTGCCTAGACCATAGAACAGTTCAATATAGTTCAATGATGGAAGAAGTATACTGTGTACACTGTATACTGTATACTGTGTTTTCAAGGCTGTTGGGTTGTTTCATGTTGTGATGCTTTGAAAAAATGCATCAGGTAGGTTTCTATATGCATATGTTCCAATTCAGAAACCATTTGGTAGGATCATGCGTAGTGCAGTGAAAACTCAGAATCTAATTCGATATAAAAGATGGCTAATTGGGAGTCTCCACTCTCGAGTTGTCTCCAAGTCACCAATCAATAGATTGGTTTCAGGAAAATCTACCGGAAACCATGGGATTTTGCCATAATTTCCATGTTTTTCCCATGAAATCTGTTGGTTTCCTGTCGATTTTCCCTTAAACATCCATAAACCAATCCATGCCAAGTCGATGCGTCACCAAGGCATTGGCCCAGCTGCTGGTACTCCTCGACAATCATGTTTCAGATGGACTGCCTGGCGTCTTTGAAGGTCTTTTGATATACTTAACCTCTCATAAATCAATATAATTCATCTATTTAAATGGGCCATTTGGAAAACAGCTATGTCAAATAATCACAATTAAAGCAAAAAGTACATCTTGCCATGATCTGCCACTGTTTCGCTGGGATGTATAATTAGTTTACCTTTTTGGGGTTTGGTTTGACAAAAAAATGGACAGAGTAGCAGCAGCAGCTTCCCAGCCATGCAACCGACAGGATCGTGGTGTTGCTCAGATGTGGACGACAATGGGCTATGGTACAACAGTCGTTGGAAGACCAGCGACTGGATGCAGGTCGGGTCATCTGACCAATGATTTTTCGTGTGTGTTTTGATATGTTTTGATGGGACCCTTTTGGGGGGAAGGTCATGTTTAGACATTCTGAATAATTGCGTATGGCGTATGAATTTGAGTGAATTTGATATGAATCAATGAATATGTCTATTGATTATACTAAATTATATGTTATTATTGATTATTAGTTATAAAGTAGTATATAAAGTAGTATAATTCAGTATTCGTTCAGTATTATTCCCCTAATTCTTGGGGTGCCACATTTTTGACCCATGCCCAAAGCTTTGGCACGTTGACTGGGTTGCCACATTGCTCGTCTTTGCGAGGCTCATATGAAACTGGCTTCTCGTTATGCCAGGTGCAGTTTCATTGGGAACTGACAGAGACCTTTGTGACCTTTTTGATGATTTCAATATATTTCAACGCTGCTTCAGCCGGTTGCTAAAATAGAGCTAATAGGTTTGTTTGAAATGATGTAGTCCAATGGAAAATTGTGGCAGTCCACAACATGTACAGCACTCTGATTCTTCCCCTGGCTAGTCAAGACTTTTTGAGTTTATGGCAAAGCCTGTGAGGCAGCCATGGGTGATCGGCAGTGAGCTTCGGAATGAGGCCTGGGTTTTTGCGATGAAATGGGCTAATATCCATAATCACAATGAAACATACAATCAATATGTAACTGCAAACAAAAACTATGGTGGTTATCTATGGTTAATTATACCAGGAACCTCCAATGTGATGTAGATTTGTCTCCCACTGTCTGTTCGATATGTAAATCGATCTTGCGTCATGTAGACCTACTTCGAACAAGATGTAAAAAAAAAGTCCCGAGCACAAATTGTCGATTCGAGCATTTTTCGGTTTCTGCTCCTCAACCTTCATGCAAATGTAATGCAAACAATCAGCAAAACGAGCGCAAATCGGTTCAAAAATATGCAAACGAGCGCAAGTTCAATAAAGGTGACCTAATGATAGTCTTCCCGGGAAGGTTTCGTTTTAGAACGCGGGATAATACTTAATTTGAAACGCGACTTTATTACTCATTTTGAAACGCGACACACTCTGTGCCATGGTTTCCATGATATCTGTGTGGTTTCCATGGTTTCCATGGTTTCCATGGTTTCCATACTTTCTTTGCGGTTTCCATGGTTTTTGTGGTTTCCATGATCTCTTTGCGGTTTCCATGGTTTCCATGGTTTCCATGATTTCTTTGCGGTTTCCATGGTTTCCATGGTTTCCATGATTTGTCTGCGGTTTCCATGGTTTTCATGATTTCTTCTTGCGGTTTCCATGGTTTCCATGGTTTCCATGATGTCTGTGCGGTTTCCATGGTTTCCATGATTTGGTTTCCATGCGGTTTCCATGGTGGTTTCCATGGGTTTCCATGGTTTCCATGATTTGTCTGCGGTTTCCATGGTTTCCATGGTTTCCATGATTTGTCTGCGGTTTCCATGGTTTCCATGATTTGTCTGCGGTTTCCATGGTTTTCATGATTTCTTTGCGGTTTCCATGGTTTCCATGGTTTCCACGGTTTCCATGATTTCTTTGCGGTTTCCATGGTTTCCATGATTTGTCTGCGGTTTCCATGGTTTCCCTGTTGTCCAAGATTTCTGTACGGTTTTCATAGTTTGCACGGTTTCCATGGTTTCTGTGTTTCCTGAAGCCTCCCAATGCCAACAAGTGAACCGTCCTGGAACCCTGAACAGCAACTGAGATCCCGACCCCAACCGGAAAAAAGAAATGTTTCAACCCAAAAAACAAAACCAAGTTTCCCCAAAACTCCAAGCAGCCACCTCGCTGCTAGCTGACGCACCTTTGTGCCGCTTGACATCTAAAAGGCTTCGGTCCGGCCCAGATGCAGGTTCTTTAGGATTCCTAGACAACACCCGGTGAGTTGAAGTCTGGACAACACCCGGTGGGTTGAAGTCAAAGCAAAAGTGGAAGTATTTCCATTTGAGAATTTGGTAAATAGGGATGCATGGAATTCTTACACGCACTCCCCCTATGTGATCAGTTCCACTGACCACATATTCAGCTCAAGCCCTCTAAACAAGTCATAACAAGTCTATCATCTGCAGTGCAGCAAATCGCACATGGATTGAAGGCCCGAAGTGGACCATTGGATCCCGCATCACGACAATGCTCATAATCAACATGAAGATCCATGTGAGATCGCATACAGCCTATGTTGGAACGTCTGACTGTGGGCCACATCTGTGACATCGTGGCGTCAGACAAACTTCCTTGGCATGTCTAAGACAATGACATTCACGGTCACAGTGGTATCTTCCACCAAATGGCGTGGTGAAAAGGGGTTTTGGTCCTCTTTGGGAACGATCGGGAGAAGCATCAAAAAAATAAAAATGCATCAAAAAAAATAAAGATGCATCAAAAAAAACTAAAAATGCATCAAAAAAAAATAAATGACCATGAAGAAAGGGGGGAAGGAGGAAAGGAGGGAAGTTGGAAAGGAGGGAAGGAGGAAAGGAGGGAAGGAGGAAGGAGGGAAGGAGGGAAGGAGGGAAGGATGCAAGGGGGGAACGAAGGGAAGGAAGGAAGGAAGGAAGGACCATGTGTGCAGTCAACACTTATTATCGGTTATTTGCGTTCATTTCATCTTCATTGATCTCCATCGCGACTTGTGCCTATGTACTTCTTTCATGTTCTTTCTTGGTACGCATTGCAGGGGACCCCCCCCACCCGCTTTTGTTTTTCCATCAGCTTCCCTTGCTACCTACTCTCTTGCCTTTTGCTCATAAGCATCGTTTCTTAGGGTTCATTTTCTCTTTCTTCTTCTTTCAAAATATCCATCGAGACTTGTGCCTATGTGCTTCTTTCTTGATCTTGCCGTTCTTACTTGCAATATATCCATTGAGACTTGTGCCTATGTGCTTCGCTCTTGGTACGCATTGCGGGGGGAGGCGCTGCGCCCTCCCCCCTGCACCCCCCCACCCGCTTTTATTTTTAAAACGGTTCCCCTTGCTACCTACTATTCCTTTTTTTTGCATAAGCATCATCGTTTATTTGGGTTAATTTCATCTTTGCTGATATCCATCGAGACTTGTGCCTATGTGCTTCTTTCTTGATCTTCTCGTTCTTACTTGCAATATATCCATTGAGACTTGTGCCTATGTGCTTGCGCCCTCCCCCTGCACCCCCCCACCCGCTTTTATTTTTAAACCGGTTCCCCTTGCTACCTACTATTCCTTTCTTTTTGCATAAGCATCATCGTTTATTTGGGTTAATTTCATCTTTGTTGATATCCATCGAGACTTGTGCCTGTGTGTTTCTTTCTGGATCTTCTCGTTCTTACTTGCAATATGTCCATTGAGACTTGTGCCTATGTGCTTCTCTCTTGGTACGCATTGCGGGGGGAGGCGCTGCGCCCTTGTTTTTGTTTCGACCTAATACCTACATAGGTACATGCATGAGTATTGAGCACATTTATATGCGCCCTTCAAGGCTCAAGAGGTATATAGAGTAACCCTGTAGACAAGCACGGACCGGCAACAGGCTGAGTAAAACAAGTGCTGTCATTGGGGAAGACGCCTTAGCTGATCTTGAAGTAGACGCTAGGGCCCCTCTTCAAGTGGTAGCGGAGCTGTGATCCCTCATTGAGGGTGAGCTCCAGGAAGAGCCCAAGCAATGGCACGCCATGGCTATGATGATGATGACTTCGACATTGTCGATGCAGATGGATGGAACCAATATGACTCTTATGCAATGAGAAGAGCACCCCAGCAGACACAGATTCACATGACGCAGCAGATGACCACAAAGGTAGCCCCAGCATATGATGGAAGAACTAGTTTCTTTGCCTTTGAAGATGCAATTGATGACTGGTGTGATATCACAGAGCTGGAACCAGAGAAACGTGGCCCAGCACTGCGCAATCGGCTGGAAGGAGATGCTCAACAATACAAGAGGCTATTGGATAGAGAGATGCTCAGGGATCCCAATGAAGGAGTAGCTTATTTCAAAAGATTTCTACGACCTCATTTCATCAAAGGTGCCCAAAACGTGTTCTTATACCGTTTCATGCAGTTCATGAAGTTCAACAGAGGAACTATGGATCTTCAGAAGTGGATGACTAGATTTCAACTCACTGGAAATAGACTTATTGAGTCTTGGATGGATTTACTTCCAGAAGTAACAGTGACTAGTCCTGAAGCAATCCTGTTTGTTCAGCAACGACGTCAAGAACATGAACGAGATCAACAAGAGAGAGCTGATGTAGCAGCAGCCTCAGGAACACCCCATGTACCTGTTCCTTGGTCAGATGAACTGGCACTAGCGGCATTCAGACAATTTCAGGAAAATCGTAGACAAGTACAGCGACAAGCATTCCCACTGGGTGAAAATTTGCTAGCATTGATTTTTGTAAGTCTAGCTGACCTGAGTCAAGATCAGAGAAATACACTCACAAGTATCATGACACATCGTGGACGAACCCTCGATCAATACAACATTCAAGAACTACGTGATCTGTTTTTGGAAATGTTTTGCACTACCAAAACAGCAGTTGACAATCCAATGATGCAACCCTCTGGCATGGCACAGAGAAGATCTTTCCTCGTACTGGAAGAAGGTGAATTAGAAGGAACCGACGGCTATTGGGCCGAAGATGAAGAAGACGGCGCAGAAGGATTCCTGGATGCTTTAGAAGATGTTTTCTGGGTTTATGATGACGCCAACTTCACATGGTATCAGAGAAGGTTCCAAGGCAAATACATCAGACGAGGCAAAGGTAAAGGAAAGAGAAAAGGAAAAGGAAAAGGCAGAGGAGGACGAAGGTTCTTCAGATCAAGAAAAGGAAAAGGCCGAGGTAAAGGAAGAAGAAAAGGCCGTGCTCACATGGTGAGTGAAGAAGGTTATGAAGAAGATTGGCAAGAAGATGAATGGAATGAAAACTATGACGGCTATTGGGCCGATGATCAAACCTGGAATGAAGGCTATTGGGCCTATGATGATTCATACTACATGGATGAGTATGGATACTTCCAGAGGAAAGGAAAAGGAAAAGGAAAAGGAAAGAAAGGCAAGAAAGGCAAGGATGATGATGGCAAAGGAGGAAAGCCAGGAGATGGAAAAGGCAAGTCGAACTATGTTCAACCTCAGACCACATCAGTTCCTGCCATACAGAATCAACAAACTCAACAAGCTCATTATTCTTCTGCTGCATCAAGTTCTGGTCATGGTTTCTTTTCATTTGGAAGAACTGAACCATTACGTGTTGATGTTGGAGAGACAGAGCCAGCACGTGTTGATGTTTTGACATCCACGTATGATCAACAAGAAGTACAACGACGCACTCGTCGTGGAGGACAGAACCAACGTGATGCAACAGCACATGACAACAGAAGGGAGATGAAAAGATTCCCTGTTCTGGTTGGAGAAGTTGATGCACTTCGACAAGGTGTACAACGACGTCCAGCTCGTGTGCCCAGGCAAGTTGGTCTTCAAGAAGGTGAGGCTTCATGGAAGCCATTGGCAAAAGGCACATCATTGTTTTCATATGGATGCTCTACAGAGATAGAGGAACCATCACAGCAGAGTGCTTTTTCATTTCATACTGTACAAACTGATCTGGCATGTGAGAATGGACTAGCTTTT